CGATCGTTTAAAAGCAATGAAAAATGCATTGTTTCCTAAAAACTTGTCACAAAATATAAGCAAAAAGTCGTAAATAATGTAATATGAAATGGGAAAAACAATACTAAAGTTTTTGGAACATCGTAAAAATGAGATCAATAATGTCAACGATTCAAAAATTGGTCTGTAATTACTTCGCGGTTTAATTTGGGAGTATCACAAGGATTGGTTTGGTGTCCCCTTCTGTTCGTTATAGGTAGCTGCGCCTGCGCGGTGAGATCTTCGCTCCGCGGCTAAGATACCGCCCCGCGTTTCCGAAACTGTAGAAATGGGTCATTTCTGGCGACCTGGGGTCACATTTTCGCCCCAGGGGCCAGGAGACCGGTGAATGTGTGGAGGCCTTTCCGTCCCGCATGTCCGTTGTAAGAAGGCTCGCGGTCAGGTGCGAAGTTGCGAGGTGGGTAAGATCGCGAATCATCATGGGAGCAGCGTATGGGGCCAGTCCATCAATTATGAGCTAACTAACGCGTTGTTAATTGTTGTGTTAATGAAGAACGGGACTCGGGCCCTGTTACCGGTAATTAACGATCACTTTTGAATGACACCGAGCCGGCGATCAAAGCGCCGAGGCACCCTGGCAGTAAGCACACGTTTCGTGTTGTCGGGGCGAAGACTCGCGGGGGCGACGGCCGGTGCCGGTCCCTCCTCCGCGGTGAGGTCAAGGATTCTAGCTCGGTACCGCCACCTCTTTGAGTTACTTCTCGTTCGGGTGAAGTGTTGTTCGCACGGACACCGATGACCGCAGTAACCCATCATAGTGATTCACTCAAACTTCCGACAAAAGATCTTGATGCTTCCGCTTCGTTGTCATCCTTGTCGATTCCTGACCGGTCGGTCTATTCAAGTGACGGCGATTGTGAACCGCGGCCCTCCGATAATCCATTAATTGAAGCACATCAGGAAACAATAACCGCGCCGAGGTCGTGGCCTAATAATTATTGCCGTTGGAACTGAAGTAGTGTCGCGGTGATGTTGCTACGATTTGATATTGATGATGGCGATATGTTTTTACGCAAATGTGATTAATCGGGGCGCTGCGGCCGAGGCGGAGGCAATAATATCCCCGGTAGCACAGATATGAAACAATCAGACATATGTCAAATACAAACCTCGCCATCAATAAAACTCGCAGGTTGCTGCATGTACTAATTAAAACTTCGGAACCCGGCTACGGCCACCCCTTTCTGATTAAGTCACACTTTATTGCAACACAACGGACGACCTTCAATTGTCACCGTTACATAAATCAATTAAACCTCCCACAATCGCTGTCAAATACCATTTGACCTACATCAATAATTTTATAATAACAACAATGCCTCTAGGTGCCCTGTGTTCGCGCTGACCGCTAACGATAAAATTACCAAAAAAAATCTGTCGACTTTTCCGTACTTCGCAAATAGCATAACACGCGTCTCAGTCCGCGTCTACGTGTGATTCGACACTAAGTGATGGCTAACTTTCCAAGGGACAAAGACGGGACGGGATAAGATTACACCCTTCCCCCAGCAATCAAGACATACTTCACAAACATTTAATAACAAAAAACAAACCTAAAGCCTAAAATTTCACAATAAGACCCACTTTTTCATAGAAGTCACGAAACGTAAGAACTTCAGATTTTCTCTTTCAATTTAATGTTGTAAACTCTATAAAAGTCGGTAATTTTTTGCCGCGTAAACTAACCCTGCTCCTACTTTCCCGACGTAACAAGAAGTTTAATATGGTTTTATCAGGTCCGGGAAATTACTTAGTTGGTCAGAAATGTCCCAATACTATTCATGAATATGCATCTGACTCCGACGCAATTTACATAGTCGAGATATGCGGTATTTGCAATATTAGATCCAGCTACAGCGCGGACTACGGCAACGGTGTCTTCGGCGATTCCCTACGCATAGCTAGCCACTATTAAAGCACTCTCCTTTATTACTTAACAAGATAAATGGCTTATGCCACACATTTACTCATTTACCAACAAAAAGAGATTGATAGGAAATTTATTCTCGTCATTTTCTCCCTAAACGTCGAAGGTTCCTTTTTCCTAATTATTAGATGTTTGAGGGCAATTTTCTAATTGCCCCAGATTTGATTGATTTAGACAAAGTCTAAGGACGCACCTAATTGTTGAAAGCTCTTCGAGAATTCGGACAGGTCTGGGGCGTTTCTACATCTCCATTAATTTCAGTAATCGGTTCGGATTACATGATAGCCTAGCTGAGGACATCGGAGGAGCGGAGCCAAGGAGTGAGTTATAGCGTTATGAAGTGCCGCTTAAAGTGGATTCGCCGGATTGCTTGGAAGCCGGCGCCGTCGGACACGATGGCCACTAAGTTACTTCCACGCACCCGTTGACGATGTCGGCTCAATCAAAGTGGAATTATTGACAAATCTCATGTTTTAACTGGATGCTTGGTTGCTCACTAGGCTCGTTTCGATATAGCGTTGCCAAGCAACCCCCCTGATACGCTGAATAAGAGACTCTTAATACGTTACGGATTTCCCAAGATTTCTAATTCAAAAACTAGTGAACCGATTTGCAGTCATACATCTATGGTATTAAATCTTGACGGTACCGCGGAGCGTAACATTGCGACCTGCTTGTTCCGTCCCTGTCCTCGCCGCCGCCACCTCCTTCACGGCTAAAAATGCACCAGGAACAGAACGCTCCAATCTAATCTCAGATTCTCTCATCCTCCTAATCGCACGCGCTCCACCGTCACTTAATTGAGCCAATTTTTGCTAGACCGGACGAACTATTCCACTTTGTTATCTCGTTACGCTGCACAAAAAAACTCAAAACTTGTGTAAATTTTTTACGAGAATCCGTTTTTAACTGGTTCGCGGTTTCCAAGGGACTCCGTCATTAACCTCGTGCGGGGGGTCACTTCACTAACAGGAACAGTAATTTAATCATCACAACTGTAATTCGTATCATGTTTCAATTTTGTACGTACGTACGCATTCTAGACATTTCACCAGCAACACTTGATTAAATTCCGCTAAGAAAGAAGTAGGACTGTTTGCTGCTCCATATTATTCATTAAACCCGAGACATTTCTTATTAAGACAATATCTTTCTTATTGACGAGACTAACATTCTTCTGATTGTCTTCATAACAGTCGCATTCCATCCTGGCAATATGAAGGAAAGCGAACAATTTTCATTAGAGGTCTTTATTGTTTATGAACCTTCGGTTGTTATGTAGGAGTAAGCAATGCGGCTCACAAATATCGATCATGCATCCGAAAACAGAAAAATGCCACCTATTCACCCGACTTCAAAACGACAAAACGGTCCACAGTTTTTTTCCAACACCAACTGCGAAAATAAAAGGCGCCCTCCTCAGGAGTAAAATTTTAAAAAATCATCAAAAATTTTTTGACAAGATGTTCTCAAAAAATGTAATTGGGTAAACATATCGGTCAGAGCAACATATCGAGGGGAGGGAATGTGGACTGATGCACCTGATTGATGGACACGTGATTGCACCCCGTTGTTCCAATTTTGACCGAATCTTTTTTATCCTTTCATATTAAGATACTTTAATTTGTCCCTCTTTATCAATAAAAATGACATAACTGTTACCTAAAGCCTAGGTTAGTGTCACAACGCCTTGAGAGAGGGTGTCATCTGATTGGTCGTTTATTTTTGGTCGTTTTAGCGTTAATGGAAGATATTTGGGTCGAATTGTTTGGGTTGAAAGCAAGCGGCTGTCGCTTGTTAAAAAATTTAGCGTAGCGTCAAATTGTGTTTTGGAAATTGAAGCAACTAGCACCGGGATGATTTAATTACAAGTGCAGAAGCGTGGAGCTCGGCAATAAATTGTATTTATAGTCGTCCTAGATGGGTCGTTTCGGTTTTATTTAATGCTGGGGATGATTGTCGTGTTTTTATTCGGTCGAGCTGAAAGGTATGAAGGATTGATAAGCGACGTGGGGTCAGATTGGGTCGGAAGGGCCCGGTCCCAAGAAGCTGGTCCTGGATCGGGTGTGACGTTGACTGTGGCTAACAGTTGGAGGTCTGTCGATTCTGTCGGCCGCCTGGCCCTAGCTTTGTAGTCTGCAGCTCGCAGCCATACACCCGCTGTGCTAAATAATATGTAATCCACATCAATCAACTCTAGATTAGTTTTAATATCGCTGCCATTGGCCGATCCCATCAATACACGGATAAATTACTATTCTGTGCAAGTTTGTCGAGCACTGCCGGAAATTCGCGGAAATTTCTCGATAGCTAATTGGCGAATTAAGACAAAGGTTAGATACAAAGACAACGACGCACTTAACCTCTTCGGCTGCCGCCGATGGGACGGGATTTGTGTCGTAGGGAGATACGCTACAAAGACACCGTCACTTATGGTTTCCCTAAACACGTGGGAACCCACCACTTTATTCATCTTAGCGACGCGCCTGAGTGTCGACGGTAATTAAACTAGCGTTTTAGACATACGCAGCGATCAGTCGATCGTGAAAGTTCATTCTTCTGGCTATTTGAATACAAGGGACACCATTTATCTGTCGACACGGCGTATGAAGCTTGGCAATATTAATTTAGAGCGGCTAGAGCAAAGGGCGGCTACCAATATATCTCACCACGGGACGGAGTAGTTATTAGACCCCCTTCTGTAGAAACCCCCATTACTCCTTTCTCCCCCGTCAGTCGACACCTACCGACCTGCCGATGAACCACCTCGATCTCGTGATGTGAAAGCCGACACTCACACAGGTGTATTTTTTCGTACCTCTTAAAACTAGTTTAATTATTATAACGCCTGGGTTTCTTTATCCTACACTTTGTGTATTTCTGCAAATCATTGTTTTTTGTGCGCCACAATGCGACTATGTTTGTTCCATTCGTATTATTTACAAAAAATTATTAATTTCTTTTGTGTGCTTCCTCGCTACGTCAGCACAAACTTATTAACATTATTATTATTATTGTTACCCTCTTGTTTCAGATTTCGTATCGACAACACTGACCACATCATCGACGTAAATAGGGGCAACGCCCAATTTGAATACGACCAAGTGAATATCATCTGCCCGGTGTACACACCGGGAACTTACGGGGACGATCTCGAAAAATACATTATCTACAACGTGTCAAAGGAGGAGTACGAGACGTGCCGAATCACGAACCCTAATCCCAGGATCATCGCCATTTGTGACAAACCGTACAAACTGATGTACTTCACGATCACATTTAGGCCCTTCACACCTCAACCTGGCGGACTAGAATTCTTGCCCGGCAAGGATTACTATTTTATATGTAAGTAAAATCGAGTTAGCGCGGGTTTATGGTCGTAATAACGGCGTTTCAGCGACGTCGTCCAAAGACGACCTCCATCGGCGAATCGGGGGGCGCTGCACTACGAACAACATGAAAATCGTCTTCAAAGTGTGCTGCGCCCCTGACCTCAGCCAAAACAATTTCACGACTAAATTAACATCGACTTCTTCAACGACGCTGGGATGGCCCGACGTGCACCGACCGGCAGTGGAGGTGACGTCGTCGTCCACCACGCAATGGGTAGCCAGGACGGATGCACCATCCACTAGGAAACCTACAAAGAAAATGAGTAAGTGGTTCGAGAAAAATCGCACACGGAATTGCACGAAATGTTTCGGAAATCCGATTTTCGCGGATTTCGGTCTTGAGTGCAATTCGTGGCTGTTTTTCGGTTTGGTGATTTTATTTGTTTGATGCAGACGAGTACGAGAAGCATCCGAACGAGGTGATGAAGAACGAAGAGTTGACGTACAGCAAGGGAGTTTGGTTGTCGGCGGGTCCTCCAAGTTTTCTAGTAGTCATTGCTTGTATAGCCGTCATTCGATGGCGGTGAGCTAAAAGACGGGGACGGGAGCGGGGACTGGTCTCTAGCTCTACGTTCACACATGTTGACACTTATCTGTAAAATACTGTAAATTATTACATGACGTGTCCGCGAGTGCGTGAAAAACGGCGACACTCTAAATAGTTTTGTTTATAAGACTCTTGCGCATAAAAGCCAATTTTTGTAGATAAAAATAGTGCGTTAATTTAAGTGCTACGAATTTTTTTTCAGCGCAAAGCTGGTGTGATAAAAGTATTAAAAGACTCAAAGAGACTTTTCTATCTAATTACTTCTCGCAGCCACGTAAAATAATTGTGCAATTTTAATTTTTATCAACTAAAAGCGGTCTAGCTTCTTCTCCGAAACGCGAGTAGTAATTAGATGTGTTCGTATGTGTACATAAAAGTGATATTATTGTCATTGAAACGCTTCTTGTAGTCCTTAATAATTCCCAAAAATCCGACTGAAACACTTAAAAGTTTGGGAATTGCAAATGATGGTAATAACGACATCGATTTTTGTCCGCAGTCGAAACGTATGATGAGTTTTGTTTTATTTTACTCTCGTTACCAATTTACGGAAGGTGTTATTTGGTTCTTCCACTCTTCAAGTACTTAACTACTTAACTTACATTCCCACTAATTTTAGGTTTTGTTTACTCAATTTACATACTTCGAGGTCTAAATTTGTTTTATCCGAGCTTTTGGGTGTGTCTGTCCTAAAGTGTATTTTATTATACATCAGATAGTTAGTGTGTGTCGTTTAGCAAAGACTTGTATAAAGTGTAGAGCGTACGTGTTATAAATATTATAAAATTGTATGTTCATTTAATGGATGAAATATTTTGTACTTCTCTTAAAAATTGTGTAAACAATGCAGTGTAAAAGTAAATGGTTGTCTGATCAGAATTGTCAGAGCTCTACAGTAGTTCATATGAAACATCAGTGTAGGATGTCGATGACGTATGTATATCGCCATCTCAATTGTTGGGGCCAACCGAAAATTACCAAATCAAGTGCTCCAATGCTTTAAACAATGAACCCGCACTTGATTCGAGTAATTTCACGAATCTATAATAGTTTCTTCACAGTATTATATTTCATTGTGCTTTTCCTTATGCAATAAGTTTTGTGTTGTACCATTCATGTTTTCATATCCTTGGTGTCTATCTAATTTACCTCACGTTAACATGGGTGCATTACTAATAGCACTTGTTATCAAGCCAGTATTTATTTTACTCTACTTAACAACATTACCATTTCCCGAAACCATCCATCGTGCATCTATCATTCGAGCGTAATTTTTATAAACGTTTAACCCGATGTCATGTTGTGAAGCATCCAAAACCCATATAACCCGATGCTTACAAAATATTAATGTATCGATAAAAACTTACCGACTAAATTGAAAATGATTCATCCAGTATAAAATATCTCTTCATGATGCCTTGTTGTATTTATGTCGCTGATAATTTAAAAACGTCGATCTCAGACCAGAGAAATATTTTGTTAATTAAACAACAACTCGCCACGTGAATCTTTCGTCCACTTACAAATCGGCGTTTTTAACTTATCTGTGAAATTATATGGACTAGAAGTAGGACTGTAGAGGCACTGAGAATAAACAGGTACACAAAGTAAACGATTTTTTATTTCCCCTCTCCTGCACAAATCTAGCCAAAAGCCGAGTAGCGAGCGAAGAGAGTATAGAGTTCTTAGTGTCGAACGAAGCCCAAACGAGGTAAGTACACAGTTATTAAAATTTCACCATTCTGACGAGATATTTTGAATATTTAAATCATTAGCTGCTTAAATGCAGCTGAAATGATATACGCGAATGCATCCTTAATCCGGAAGATATAAAAGGGACACGGAGAGACATCCGCTTATGTCCATTACTGCGACGTCCTTTCTGTAGACCACCCTAATTGCCATTTCATGGCAAAGTTTCGCGTATCATTTTTAGATCCTTTGTATTAGTCGAAATGTTTGTGAGGATTGACGGTTGCTTTAGCAACAAGCAGGACAGGTATTATCAGTTTCAATTTATATAATGATGCTGAAAAGTCGAGATCCGCGCATCGCGAGGCTCCCCATAGCTACGAACTAAATCATAAAAAAAACTGGAGTGGGTGGATAACAAAACGATCTTCACTTCTTTTGAATGACAAGTACGCGTTACTCTTCAACTATCCCACCTAGTGATTAGAAGGAATTGATGATCTAATAAGTTATAATAAACATTTTTATCCTCTTGGCTATTAGGCACTTCCTGTGCTTATATCAGATTTGACCATCAACAACAATGACCTTTTTAGGCATTCTTCTCTCGTATGTCAGGCATTCATCGCCGGTTACGGCGAGCGACCGTTTGCACTGTTTATTCTAATTATAGTTCCATTGGAAAAGTCATTAATTATGAGAATTTCATAGATCGAAGCTGAAGCTTGACCTCGGTACATTTTATGCAACTCCGTTTCCTGGTTACTCCCGGACAGGCGTCACTGCAGCAAACGTAAATGTCAGAAATCATTTGCGCACGTGTTCCTTTGCTTATTTTAGCTATACCGAACCCTTTTTACATTTTAATAGCGTTGCTGAGGTTAGATCGAACATGCACCGACTTTGGCGGCGTTTACAGCAAACGGGAGCAAACAAGAGGCGATTATTTAATAGGCTATTACGTGTATACTAAAACCATATAACTGCTTCTGTCGCACACAATTTTTTCAAGAACTACCGAGGCTGCGGCTGCTGTGACGATTTTCACTGTAGGACGGGTACAACCTGATACATGAGGCCAGCTTAAATTCCTATGACGAGATATATAATGGACGATAATGAGCTTCCACAGCGTTTAAGCTAACGAAATCATTCCAAAAAATTGTGACAGCACCAACAGCGAAGTACACTAACATAATTGTAGTGTTGCAAACTTTAAAAATATAGCGCGAAACCATACATCGTGACAACTGTGCACTGTGTTTGCCGGAGTTTAGGAGATAATGATTACACGTTTTGTTCGTCGTTGTTTTTTTGTTAAAATTCGGCGACAGTAAGTAAGAAATCACAAAAACGTAGATTAGTATAACACAAAATGTACGTAATTAAGGTTGTAATTTCTGGGAGGGCACGTGCCCCGTGTCACGGATTGAATAACGATAATAGTATCTGGATAGGGTAAAGTAGTTTTTTGCGTGGGTTATCATTCCGTTTTTGTGCAGCGAGTATAGAGCCGCTACTAGATAATGGCCTGTTTAACGATCGGCGATCGATGACGATCGGTCTCCGTCAATAAGAACTTAGCAGTTTGTAGTACATAATGCAGTAACTGGCCTATCTATCATTGTCAATTACCAATAACAAGCATTTATGCAGAGTGGCTCTTACATCTAAAGCGGGCGAATTGTCCATGTGGCAGTTCCCACCCTCATGGTCAAATTATCGAGTTCGTGACATCTACAAGCTCTTGGCGGAAGATCGGACATGTTGAGACTATTGTATATCTTAATGAGTTTATATCTGATTGCGATATATGAGTCTTGCGCTGGTTCGACACGTTATTTAATTCTTCCAAGGCCACTCAGTCAAACGTCTCGCAATATCAAACCGAACTGAATGTGCACGTGAGATAGATGTGAAGGGCGATAAAGGTGTGAATAGCTGTTAATTAGTCGAGTTATTTGGCGGCAATACTCTTTACGTGCTTGTTGAGGTTTCATTGTCAGATCGATGCAGCTAAATGCACTAAATAAAGCAACGGGAGAATGCACTCTTCCCCTAATTGAGTGTCTATTGAACGGTGCTCCAAGATCCCAAAAAAGCCTCATCGAGAGCCCTTTTTTTGGACATTTGTCACTGTTCGTTCGAGCCCCCGGTCATCGGGGTTTTTAATACTCCTTTGAATCGAGTGTCGTCAAAGCGCTAACGTGCTCCAGCCCCGAATTCTATTAGCAATAATTGTCAATACATCGGAGGTCATCGCACCTCCACCCGTTGCCGCTTCCCGAGGTAGTTTGATAGATTTCTCCCAGGTATTTCGTGATCGTGAAATGCTGATTAATACTCGCAGTTACCAAATAAGCCGATTATGAATAGTAGCACAGCATCGGCAAAGCTGGTGCTTTTCACTTGCGGGTTTTCCGCGCCGAGTCCACCTTGCGTTCGCTTTCCCTGCGTCTGATGTCCCCTTCAAAGTCTCCACAATTGAGAGTGGGCCGCTCCAGCCTTTTCATTAACACCGCGATCGATGCAGATTCTGCATGCAAAGGTTGCGTACGTGGATGCGGAAAATTGCACGCAAAAAACGCCATCACAAAGTGCAGAAAAACGAATATATTTAACGAGGTTGTATACGCTTCTCGTAATTACCGCAAACTTCAATATGTTCTTCCAACCCTCCCAACGTTACCATGCGAACAATAGGTAACTTCAAACCGCAAGCGAAGAGTGAGATATTCATTCCGAATACGGCGTCCGATGCCGATGTATCAAGGAAACTGATAACACATCCGACTACTGCCTGTTAATAAATTTCCTAATTAGTCGGGTATGTGTACATGCATATCGTTCACAACCATCCGAAACAAATAGATCGATACTAATCCCAATGCAAATCACGCCGTAATTTATTGATTCCTTCTTTAAAAGCATATCTGAAACCATCTTTTCCTGTTCTCATTAGACCGAGGTATGCACAGGAGGTGACGACATCTCGACTACCCGCAGAACGCATTTCTACGACTAATTAACACCGTTATTACATATACAATTTTTATTCCTAAACGAAAAACAAAACTTCTTACGTGTTCCTGCAAAAATGTGACTTTTTCCATTACAAAACTTTGTGGAATACTGAGGACAGTTACATCAGTTTGGATAGATGCAATACTAAAACCGAAACAATTTAATAAAAGCGTAATTTAAGACTGTGGGGTGATCAGGTGATTGAAACAGTACTTGCGTTTTGGCGTATTTATTTTGATGTTGTCGGTTCGGCAGGTGAGGGAAGAGTCCTGGAGTTTGTGAATTTGAAATGAAAAGAAAGGTCGGTAAGACAAATAGCGCTAACGCTTGCCGTGAGAGTGAAACAGAAACTAAACTAAACGATATTTTCTACAAATTGCAATAACCGGATCACAGTGCAATGGTCCAGACTTCTTTATTGCTTCGACTTCCGCTTATTAAATAAAACATTGCATTTTGTTTTGATTTTCGACGTTGAAATTCACATCTGGTTAATTATCATTTGTCTACAACTAGGGGAAGCGGACAGACAGACAGGCAGACAGAGGGAAACGGGAGACCCATGTTTTCGTACTTCAGGGGTCATAACCCATCAAGAAAATATGAAAGCAACCAGTCGCTCGATGGACTCGATTAGCTTACGCTCGGAAACAAAAAGTAAAACAAACCCAAATAGACGCAAACTTAATTCTCACATTCCACAAACTGTAAACCCTCAATAACACGAAATTAAACATTAATCAAATGATATTGTTGCAATGTTTCCCCTAGCTCTACCTCGAAAAATAAAAATAGTTCGTATTTCAAAACACTGTAGCTATAACATCACATCATCTTGACTTCCTGAGCATAAGATTATTACTACTACTCCTGACAATAATGTCTCAATAAATGTTCTTGTAAACTACAAATTTAACATTTAAGTGTGTGTGTTTAAGTGTCACGAAAAAATTTGCCATTGAGCATTGATAACAAATTTACATGTTTTTAAGACTTAACATGCGTGACCTCTACTATTGTCATTTAATAGATGTTAATAAAATTATTGATCTATCCCAAAAGAAACTGCTCAAAATTATGTAACAGTATTTACATTTACCTCATGGAGCATGAATTGAAATAAACGATAACAACAAAGTCTGCTAATATATGAAGATAAGAATGGCAACACGTGTCTTTTTCCTAACCACTTGAACACAATCAAAGTTTACTCTAATAATAGTTATTCCTAAAATAGTAAATAGATAAGATTCGCTTTAAAAATCGTCTCGAATTTTTGGTACGTTAAAACATCATGTCGCTCCTCCCGGCGACTCTCGTAATCCTAACAACCTTCCACCATGGGTTATCATCCGTGGTACCTTTTGACGACTCTGACGTCGGTTTAAACACTGTAAGTATCATTTAGTTATTTAAACGAGTCGTACTTAAATCAAACAAGGTCCAAATGATCGAAAACCACGGCTATCCTTGCGAAAGTCATACAATAACAACCGAAGATGGATACATTCTAGTGTACCATAGAATACCGCACGGAAAAAACGACGATGGTTCCATCCAGAAACCGCCAGTACTATTGATGCATGGTACTTTTTCCTCGTCAGCTGATTACGTCAGTATGGGACCCGATCGCAGCTTGGCGTACCTTCTAGCAGACATTGGTTATGACGTCTGGATTGGAAACGCTAGAGGCAACGAATGGTCGAGAAATCATACGACTTTAGACGTTGTGAAGGATGCTGAGGAGTACTTCGACTTTAGCTGGCACGAAATAGGGTACTACGATCTACCAGCTGCCATAGACCACATTTTGAGCGTCAATGGTGGTGATGGCTTACACTACGTTGGACATTCTCAAGGTACCACAGTTTTCATGGTTTTGACCACCACTAGACCAGAGTACAGCGACAAAATTAAATTAGCGTCCTTGATGGGACCACCCGCTGCTATGACTCACCAATCAAACCCCATCATTTTGGAACTTGCAAAATATATTTTCGAAATTGAAGCGCTATTCAAGAAATATAAATTTTATGAGCTTACGTACGTTAAAGAGATTAGAGAGTTCGCTGCGTCGTACTGTGCCCAACCAGGGTCATTCGAAATTTGTGAAGGTATAATTTTTGAATTTATTGGGGCTGATGCCCCCCAGCTGGATATAGTAAGTACACAGTAGGTATAAGTTGCGTTAAAATAATTTTATTTTTATAGAACATAGTACCTGTACTTTTTTCGAATATGCCCACAAATTCGGCTTGGAAACAACTGTTTCACTATTTACAAGAAATTAAAAGCGGTGAGCTAAAATAAAAGTTTGTTTTGTACAAAAGTACGACTCGTACTTTCAGGAGAATTCTGTCAGTACGACCACGGATCGGAGAAAAACTTAGAAATATATGGAAGTGCAAGACCTCCTGTTTACGATTTATCAAAAATTTCGACACCAGTGGCCGCGTATTATGGAAAAAATGACGTTCTTGTAAATTATACGGTAAATTATAGAAACGCCGATTTTGATTTTATTAACTACATTCGTTACAGGATGTGCAAATATTTATCAGCGATCTACCCACTGTGGCCAATGATTACTTAGTCCCGTTTGACTTATTTAACCACTTTGACTTTATGTATGCTACAGATGTTGTAGATCTACTGTATGTAGAACTAATCAAAGTAATGCAACAGTACTAAAATTAGCAATTAATTAAAAGAGTAAATTAAAAGTAATGTTAGTAATTATTTGTGTTTTGAAAGTAAATTTACTTTAAAGGTGTGATAAAACTGTAACCACATATATGTGTACAACATGGAACCATTGATGTAAGGAATTAATAATAATTAATTTTATAATGAATGAAATGACCACGCTACTTCACTAAATAATGTTATTATATAGCATCGTAATTAAGTATAATAAAATGTTTACATGAAGAAAAATGTATAAATAAAATCACGACGTATACTAAGTTAAGTGCCGCTTATCTTGAAAGCGAGCGTGTACTAACTGTGCCGCCTTTCGAAAAAACTTCCTGTACTACGAGCACAAAGTAAAAATTTGTGTTTGTATGTAATATATAGCTCCTACATTTAATGCATAAACAAACAACACTTGAATAATATCGTAAATTAAGTTGTGTCTGTTGGCGGTGTTATTGGCAATGTTTAATTAATTTCAACAAAGAATGAGTAATCAGCGGGGGAGCATAAAAGTTATTTTCTCTAAGTAAACTCAATCCATTGTCGCATATTTTAAGAAAAAGTGGAAAACAAGAAATTCAAATATTTACTAATTAGAGAAATGTTCTAAGAGTGTTGCATTTGAAACATGAAATAATTCATTATATTTCTGCCTCTTCAAAGGCGACACAAGGAAACAACCGATTAAAATTTCATGCTAAAATATTTCTTTGGCAACAGTTAAAATGTAAAAGTACACAAATAATCTAATTTGAATTCATAAGTAAGCGTGAAACTATTTTAGAAGAGTGCTATAAATCAGTATTACCATAAAACCTTAATGGTTTGCTTTATTCCAAAGTAATTACTTTGTTTAGATAATTGCACTGAGTAGTTACTTATTCAAGACTCAAAATAACTCTTCTGTTGAAAGAAAAACATTGAGGATCGCATTAACTGTGCTTTTAAACCGAGTGAAATTTGTATAAAAATTAACATTTAGCGGAGTAATAGCACCAACGGGATATTTGCTTAGAGCTTGTGTTTCACAAGTTCCCACGCAACCATCAATATGTTAAAACTATTTTAGTTCCTTAACCACAAGGAAATTTACATGTGGTAAAATAATACCTGTGCTAATTGCGTTTAAGCGACAAAAAGACATTGTCGCAACAGATGTTGCAGAGAACTTCAATTTTTTTTTTTTAGACAATTCAAAAACACACCCACTCAGACGCCCAGTAATTGCAATAAGTAGCAACGCCTCATTTTGGCACAAAAAAAATGGCGCCCGACCCTTTTTCGAATTCTTTGTAAGTAATATAATAATGTGTAATATTAAAGGATGAATCGTCCCTTTTAAAGTTCTGATGGAATAGCGAATGAGCCATAAAATTCCCATCCCCTGGGTGGTCGATACATCTTGGCACCCTCCTGCAAGGACAATAGAGAAACAAGAAAGTGCATAGCAGGAAACCAGGACGCCGTGTACTGCGTACGTGAATAGGCACAAAGATTGAACGCAATAAGGGCGTCCCAGCGATCCGCCAATGGGCTTCCTGCAACCCTGGCAGCCATGTTGACAACCGCCCACGTTGAAATCGGGAGAATCCCCGGAACCCCATCTGACGCAGCACGGTTTCTACTTACACCTCTACAAGGTGTTGATGACATCATTAATGTTTATATCGCAAGATTGCGTAGTGGGGGTGAAGCCAGATATTCGACATTCGACACCACAATGGCGCATTGGCATAAGGGCCAATAGAGTGCAACTTATTGTTTTACAAGGTAACACAACCCTGTCACTAACACATTCTTTTGTCGCACGGAAACTGGTTCCCTGCAAGATTTATCAAATATGTTCTGTAACGCGGTATTGATGGTTGCGATGGAGTTCGGGTTTAAAATGGGGTCAGTCTATGAGATTCACCCTGTCTGACATTACTGATTGAGCGATTTGATCGATCTTCTTGTTAGAAGGATTAGCTCGGAAATGACAGGTGTCAGGTGCCATCAGGACGTCAGTCATCGCTGAATTAAGCCGGAATGTTTGTGTTGTAATTTTTCGAATCTGTGCCCTTTAATCCAGGGAAATTCACAAGTCGACATGAAATGAACGAATGATGGATGTCTCGAAATGAAAACTGTAACCACTTTGTCACAGCGCGTTTTTAGAACGAGTTTCCTGCCTGGATGCCGCACCAACACAAACACCTTTCTGACACAAGAGTAACGGTGAAATATTACGTCATAAGTTGGTTTTGAAACTTCAAAATCTTATGCCCATTTGCACCAACGTTAGCGGTAAGCATTGCTTAGCTAAGCAATTCTTAAAAGTAACTACGTCTTAAATTGTACAGTTGTTGCACCGTCGCCGCTTAGATTCTACTTAACCAAGTAATACTTAGTTGGGGAATTGTGTAAAAGTTTCATTTCTATTGGCAACACTGACGCTTGTTTGTATAGAAACGTCAAATATTTTAGGTTAGTTTGTACGTGTGTAGTTCGAATAGTGCTGATATTTATTTTCTCTAACGTTGGTTAGGTGTTTAATAAAAAATGGGCTTAGAATATAGTCAAATACCAGGTCAATATTGTTCAAAACCGGGGGACGGGAAATGAATTTAGAAGAAGTTTTATAACTTTTTTTTTGGGAAATTCATAATATTAACAAATCTATGCTATATTACTTTTTAATTTGATATTTTATTACATTTCCATGTTATTACGTTTAAATTTATTTTGCTGCTTCTTTTTTATTTCAATGTCTAACTCTAAAATTCGCTTTCGCACCTATAATTCCATATTTTCTCTTCCTATTCTTGTTCAGTTGTGCCTCAAATAACTGTAGTTTCTCGCTCCCCTCTGGCGCTTTTTATTGTTCATATGAAAAATAGTTATTTATGCAACTAGTGAGTAAAGTGTATATTTTTTTCACGAGATGGAAAATTTGTCGCACGAATGTCTTCCTTTAAAAAATGACACGCTACGACACTTTTTCATTTAAATGCGTGAAAAAATGAAACACTATGACACGCTTCTAGTGCCATGAAATAAACGTATCCTTTATAAACAAAAATTAATAAAAAATGTTCCACTTTTTACGAACACGAAAAAAACATGTTATTCTTTACAACAAAACATTGTAACTGTGGTACATACCTCCTTTATATTTATTTTTAAATTGTTAAGACTTTATTTTACACTTCAGATACACTTTTGAGCACTGATAAAAATGATGGAATCGTCGCAAAATTGGAAATTTTCGATTTCATGTAATCACCAAAATTATTATCCAATAGAAATAAAGTGTTGTTCTGTTACCATGGGTACCGCACATGCGTTGTATCGTTGTGTCTCGTTAAGCATTGCTTACAAATTTAAGCCTCAGGTAATCGGGCGCTTAAATTAAAGATTTCAAAGAACCCTTTAAGAAAGACTTAAACGTTGGTGCAACACATTGTTGGTTTTAAGAAATTCTTAAATTTTAAGTATCTGACTTAAACGTTGGTGCAAACGGGCATTATAGTGTCTTAGGCCAACAGTGCTTGAACAACCTTTCTGGTAAATATCCTCCAATGTGTGACATTTACGTAAATTTCAGGGTTGTACTGAGATTGTTACAGATTTACTGGACTAAACGCAGAAATACAACAATTGGATGGGCCCAGAATGTATACGACCCTATTTGGCTAATTTATGGTTTTACGCATTAGCTTCTCAAAATTTCAAGTTGTTAAAATTTTATTGATATACAAAAATAGCATGCCTACAGTTCAGTAACAACAAAAAGTGCGTACTTAACATAAATTTTACTAAACATTACAACAAATTTTTATGGCGATCTACGTGGATATTAATTTCGCTGCATAAAATATTACCCAACTGCTAGCTAGTAGTAGATGAACAAACAAAAAATCTTATCTAAAACATACTCGAAAACGTTATTAACAAATATGTTAAAAAGAAATGGTTCGCAGTGAGAACCGTGTGGTACACCGGATAATGCGCGTTTTGTGTCGGGTGCAAAATTTTGAACGTGAGTTCCGAGAACGGTAGTAGCAAAAGCGTTTTCCCTAATAAGAATGAAGTTATTTGTTGGTGTGGAACGTAATTGTCCGGAGGTGTTTCTGGTAGTCCGCGTACTTAAATATATTTGGGAATGTTTACATGTTTATGGGCAGGGATGCATGTTGTAGCGGCAGTAATTAACAAGAAAACAAAGTAAAATATCGTATAGACGTTGGACATTTTATGTAAATGGCTGAGCTATATTGGCTAAAAGCATTCTTGTGTAAAATAACCGGTCATGCCGTAATGCCGTCATGCTCGTACATTACCTGTCCCTCCTAAATGTGCTGATAAGACAATGAAATTCGGATAACAATTTCTTTATTGATTGCTTTTCATCGAATATTGTTTCATTTACAAACGAGGCTCTAGGTGTTAATCTTAATGACATATCCACTCATAAATCGCCCATATCAATATAACCCTCGGAGTTAGGTGCGCCTGACTTTATGACACGATAAGTTTTCATTCTACCTCTAGACCACCTCCGTTCGAGATACGCCGGAACCAGCTAACACCTTCGACCTAATCGAAGCCATGCATTAAACAATTAACATAAATCAACTGACCACTCGGGAAAGCTCGTCTGATCGAGACGAAAGGGCTCCGCTGACACCACGTGCAAACGTTCGCAGGGGCAAAAACGTGAAAAGGACCGATCCTGAGTGCCAAGTGACGGGTGCCGGCTTTTTCATAACAGTCCAGACCAGACTCTATTAAAGGTGTGAATGTATCTCCAGATGAATGAACGAGAACAATTGGGACTCGAGTGTCGTTTACGCTTATCACGCTATTCACAAAGTCTGAGTCTACACCTGCACATGGTTCGTGCAATTATTCTCGCAATTATTTGGTAACAACACACATCGGATATTTTTGTCATAGATCGCGTAATTAAGGACTTTTCATCGCAACAATGTGACGCGAACAATATTTCGTTACGACATGCTGCCACCGAGGGGATAAAACCCTTGGCGTATCACTCTTGCGTATACTACAGACGAACGATTTGAATAACAAAGAAAATTTGGGTACATTACAAATCATTAGTGGTCTATGCTGTGTGTTCAAGTCGTCTACGTATGTCTCGATAATAGTTATTATTAATACTTTTGTTTAACATAATGTAAAATCAATAAAGACTTTAAAATCAACAGTGTAGGTTAAAACTAAAGAAATTTCTGTCTCTCAGGAAATGTAAAAGAACGAACATTCAATACGCGCTAAGTAAATTTAACTTTAAGGTTTTAGAGAAAAAGCGTTTGCATTGGAATCATAATATTTATTGTGATTACAATTGTTGCGTAGAAACTGTAAATGATATTGGTTTTTATGAACTTGACAAATATTGTGCATCCGTTTCTTTTTATATTTCCAGGTATTCGCCAGCAAATGTGACACTTTGTGTCTGTAAATATACTGAGTGTGCTTCTCGACCTGACAATTGTCTAAATTTTTACAAAAGAATGCTTCTTTTCGACGTCGAACATTTATGGAAAGCTCGGCTCCGATTGATCAGTTTTGACATTGTGACGTAAGTGTCGAGGTTGTCAGCGGTGTTCTTGGTGTTTACACGCTGTCGCCATTATAAATAATAAAACGCATTAATTTCTGGTGTCTCTTATTAAAAACCGCCAAAGTTTTGGGGCGCCATTTAAAATATGAGACAATAGGGTGTGAAGTTTAGTATCTGCATAAATAATGAGTGAATTTTACATGCACATTGTTATGAAAAAGAGATTATATGACTTGATACGTTGGGGTATTTACATTATGAATATTTGAATATTTTATTTTGAAACGCGATTTAGAGAGAGGTGGCCGCATTCAGAGCAGGACTGGCGAATGGTGATTTGTTCGAATTTGAAAACTCTTGCTTGAATGGGTCCATAATTTTCCTGGCAGTCGGAGTGCAGCCTAGTTAAGTTCCTTCTACATTGTCTTAGCAAAAAAGTTAAAAAGTGTACATTTTCTTGGTTTTATTGAGTTTTGTTTCTGTTCGAGTGGAGCTAGCTTTACGAGCGTCATAATTCGCGTAGAATTGCTCAGCAACAAGAGAATCCCGCATTGTGCGATGTAGGCCGGTCCGTCCCTGCGCATATGCTTATTTTGCATAGGTGAAACGAACTAATAACAATTTATCAGTGTTGTTGGTATTTTTATGGTTCAAGTAGCTTTGCACAAGGAGCCCGGCATTAAATAAAGAATGCTTAAAAAAGTGATCTAAAGACAAATAAAATGTGAAGGTTAATTTGCTATTTTAGCGCATTTTAAAGAATCAGTGAATACGCCAAAGGCGTTTTTCGAATCATAACTTATGATTATCGCTGCTAAAGATGGTCAGACAACCAGACTGGACGCTCTCAGTTTACATCTCTTATTTTTATTTGCGATCATGAAAAGTACATATTTGATTACGCACAGGCTGCTATTCTTTACCGACAGATCGCTTACTTTATTAGTAAATAACTAAACGATTATTCTCGACCAAAAGTCCCTAATTTAAGCCTTTCACAACTCAAAGATTTTCATTTAAGGTCCATTAAACGGAAAGTGGCACACACTGACCATGCACTTACTCAGATTTACGGGAAAATTCCCAATCGCTGGCATGCAACCATTTATACACCACACTGGCGTTCGTCAGCGCAAGCTACTGTTAATTACATTATGGAAATCGTTTCACTTGATAGAAGATGAGACAAGCTGCTGGTTGCATCAAGTCTTTGATTAAAATTAATGTTTCACTTATAAACGCACTAATGATATGTGTATCAATTAGTTCCACTCAATAAAGCAATTTTATTGCATTACAACTTGACTCTTGTTGTATTCAAATTAAGAGTTCTTAAAGACAACCACATTACGCGTTCCTAAGAAATTAACGCCGTCTCGACATACCAGGCTTTAAACTTCGAACAATTCATAAACTGGTCCTTAAAACAAGAGTTTTGAGCAATTAAAAGACCAAAGTTAAATAAGGTTTGTTACTAAAAATAACTATGATCAAAAAAGTGAAACAATGTTACATTTGGACGAATTTTTACATAAACAGTATTTGTTTACAACAGGTACGAGGATAATCCAACAGTGAACTACGAAATATGTAAACACGAAAGCCTGAGGACAACGTACAACAGTTACTAATTAAAAATAATTGCTTTTACTAAATAAAATAATGTATTTCTGCCGAAATTTACACTTCTGTAAACATACTTTCCCCCTCTTTCTAATTACGTTATCAGCGGCGCCTGCAGACATTTTTGTTAACTAAACCAAAGCGACTTTAATGAGTGAATGTCTATTATTTATTGTCGATTGTAATCTTCTCCTTTGATAATTAAATTTACAATCTGTTTAGTTTTGTTAATAAGTTTGTTTTTTAATCTTTATTTGATCTGCGGTTTGAAACTTGGCAAAACATTGTCGCATTAATAAAAACGGAAAATATAAAATATCGTGATAATCGCCATGGTACAGTACCTCCGTTTGATTATTATAAATCAGTACATTGTTGACGTAATGTACTGCAATTTATATTACCTGTAAAGAATACAGGGAGGAGACTTGCTCCCACAACTTATGGCATGATTAATGGATTTCTCTAGCGCAATGTAGCAGAGTAAAAAACCTAAAATACCTGTTCATTGCTTGTAATCTAAAAGCACACGAATCGGTTTCACTTTCGACGCCAGCAACGATTTTTTAATGAATAAAGTGAATAAAAGCCTCGCTTAGTACTTAACAGGACATGTATCAAACCTAAAATTAACGTAATTTGGTAGGCACATGTTGTATGCGTATTAACATTGTTAACTTTTATAAATAAAAGACCCGGCGATGTCCGCGATATTCATTTGTATCAAATGCGCAATGTACACATTGAGCTGTAATCTTTAGAATTGAAGGTAGTCGTCACAACGGCTTTGTCAACGAAACTCGCGCTAGGAGCGTGAATATTTTTATTCTTAAGTGAGCATAGCTAATCAGTGGTGAGCACAACCAAATGGAACTTTGCACCAAAGGTGGGTATCATAGAACATGTCTATTTTTGCATCTGTCACAATTGTGTTTGTTAGTGCATGAATAAGCATGTGGAGAAGTGGTTTGACGTCACGAAGATGGAAGTATTATTTTTGTTGCTTAGCAAAACACTCACTCATTTTAAGCAACTTACAAAAATGTAACAATGAATAGTGCAGGTAACGACAGTTAATTATCTATTTCGAGATAAAGTGACGTCACGTTGAATAAGTGTTAGTCTGAAAGTGACTTAAATTAAAATTTATTAATACAAATTTTGTATATTGTTAGCGAAAAACGACTAGTAGGAAAAGTATGTGTATACATCTGTTTCGACGTTTTAATCTGGATACTGAAGAGTTGTAGTGCCACGCAGTTGAGTCAAATCTGTATTTCACATTTCATACATTTCACCGATTATGCGTTTCTACAGAACGCGCCGATTCGTTAATCAACACGTACCTATAGTGTGTTTTTTTTAATTTGTCGCAAGCTACAACCCCTACATATTAAGACAGGTGCAGTACCAGCACTGCAATAACTGACGGAACATTGGTCAAATTAAAAAAGTTTCTCCGGTCCGGTTGACACATACATGCAAAGGTCAGTATAAATAAAAATCCAAAACTTTTCAATTTGGCGCAGTTGCATTCCAATAAGTCAGCTACGGGGCAGGAAATTAAAAAAAAAAAACAAGTAATGGAGTGTTATTTGTTGTTATCAGTGAATTCTATTAAGCTTTAATCGTCACGTGAAAAAATGCGTTATCGATGATTCAAAAGTGCATTTAGTGGATGGATTAATACGGTTGCATCTAAAAAAATTTAAGGAGTCGTCCTCTGTTAGATGTTTCCGTAAGGTGGCATTAGTTTGTTTATTGAGAGACAGATGGCGGACGAGCTTTCCACAGCCTCCTGTTTTGTCGGTTGCAATTCACGTCGTTTATGCGTAGCATGTAAACGTAGTAATGACCGAAAAGAAATGACAGAAGGGTAACAGATCCTTTAAAGTTAATAAAATTGAAATTATTAAATAAAACCACAAAAATAAAGCATATTAGAAAATTTCTGAGTGAGTAAGGTTTGGGCTGAATAAATTCGTTGAAAATTACGCCAACATGCTACGATTCTTGCGGGACAGATGCCTTTAAAGATGACCGGTCTGAGATGTTGGTACAAGAGAACAAATTAATAATTTTTTTATGAGTAATTTTTGTATAATTTTGGTTGTTTAAAAAAATTTGCTCAAACTTTTGTATTTTTATAAGAACAGATTTTGAGGTTAATTTCCCGATACTTGAACATAGGCCAGATCGTCGTCACAGATTGTTTATAGTTATGTTAATCAGTGTGTTCTGTTAGAAACTGAAATGGAAACCTACTTCGAAAGCACCCTTGAAGACGTAATGCGATGGGAATTACTTGAACAGCTCGGAGACCTAGCATCAGGTAATTCATTTTTCTTAACCCCAGTAAATGTAGCACGCTAATTTTCCTCCCAGTGCATGAAGAAGTAGGCGACGAGAACAGCTATGGCAGCCAGCGGCCCCCAAAGACCGTTTTCTCCCTCCAGAGAGACTACATTTCGCTGTATGGCAGCCATCCGAAAATGGAAGACAGAATTTACAGTACGTGCGGCGTATGCGAGCAAGTTTTCAACCCCCAAGTGGTCTCCAGCCACAAGGAACACTGTCCAGGCAAAGGCAAAATCCAGTCCCAGCAAATAAAGAAAAAGGTCAAGAGCAAGAAGAAACTACAAGGATCATCAGTGCCTCTTCCCCCCCTATTCAAAGTAAAAACATCGCCCGATTTCGCTTTTTACTTAACGTTTTTCTTCCAGAAGGAATCTCCCGGCCCGCCAGTGTTGTCAAAATTTTCAGATATCTCCCCTCCTCAAGTGTCGCGGCTAGCCCCCGACGTGCTTCCTCTGTCAGACGCAGTAAACGCCGCCGCCCCAAAGGCAAACGAGGACCCCGCCCCAAGCGCCGCCGTCGCGTCGCCCCCAACCCCCCCGCCGCCCCCTCTGCCTCCGTCTCCCGTCCTGTTACCCGAAGTTTCTCCAAACGAAGAAACAAGCAGTAGACACAAAAAGTCAAAAAAGAGTACCAAAGCGCTTAGAGAATACGATCCCGATGTCCACTGCGGGGTCGTCGAGGGGCAGAAGGGGCCGTGTACGAGATCCATCACGTGTTCGAACCACAAGGTACTGTCCTCATAAAAACGCATTTCATTTCTACGACTATTAAGAAATGGCTGCATTATAGCGTTGCACGCCCTTTCCATTCCTCACCGGTTGCCATGTCGACCCAAAATTCCCCAAAATAGTCGTAGAAAAGGTAAGAAAATCATCTGTCATTGTCACACGCGCGGTGTTTTCCGTTAGGCACCGGTTGCCATGGCAGCGGTAGGAAATGCGTCCATTACGCGACCGTAGTCGTAGAAAAACGATATGTCGGGTTACCGTTTCCCGTCTGATTTTCAAATCTTATTGTAATCCCACTGCTTAGATTCAGCAACGCAAATCCGTGCCTGGGCGTAGTAAGAACATCCACGTTTTGATAGCGGAAAAGAAAGCTGCTAAAGAGAAAGAGTCGCGTCGCCGGTCTCCGACACATCTTTTAGCGATTGATACGAAATCTTCGCCGGAGTTCATGTTTCCTCTTATTGAACCTGAACCGATTAACTGTGTGGGCGATAACGCGGAGGTTCCAGATTTCGTTGACGCACCGAAACTACCTTCGACTCTGACGATAGGTGACTTACCGGAGGTGAGTTACGTTTTCGGATTTGTAGTAGTGTTCATTTGTCTAATTTTATAGAATGAGTTGCATGATGAAGTTGAGAGTGACGATCCCTCTAATCAGTTGGAAAGTGGATATTGCTCTATTGAAACTTCATTATCTACTAAAAGCTCACCTGTATTGTATTTTAATCCGATCAGTCCAATATTTGTTGTAACTCCTGTTCAAGTAAGTTTCATCACTAGATCCTCATGTAATGTAGGATAGAATGGCTTGTTACATTCGTGTAGAATTTGCACACACGATCGTTTGCTGAAATTTGATCATTTTTTATCTACATACTTGCGTTGTTTCAACATGGTATAGAATTGAAGAATTCAGGTGAGTAAAGCAAGATAGACAGTAGTGGTGTGTGCAAATTAGTGTGAACTGAACTAATAATGTCGCATGAGGAATCTGCATGCGTAACTAAATCATCTCTGGAAATATTTTATCTGAAACGTGTTTTTATAGTTTATTCAGAAGGAAAACAGTGTATTTGTGGAGGCCACTCCTCGTGCCAATAGTCCACCTCCTAACGGCTACTTCTTGACAATGCCAGAGACTTCAACCAACATAAAACTATACAAATCTCATCCGAAACCCACCATTTTGCCGACTTACGGGTCAAGAAAAGTGGGTGGGGCGATTCTCGGTTCAAATCAGAGACTGGAGTACCAGAGGAACGATATACAGATGGCTATTACTACAAAACGAATGGCCGCTTCATCCACAAATTGTAAAAGTACATCATACAACGTGCCTCCTCAAAGATCTATTCTATTGAAAACGAAAGGTATAAATAAAGTTAATTGTAAAAGATCCTCTACTGAAAAACTCAGTGCTAGTGACGGTAAACAAATTAAATTAGCCGCTGATGTAAATGGTTTTATTTTGCATACTGAAATGAGTGAAGTTGCTGAGGCACCACAGCCTAACCATTGTATTCAAGAAAATATCAATTTGTTGAACATGAAGTGATTTTATTTTAGGTAGTCTGTATATACATATATATATATATATTATTTACCGTATTGTTATTCAGGTTCTAAATTTTTTTTCGTCATACCAATGTTAGTCAGGTATGATTTTTATCCTAAAGTGTTCTAAAATTGACGTCTGCAGTGGGTTAGCAGACCATTTTAAGACTGTTTTCTTGTAATACTCTGACATACGCTTGTGGCTACCTTATATTGGACGTTCCAAATAATTTCCGATATTAAGAGACGCCACCCTATTCCTTTTTGTATTGTGTGTAAGTGTGTTATTTCATAATATACAGGTCAGTCATTTACGTAGACTGAAAGTGTGATTAGTTAATTGTATAATTTTTTGTATTTATGTGTTCATGATTTGTGTTTCTTTTCTACTGTTTGTTAACGATATTACATCCATGTCATGTTATGAGTTATGGTTTGGTGCTCAGCAAATTGATCTCATAAACACAAAAAATAAGAAAAAAGTTGTGATTAAAACATTTGTGGTTTTAGAGTTGTGCTCCAAATAATTTTAATCTAGTGATATTTGTAAATATGTAAATAATTTCATTTTATTTATTCAACCCACTAATTTATTAGTACATTTACTTACACATACTTTTTTGTTATTTTTATATACACGACTTCAGAACATTTTTGTTCGTCATAACTGTTTATTTTTTTATATATTCCATCGACCTTTTTATACTAGGAGTTACTTCATGTTTTTACAAAAGTAAACTTGTCAAGTGGTATAATTGTAATAATGACATTTGTTCTTATGCATTTAGTAAATGTTTTGGTGTGGTAGCGTAATAGAACACATCATTTGCAAGCGATGTTTGTTTCCAATGTTATCAGTATTAGTTCAGTTTAATTCAAGTATTTTTGTAGTATATTACTGTTCTGCTAAAACTTAGTCATATTTTGAAATGTGCTTCGAAAAGTAGCAACATACTGGAATGTTTTTTGTTTTGTATGTCAGCCCAGAATTTATTTTATATGTATTCGTTTTCGTTCATGTTTATTTTTAGTTTTAACGTGGTAATCGATTTTACCTAATTTCTTTCTGTTATTTTATTTTTATGGCACACTGATTAACTGAATGGATCAAAACTGACCTGTATATGTCTTTGCGAATTTGTCGAATAGTCTAATATTGATAGCAGTGTACCTAATCATGTTTTGTTCGTAGCTTTACATTTCAGCATTTATTATAAAATAAAATATAATAAATACGCATTGTTTAACTGTGATTGTTTCACAAGCAATGCTCTATGGCTGTGAATATTGCCAATTTCATCAGGGCTGGCAATCCTACTGCCTCCTTGTAAAATATCATTTATTTTCTAATAGGTGATATTCTATAACATTTATTTTCGTTTTAATAAACTCTAGACTACCGACACCGATACTTTCCTTTTCCCATAATACGCCCTCCCTTCGTTATTACACAAACGCATTTTTGTGCCCAATGCGATGACCTTCAATTTTGAAAATACCGCGCTTGCGCATAACGTACTGTTTGATTCATCTAACAGACCATTTTGTAGACACATTATTTACAAAAAAAGCAACATCTTCTCTATGTTACGCTTCCATGACGTGACGACACTGATAAATGTATGACGTAACGTTAATTGTAGTAAGAGATCCAGTTGAAAATATTTATACGAGTCTTTATAATTATAGCTTACAGCTTTCCATACAAAAATCGATATTTGGCGTACGTCAGTTGCGTTATCTGTATTAAATTTTGAAGCCGCATGCCTATCACGTGAGCATGACATAATGAGATTGTACCTGTAAAAAAATAAATACATATATATATTGTATAAATTAAAAAATTACAAAGAAAAACTCCACTTTTGGTACTGTGTAACAGTTTTGGTAATTTTGTAACGTTATTTACATGGAACTTCCTTCAGTTCTAAAGCATAAGGCAAAAAAAGTGTGCATGTGTTTTTTTTTGTATAATTTTTATCTAATGTTATCTTTTCATCATATATTCTGTAGTTGGGCACGGAGATTATACCTATATTCGTTTAAAAATGAACAATGTAACGTTACTGCGCTCTCTGAATTTCGTCAAAATTAAATACCCTGTTTCTGAAATAATCAATAAAATATAAGTCCATTTTAAATTAATTTTTTAGGTAGCTAACTTTATATTAAAATAAGTTTTAACTTTTAATAAAAATAAAACATTTTTAGAGAAAATTTGATCATCGCATGAAATAATCGATAACGTATGAAACCGTTTGTTTATATATTGATATTTTTGAGTCATCGAGGATGGGTAATTTTAAAAATGAAATGAAAAAATAAGCAACCATATGCCTGAATTAGTGAATTTCCAAAGTTACGCATTATTAGGTGCAAAAAATATTAGAAACATGGTACCCATACGCAAAAGTACGTTCAATGCGTAGATTCGTACACATTTCAGTATTTAACTACGTGGTTAAAAACGATATATTTTTTTTAATTATAATTATTGAATATTTGATAAGTTATTGACATGATCTAGGAAATTTGTTTTTATCAAAAGAAGATAAAAAATACAGGAAACTGTAATCAGGCAATGATTTACGATAATTTTATTGACGTAAATCCGAAGGCATCCATTGGCGGGGTTAAGTGTTGGTTTGAGCAGGCTCACAGAATCTTAATCGAATACTGTTGATTTTGAGAAGAGGGAAATTTTAATTAGGTGAAGAGAGGATTTGTTTTGTAAAAAAATGTAAGTTGCATTAGCATGACGTGTACGTCTGTGAGTGCAGATGTATAATTAACGAATTCGTAAAGATGGGTTTTGCGTCTGCGGAGAATTTTATGTTTAATGATGCATAATTAACATTATTAATTGTCCAGCGTGCCTATTCGCTATGAGAATAGGCAGAAGGCAATATAATAGCTTCGGTAATGAATAAATAATGAGAAAAACGGCGGTTAAAATTTCAAACGGAAATAAAGCGCGAGTTAGATGTCGCTATATGTAAAGTATTTGTTTGTATTTTTGGGGTCGCGTTTGTATTTTGCGTAGGTGCATGATGAAAAAGACAAAACACGGCAAGGGTGAGGAGCATATGGTCAAAACGCAACGTTGATGTGTCAAACGAGGGTTGTAGTGTCGCGAACGGTACGGTACGCTGTGATGTCGTCGTCGGATCGTGAAGCGTATCATTGCGTGCACTTGAGGGGTATGTGGCGTTAGTTGTTGTTGGTGCGTTTAGTGCGTTTATGTGTCGGTTGCTACCCCCGATTTAGGGCGAGAGGAGCGCGACGCGCGGCCGGCGAGCGCAGCACGAGGGTAGGTACTAGGGTCGCGCGCAGAACCACCTGGCGTCGCGCGCTCCCCCATTCAATTCACTATCGACCGGCTGCGAGTAACAATTTCCCCACCGATACTAATCGAAATCGGAGTCCAATGAGAAAATCGGTACGGGCTCCGGGTAAGCAATCGAAGTGAGCATGCGAGGAGGCTAGAGGATCGCGACCATGAGTGGCAGTGCCGTCGGGTTCGCGGCTTCTGTGCTAGGCGGAGGACTGCCTTTCGAGAGGGTGACGAAGCGGCCGTCGTCGTCGCTGTCGCAATCGTAAACAAAGTGCGGATTGTGCGTGTTAACCGGTGAAGTGAGGTGTAGTGAGCAGGAGGAGGCATCTGCCGGGGCCATCCCGGGAGACGACGTCGCGGCGCCGAGCCATGGCTTTTTCGATAAGCCGCCAACCCTCGTGATGGACCATATAGGCGACATGATCGAGCAGCAGGCACTGGGTGATCCGGTCGATTCTCCTGATGGTAGCGCGCATGCGGCCGGTGGCGGCATGGAGACGCAAACCGTCCGCATGAGGTTGGTGTCGCGTGCTGTGGTGGAGAGGCGTCTCGTCAAGCAGGAAGAGGCCGAAGGCCCCCTGTCCGTAATAGTCCAACCCCAGGACGACTCGCGAGATTCAGAGCTTCTTAGTCCTGGCAAACTCTCACCGACTTCGGTGAGCGTAGCCAACATGATCGACGCTGCTGATTTTCGAATGCAGCCCGAACCCACTTACCAAACGTTAACCTCAGTCAATGGAAGACTATCGCCTCCAGGATACAGCCCCAGCTCCTCCTATGCCACCCTTACACCTCTCCAACCTCTACCCCCCATCTCGACAATGTCCGACAAGTTCGCATACGGTCACGCCGGCAATGTCACGGGCTCTTTCACGGTCATGCAAAACAATAGCCTTGGAATAGGCTTAGGTTTGGGTGTAAATGTGAACGCGGCCTATTCGATGCCCACGATGGGCATGACACCACCTCACAACTATTCTTCTCCCGGTATGGGTCTACAGCAGCAACCGAGCCCGATCAGCCCCCAAAGCGCCTACAGCCAGAACGGATTGCCGTCCCCTCAGAAAAGCATGTCTCCGCCAGGTTACGACTCCCCTTATGGTGCCCAGCAGAGAGATCTAGTCGCGCGTTCTTTGCAAAGCCCGCAGTTAAGTCCACCGTCAGCCTCGTTGAATTCACCAGATGGTACTCTGGTGGGTGGTTTCGGCGGCACAACTCTCAACGGTCTTGGTCTCCAACACCACCCACCGACGCTGGTACAAATCGCCGCCCCTCAACAACGCGAATGTTCACCTTCACCACCTGTCCTCAGCTTGCAACCACAACAACAATCACAACAGCAGCAACAACAACAACCTCAACCTCAGCAACAGCAGCAGCAGCAGCAACAACAGCAGCAACCTCAGCAACAGCAACAACCTCAGCCTGCCGTCGCGATGCAAATATCGTCAAAGAACGCGTCCTCTGGAGCCCTAAGTGTACCTGCCATTGCCGCCGACGTCGAAGAAATCAACACCAAAGAGCTAGCTCAACGCATTAGCGCAGAACTGAAACGCTACAGCATACCCCAAGCTATTTTCGCCCAAAGGGTGCTTTGTAGGTCGCAAGGCACGCTTTCTGACCTATTACGAAACCCTAAACCCTGGTCGAAACTCAAATCGGGACGGGAAACTTTTCGGCGGATGTGGAAATGGCTACAAGAACCAGAGTTCCAAAGAATGTCGGCCCTGCGTCTAGCAGGTTTGTATCAACAACGACACCCACATACCGGGTGCCACCTCACTTAATTGTTTCTCCTATCTACCCTATCTATGCTACATCGCAAACCGACCCTGTATTTACAGCGCGGCACACCGACGTGACGTACATTGAACTTTCACAAGGGGTTCCCTCGCATCCTTAAAGCCCCTTTGTTAGTTCAAAAGACCGGTCTTCAAAGACATCCGAACTCGTTTTTTTCTTTTTTTTTTTTTTTTTGTTCATTCTTATATTTCTATTATGACAGACGGTTACGACTTTCATAACGGAACTAAATTTAATTCCTTTACCTAATACATATACGTATACAACATATACCTACCTATATTACCCTCTCGCATTTTAGACGTTCACGTTTCCATCTGTCACGATCACCTTGTGCGTAGTTTCCCACCCTACGTTTTCTCGACCACCGAAGCTATAATGTTACCACAGAAACCTTGTAAAATTCACTAGACGTGTGCCTAAAATAGGAAACCGTCCCTTTCCCGTTATTCATTAACTTTTTACACCATAGTATAACCCAGCAGCATTCGCCAGGCTTCACACACGTATGCACACCCTCCTTAATTAAAATAATCACGTTAAAATAAAACAAAAACACGTAATTTCGTTTCAGAAATTATGCTCGTATTTTACTACCCTACATTTTTCGTTGTGTTTCTTTGTTTTATTTATCGTTTCTTGACAATCAAAGCAATTTATTTTTGTTGTTTCGTCAAGCCGTATCTTTCGGCGTTTTGCTATACAATAAGCAGAAATTGTTTGTCGTTTGAACAAGCCCTTGAAATATTTTCTTCTCAATGAGAGCCGTAAATTAACATTTGCTGAACTCTCACGGAATATCGATCAGCGAAATTCTCGGTATTATTTTAGGCAAGTCGAAACGTCGCGAGTTATTTTTCGAAAAACGTCAAGAGACCGTATTAATGATTAAACTTTCGGAATTAAAACGAGCGAGATATTGAAAATATAATTTATAAGAGAAAAGTTTAATTAGTAGGGCCGTATTCCGCGGAAAAGTTTGCGCATCAAAATCGGGAAATTACATAATTTTAATGAAAATACGTCCGGAATATTAATTTTATCGATGTAAAGTTCAGGTTAGTCGAATGTAGTGTAGAAACTCTTCTATAGGTAAAGTATTGATTTTTACTTCAGGCTGATATTTCCCTGTACAGTTCCCCCCTTCCCGTTTTAATGGCATGGGTTAGTACACTTTTAAAGCATACAGTACGAAATGACAGATATTATCGATAAATTCGGGCGCGCTCGCCAATCGACAAATTCGATTTTGATAAAAAAAATCGATCGAGACAGACTAAAATATTTTTTTTATCGAAAGCGAAATTCAACTTTGCGTATAATTAATTCGTTTTGAGAGGAGTTGTGTGCTTTGCGAAGACATTTTGGACTGATATTGTTTTGTTGTCATTGTTGACTTCTCTCTTGTTTCATTGCAGACTGCCAGATGCGCAATGTAAACGTGAGGGCAGTCAACCCCAAACGAAGGAAACCATCCTCCTCTTCGTGCTTGTGAGTTTTACTGTCTGTCTGTCTCGATGTATCGCGAAAAAAATTTGCATGAATTTGTGTTAGACGAATCGAAAAAAATGCATGGATTCAATTCACGTTGATATCCATATTCAGTTTTATATGGCATGTTTATATGTAATATTAGCCCGATTGTTGTATATTCGTGCCCCATCACAAAATTCATGTCTCGACGACGAAAGTGCATGAAAGCGAAATTTTGGCGGCGATTTCCCTCATTTTTTCTCTGTAACCGAGAGACTTTCCTAGATTAACGAATATGTGATCTTTCCCCGTTGTCCGTTGGAATAACTTTTTCCGAAAGCCTTATTCTTTCTCTAGTGTTCGTTCTTGTTCGTTGTTTTGCATTCGACCCGTTTTGTAATTATTATTATAGAGACACGACGTATCTAATTGGACGTATAAATAGTTAATCTTGGAACGTCCCATTGGCCAAGTCATCTAGACAATCAAGATAGAGTGAGAGAAAAACCAATTTTCGATTTCGCGAATTAATGACCAATAGGAAATTCAATAGAAACTTGATTAGCCATGTTGCTAATTAACAAAAAACGTTTGTCGCGCCAAATTGAATTTACTAGATGGGGTAGATTGGGTCACAACATTCGTTCTTTAACAAAATTACCTCAATGCATCTTTCGTTACAACTCTTTCATGGCACTTATGATTAATACAAGTTATTTTTCTGTTGCAGCTGCGCAGATCCCACAACGAGGCAGTAAGTATCTTCATGTTCCCCCTGTTCTTTTTCAATTTACGTCATCTGGTCTTGATATGATGAATCATCGGCCGGATGAGTAATTTGGAAAAGCTCTTGAAACATTTTCTCTGTTTCGATATTATTTCCGGACTTTTCCGTCAGGTTGCAAACGGAAAGAGGAGAATTCGAACAGTTCGGACCAACTGCCCACCCCCAAGAAGCCTCGATTGGTTTTCACCGACCTCCAACGGCGTACTCTGCAGGCTATTTTTAAGGTAACGTGCCGTTCCCTCGAGGCCCCCGGGTGTTTGCGTCCTTCTCGCGTCTCCCGTTTTCGACGAGATAAGACAGAATGGACGCACACACACCAAATTTGCTCGGATCCCTGACCGCCTAACCCGGCCTGTGTCTTCCAGGAAACGAAAAGGCCTTCGAAAGAAATGCAGGTGACCATAGCGAGGCAGCTGGGTCTGGAGCCGACGACCGTGGGGAACTTTTTCATGAACGCGCGAAGAAGATCGATGGACAAGTGGAAGGACGAAGATCCAAAATCATCCACGACCATAATCCACCAGCAAATGTCGCCGGGATTAGAACAAGACGATCCCGATCAGGATATAGATTTGGACAATGACATCGACGATCAGGAAGATGTCTTGTGACATGCATTCCGTGACCGCCATTTGTTGATGCTGTGACACTGAACTAATAGTGACGGCGTTCCTAGAGTTTAGAATAGTGTAGACCCACCGACAAGTTGTGTATTTGACCGCGGAACAAAATTCTTCTTCAATCCTGCGCTTACGGAACTTTCGAGTGATCTCATTGGCAAGACGTTGTGTTCGGTTACTCCATCTACCAAAATGTGTTATTCTATTTATCTATTTATTACTATTGTTGTTGTATTTTTTTATTTTGACGTATTTTGTGTTTCGGTTAAGTCGCGGCCGCTTCAGGTTTTTAAAGTTTTTTTTTTGTACTTCGATCGACGGCCACCGAATTTGGTTGTGTAAACTTGTCCAACTTACGTAATGAATTTTTTAAGTTCCATACATCTTTACATTCCGATAGCACGCTTTGCGTTTAACAAAGGCTGTATTTTACCTCATTTTCTAGTCATTGTGTTGGTTCAAAATTATGGATAAGTATTTATTTGCTTGTAAATACGAACAAACAATTGTTATATTTGTACATTTAAGGTAGATAGGTTTTTTTTTTTTTGTTAGAGTAGACTCTGATTTTGCCAAAAATTGTTTTTATGTAGGTTATGTAATTGGAGTTTTGAACTTGTTTAGAATAGACATAGTCATAAGTTCGTTTTTGAGTTTTAATCGTGTGATCGTTTGGTTTGATCTGTGATCTGTTACTTCGTCATAGAATCATTTATACAGGTCAAATACAAAGAATTAAACTTTCTTCACAAAAAATGTAAAATATCAAAATGAGGCTATATTTTGGTAAAAAAAGTCTAAAGTTTCTATTTTAGCACAAACAAAAAAGAAAAAAGTGTCTGTATTCAGTACTTTAGATCTAGTTATTGATAATGTACAAAATTCCATTTCCATTCGATATTTTTTGTGTAAAGAACAGTTGATTCTGAAGTCGGGGGTAGGTATAAAATTTGGCAGAGTGCCCAAAAGAGCACCTAGTCTACGTACCAAAAATATTTTTTACGAATTATTTCTTGTAATATATTGTAGTAGTATAAAGCATTTTTGTTTCAAAGAAAAGTAAATAATTTTCGAAAGAGGAAAAAGTAACGACACCGTGTTGAAAAAGGGAACGCAAGAGTGCAAGTTTTGACAATATTTACTAACATAATCGGGGGATGAATGTTGTTACTTTTTCATCGTAGAAATTTGTATTGAAAGTCTGTGACAGTGAAAATAGAATCATATTAATAGTACTGGTTGTTAAATCTCCTATGTAAATATTGCGAGACAAAAGTATTTATATATAATTCCCAGCAATGTCGGGATCACTTTTGCTATGGTCTTTCTGTAAATGAATACATAATCTAACTGTACACGGAGCGTTGGCTTTGTTTCTTTTTGTATTTGCATGCGAGATGTAAGGGTGGTGTACACGGGCGATGTGTTTACTTTGTTCCCTGTATGCCGCTTGTGACATCGTTATAGGTTCGGTACCATGTACGTATTTATTATCAGTTTTAGAGCGTCGAACGCCTCATCCTGGCGAAGAGTTGGGGTCACGAAATGCCTTACTACAAACATGTACCGTTGTTTAAGTCTAGTCAGCACTTGTCAGACGTGTTCTTTTCTGTAACCGTTTTGTTTTCTAGTCTTTTACGTCGTCCTTAGTTAGAGCTTCACCAGAAAAGCATAATACTCCGCGGAGCGGCGAGTCCTTGAACCGATACGTCTTTAATGTTGGTACCGGAGTTAGCACTCGCCTCGCCGTTTTCGAGCGGGTTGTCGGCCGTTCATTTCTCATAAAAATTGTGCAATTTCAATAAAAAATTAGATTGTCGCCGCACCCGCTACTGTGTGTACTACATACAATGTTTTGCACGATGTTGCACTTTACTCTAATTTGTCAGGTTCCGGGGGTTGTCAGAATCCAGATTTCCAGAATCGAGCGCTACGACTACAAAATCCCATCTGCTGTGTATTGTATAAATAAGTTTCTTCACAACCCATCGATCGGTCACCACCACCCAGAATAATTTAGTGCAATAGTAAAAACGTGTAAAAATGGCAATATCATATCCCATCAAAGTGTAATCGTGAGCGATCACGAGTCTACACACGATTCTGTAGAGAAATAGCGTTGATTAAAGAAATATTTAAAATAAACGGCCTTGTTTCATTTGTTGTTTCGTGCGTCCATGCCCGCGCGTACGTCTACGTATAGCGATGTCGAGAACGCACAGCGACGTACAACGTAGAACGTACGAGTTGCAACGCCACCGTCGTCGCGCCTCCGGCGCGGGTCGGATCGATCGTGGCGGCGGCGACGGCGGCCGTCATGCGCCGTGAGCGTCGGCGGACGTCGGCGTCGCTCGTTTGGACCCAGCCGTCTACACCGCAGTAACGAACGACACCGACGGCCGCAGTGAGCAGTGTTGGAGCCGCTCGCGACAACATGGAAATATTCGCGCCCGAAATAGTCCCGCGTCCGACTCAGCTATGAACTGTTGCGAGTCCAGCAGGCCGCAGTGCACGCAGCGGATTTCGTTCGACCTTGGCTTCCCTCGACATCTTGGACCGCAATGAACGGTACGGTGAGGGTGTGCGATCAGCGCGAGTGAGCGATCGGCCGAGACCTAGTGGCACAATAGTCCAGCAGGGCGAACATTCCGCCGCACAGTATGGCCTCGGTCGCCGCTTGGCTGCCATTTGCCCGGGCGGCGGCCATCGGCTGGGTGCCCATCGCCACGCACCCGCTCCCGCCGCCTCCGATCCCCAAGGACCGACGCAAGGCAGACGACGAGAAGCTGCTCATCAACGTGTCGGGACGGCGATTCGAGACGTGGCGGAACACGCTCGAGAAATACCCAGACACCCTCTTGGGCTCGAACGAGAGAGAATTCTTCTACGACGAGGAATGCAAGGAGTACTTTTTCGATCGCGATCCGGACATCTTTAGACACATCCTCAACTACTATCGCACGGGAAAGCTCCATTATCCGAAGCACGAGTGCCTCACCAGCTACGATGAAGAGCTGGCGTTCTTCGGTATCTTGCCGGACGTCATCGGCGACTGCTGCTACGAGGATTACAGGGACCGCAAGCGCGAGAACGCAGAAAGACTCATGGACGATAAATTGTCCGAAAACGGCGACCAAAATCTACAACAGTTGACCAATATACGACAGAAGATGTGGCGGGCCTTCGAGAATCCGCACACCTCGACGGCGGCTTTAGTATTCTATTACGTGACAGGTTTCTTCATTGCCGTTTCGGTGATGGCAAACGTCGTAGAGACGGTGCCTTGCGGCAGGCGACCGCAAGGAGCAGGCTCCCTGCCGTGTGGCGAAAGATACAAAATCGTATTTTTCTGCTTGGATACTGCTTGCGTTATGATTTTCACTGCTGAGTACTTATTACGAATGTTTGCAGCCCCTAACCGATACAAGTTTGTTCGCTCCGTCATGAGCATTATTGATGTTGTAGCTATTCTACCTTATTATATCGGCCTGGGCATCACCGACAACGATGATGTCTCCGGTGCTTTCGTTACCTTGAGAGTCTTCCGGGTTTTCAGAATTTTCAAATTTTCACGTCATTCTCAAGGTCTACGCATCTTGGGTTACACTCTCAAATCGTGCGCTTCCGAACTTGGTTTCCTCGTATTCTCCTTGGCCATGGCCATCATCATCTTCGCCACGGTCATGTTCTACGCAGAGAAGAACGTCGGCAAAACCAACTTCACTTCCATCCCCGCTGCTTTCTGGTACACGATCGTAACGATGACTACTCTAGGGTAACGAAATTCTCACCCATCATGAAACCCCGGAACTAATCGAACCCTTTCTTCTTTTCCAGGTACGGCGACATGGTCCCGGCCACTATAGCGGGAAAGATCGTGGGAGGAGTTTGCTCCCTGAGCGGAGTGCTCGTAATCGCATTACCCGTACCTGTTATCGTTTCCAATTTCAGCAGGATTTACCACCAGAATCAAAGAGCAGACAAACGCAAAGCTCAAAGAGTAAGTACCTATCGCGCATTCCCTTTCATTCCGCCTCGCCTAATCCGATTACCTTTTTTTTCTCGTTCCGCAGAAAGCTCGTTTGGCACGCATTCGCATCGCGAAAGCGTCATCGGGGGCGGCTTTTGTCAGCAAAAAGAAGGCCGCAGAGGCCCGTTTGGCCGCGCAGGAATCCGGGATAGAACTGGACGACAACTACCGAGAGGAGGACATATTCGAGTTGCAGCACCACCACTTGCTTCGGTGCTTGGAGAAGACGACCGACCGCGAATTCGTCGAGCTCGAGGTGCCGTATAACGGCCACCCGAAGCGTCCCGGCTCGCCGTCCCCGATGGCGAGCCCCGCTCACTCCGCGGTCTCCATAGGGTTGATTCAATCCTGCTGCGGCAGGTGCTGTCCACGCAGGTACCAGCAGGCTTGCGGCAAGTACATGCCGGCAGCTTCGGCAGCACAGTCGAATCAAACAGGCGGTGGTATGGACGGCACTTATCTTGTGGAGGCGTCCTTTTAGACATGTCGGCCGGAACATATCAATCTCCCGCCTTGTGGTTGCGTCTCGGTCGCGATTCCCTTTTCTTCGTTTTCCAAACATCGATTCTATTGTGTTGACGTGTGTAGTGTAAATTGTGATATAGCTGATAAATGAACTGACAGTTGATCTATGTACGTACTTACACAATAAACCGACTCATTCTACACTCGTTTCATAGACTATATGGTGTATTGTAAGATATAGAGGGTTGCACTTCAGTTTTTTGATTGAATAGACTCGCGTCGTAGCTCTGACCGTTCTATCGTTCTATCTCTCTCTATCTTCTTCACAGACACTGTCTAATACATTCCTGTCCATCTGAAACGGAATTCTGGCTCCTCGCGCGAGTCTAAGAGGCCATCTTTAAACTGGAGCTCACGCCGTACTACTACATAACTAGTAATTACATAAATCGTTTTACAGTCTTACTAATTAGGAAGGAACACGTTACGTGTTACAGTAAAAATAATTAGTTAACTATACATATAAAAAAACATAAGTAGCCATTGTAAAATTTCAAGATACCTATATATCTAGAACTTAACGAATTTGTCTTTCACATTGTTTTGTCTCCACCATCTTCTAAAATGATTGTTTCGTTTCGATTATATAGTTTAAACAATAAATTTTCCACAATCTAATCAGAGTTTCATTACGTTTCATTTCGCCGGCTCACCTTACGCCGGGAGTAAAGTCCGGATCGCAGAATCCGGTCTCCGGAGGCGATTATATGCGACAGTTACGGTGACGTAACAAAAGTGGGTCTCGCTGAAAATCAATACCTCCATTTATTGTGCCAATTCGAAGGAAAACATCCCGAAAGTGGGCTAAATCTATGCGGGCTTGGCTTGTTTTTGCGTCCTGTAAATGCGCATTTCGGATTTTTGAAATGCTTCGTCACTGCCAATTCGCCGACGTTTCCATCGATGAGCTCTTCATTAAATCATATCCCACTCCTGATAAATTAAAACAGCTGCGGTTAATTAAATCGGACCCCGACCTCGTCCAAATAGACCACAAAGTGCCCGACAGTAAATATTTCTATGATACATTATTACCCTTACCCTAAATATTTATTTTACATAGGCCGTAAATTTTTCCGAAAAAATATTTTGCGTCTCGAGGTTCGGCTTTCTTTGTTTTTGTTATTCGTTTCGCGGTAAACATCGGAAGTGCTTCACCTATGAAAGTCAGCTTTCGTCTTCGACGGCTCAAAATAACTGTGTATAAACAATAAAACAGAAAACGAATGACTAATTGTTTTCGATCCCTTAAATATTTTTACAGCTTCAGCGAAAGTGCTTCATCAAAAACGCATTTAGACATTGTTTGTGCTAAATTGATGTTTCTTTTCTTATTTGCGAGCCGTGTAGGTGTCCGATTTCCATAATTAACTGCATCTAATTGCCAAACAAATGCGATTGCCAGATAAATTCCGGAAATTAATAACAATCAGATAAATTGACCGGAAATCGATACCGCCATTAACGCCGACGGCTCGTTACGAACATCGCGCATCGGGTTAGCGCCCAATTCGGCAATTTTTTTTTTTTGACAAATGCAGGCTAAAATCAACACGAGACCTGCAAGCTTCCCTGAATTATTTTTGGAAAGTTTAGTTTAATCCGGTATGGTAGGAGTAATATTTATATACTCGCAACATTGGCGTAGATCATAACATTTTATAAAATGTTTATTATGCTAGCAATATCTTAAAAACAAAATGTTTTAAGGTTGCCTGACGCTGAACCTTGTAAGCTCATTTTACACCGATTTTACTTAATAAAGTCTCTGCGACCGCCAAAACTTTCCACCAGAATTTTATTTATTAAGGCGAGCCTCGTATTTTCCGACTTGACTGCATGTGTACATTTTTTTTAAATATTTTTCCGACTTAAAACATAGAACATTTGTGGAAAATTCTACAATACTTCTTGTTATTGTTCAAAATGAAAAATCACGTCGTTCTAGAACGCATACTTATTACTAACTGCTCATGTATGTATGATAAGTTCATATAAAGAAATTCTATGAAGGAGGCTACGTTGTTTTAACATTTTATTATCTGCAATACATTCTCATATTAACCATTCCAAGTTTAACCTTCGTGTGAAACAAAGGTGAGTTTTTTGAAAAACTCTTACTTTCTTTAAAAATAGAATTTTGTTCTTGAATTTTAAAACGAGCCGATTTCATGTTTTTCTTGCCGAAATAAATGTGCAGTTAATGGACGCAGTCGCAAATAATATAAGCAACATTTTTTCACGTTATAATTATTTACTTTACAAACTAATATTTATTCGCAGTTTTTAAAACAGTAAATTTGTAGCATTAAATGCGAATGTTATTGATATGTTACCGTTTTAATAAAATATTATTAGTATTTTACTAATTGCGTTAAAACTATGCTGTTCTCAGGCGATTGATATGAGACAATTTTTTTTTTAGAAAAATTACACTACATCGTATACATAAAAAGTGACGCTTTAATTAATTCTACATAAACTTTGTCACATTATATTAATATGACAATCATATCTTTAACAATTAATGTAAATCCACTTTTGCAAACAAATACTTGCACGTGTTTTATATGACCAATATAACTGAAAACGTACATTTTTTTTACTTCGCCACACAATTTTGAAATTTTTGCCAAAATAGAACCACTAATTAAGAAAATATTTGGCAATATTTTAAAGAAAAATGATGGTTTTAAATTATTGCAACATATTTTTCAGTAGAGATTTTGAAAATGTTTTCTAACTTACTTAAAATATTGTAAATTTTTGACAACAAAGTGAATTTTATACGAAATCCAGGCCTACGACAGTAAGACATTTTAGCCCTTAAATCTTGTAAATCTTTTTTGCTTTTCAGTAGCTGTACAGCGCGTTTGAAACGAATCAAACTAAGAAAAATTTGAAGTTTTATAACAGTAAGTGAAAAACAGGTTAATTAAAATGACATAAATGTAATAAACAATTTTCAGATATATTTTGATTTAAAAAAGCATACATATTCGAGAAGAGTCCATGGATCACAAGTAACTGCATTTAAAATTGTATCGTTCTAGGCCATTTTTAAATTTTTGTCTAGAGTACTAACATTTTTTTTTGTTTGTCACAAATATAATAAAAAAAATATGTTCATAGGCTACGATGCTGGACCAGCATATCCTGCTTGAGAACATCAGAGCAAGAATTGAGGCGCGTCGTGAAAAACGTCGCCGAAGGCGCCAAAGGAAACGAAAGCGGAGAAAACGGCGCAGACTTGCTTTACTCAGACGGTTGTACAGATACGCAAACTACAACAAGGAAGCGTATGAAGCCAAAAAAAGAAAAAGACTCGAACTTCGACGGTTGCGTGATTCCATTCCGTAATAGCACGACTTTATAATGTACGTTATTTTTGCTATAGCATGTACTTTTTACACTCACCAATAAATCATACAAAACAATTGTTATTATTTTGGTACGCCACTGGACTCATCTGTCAAAGGCGTTTTTAAGTTGGCAGTTGCTGTCACAAAATTATTTTTCTTTTTAAATGAAGTAGTACAATTATTTCGTTAGAAAACTATGTGTTAAGAGAAAAAAGTGTGCAACAATAGATTAATAAAATGCTTGAGCCGCGAGATGTAGCCGAGAAAAAATTAAATGCTGAAACTCACCGTAAGTGACATAACCTAACTTTTGACGCAAATTGATAAAAATCGTTTTAGGCTTAATTGGGGAAGTACAGTTGCTGCAGTATGGTAATTTTCTAGATAAATACAGCGCTGAATTAGATAATTTCAAAGATACGTTAGCCAATAACTCAAATGTGCGCTTGGAACCAATTTTACTACAGGTTAGGAAAAATAAACATACTTGCTTTGTATACGTTCTAACACTTCTAGAGCTTGAAAACCGAAAGTATATCATTGTTACATTTAGTGCATTCTGATAATAAATTGCTGAGTCGAATTTTGGCAAGTTTAGCGGCGGTTTGCGAGGAAATTAATTTGTTAGTTGAGGAGGCTCGTGGTTATTACAGCATTTTTGTTTTCTATGGAGAAGGTAAGAGAAAATGGGTCACGTCGTAGTCTAGTGAAACGTTTCAGGAAAAAATACAACATGGGAGAATTTACAATCAGCGTCTTCCATTGTTGAAGTTTTACAAAAAATTCATTGTTTTGTTGAGCGTTGCCATCAAGTTATTAATTTGTTATTCCAACAGTTATGCGCGATTTTGGGTAGAGAATACAATACCATAAGTTCTGGTGCATGTTTTCCTGTATGTTTTTGGTTATCTAGTTGCTATTTGATTACAAGTTTTATTTTCAGGAATTGTTGGATTGTTTAGCTGAGTTATTAGTTTGTTTGTTGACTTTTGATAGTTTATTTTCGTCCCACAGCTTGTTAAAAGATCATTGGTTACTTTATTGGCGCTCTATTAAGGGCATTGTACATAATCCTTCCAAATATCAAATGACCCGCGAACAAGTTCGATCTCTTGATAAACACCTAGCTAATATTGATAACACCCTTCTAACAGGAAATATTTTCAAGGTTAGCTCCCGAAATTACCACAATTGAAATAAAATTTTCATTTACAGAACGCACTAGACAAATGCATCGACGAAAAAATTATTTTAACTATAAAAAACAGCAGTCTTTCAAACGAAATTTCCGCATATATTAGTCAGTTGTTAAACGAGTTAGAAAAAGATGAAGAAAATATATTTTTTACGCAAGTTTGGCTACAAGTGAACGCACTCGTAGTCTTGGAACATTACTTGTTTGGTGCCACTGACAAAAAATTAGTCAAGAGATTGTTAGAAGTCAATAAAAAGGTAATTATTTTTTCGGCGCTCATGAGACGTGAAATTCGTTGAATCTTTCTGTAACTTCACACTAAACACTATAAGTAGATTGCTGAGAAACGAAACTGATGTCATGACGCACAGAAAGATTTAACGGAAATTCGATCTTCTGCTATTTTCACGAATAAAATTAATAGGCATCTGCTTGTACACTCTGCGGAAATATTTTATGGTACCCGGAACATTTCCTGTTAAAACATATACCTTCGTTGAGTAAATTTATAGACGAAAGAACTGTAGATAACATTAGACTCACAAAAATCGCCTTGAGAAGCCAAAGCTTGCCCAAAGAATCGCATCTGTTGTCTTTACAGGTAAAACAATATATATGAAAAACATCACTCCATCGGGTGATGAAAATATTTCTAGGCTTGTCACTGGATGATAGAAATCGATCGACTAACCCAAAAAAATTTAACAAGTTTTGAAGTGAAACATTTGCAAGAAACGTCCAATTTGTTGATTGAAGGGATTAAGTTAGTTAAAAAAATCAGCGAAGTGGTCAAGTGGATAACAAATCTACATGCTGATAAAGGGCGGCCTATGGCAAAGTCCGTGCTCTTGGCGCTTTGCCGCCTCGTTGAAATACTGAAATGTTTTCAGTTCATTTTTCATAAGAAGTTGTTGCCGCTTGTGTACATCATTTCATTAATTTCGCAACATTTATCACACAAAGCGTTAACTTTGCTACGACATATTCGTGTAAGTGCTTTTAAGGGTTAAGTGAGTGGAATGATTGTGTGCTTTTAGAAAAGCTTAACTCAGGAAAAATCGTATAAAGAACAACAGTTGGACGTTTTGTCAGCTCTGAGTGTTTGCGAGCAAAATTTAAAAGGTACTTGATGGAAGTGAAGTATTGGTTTTGTTGCTATTTTTGGTGTGGTGTTGTAGGGCCAAACACGAGCCAACGAATTTTAATAGCGAAATTGTCTTTGTCGGCTAGTGGGTTATCCTACGATCATTTAACTGAGATAAGGTCTGTGATAAACCGTTTAGAGTTAATTTGTTGTGTACATTCTATATTAAATCGACTATGTGATTGCTCTTTTTTATATTGGCACCAGATTTATATGTTGCCTGTATATTTTTCAAAACTGATTGAAACCAAAGCTGACCTATCTAGATATTATGTAAGTACTATATTTGTTTCACAGACGTACCTGTTAATCCTGTTTTTAGTTAATACTCAGTGCTTTAAGTGATTGTGCTCTTATTGCCGGAGAAAAAGTCTCCGCATCGACTGACACCTGTCTTAAGAAAGACTTATTTGGACCGTTAAATCAAATTGTTGAAACTAATTTGCGCCTTCAAACACATCTACATTTACAACTACCTCCATCCGACCCGTTCAAAAACACGCTTTCTTTGAACTTTTCCAAATTTAGCCCTGCCAGAATGGATAAGTATTACATTAGTATAAAAAAAGAAACCGAACATTATTTGAGCACCATGTTCTATAACCTTACAACGGTGGTTTTACACGATTGGAAAACCTACGGCGAAATGAGAAGGTGAGATATAGTAGGTTCATGTGACTAAGTTGGGTCTGACGAAAAATTATTACAGACTGGCGCGACTTCAATATAGCTTGGAAACCGTAGAAGACAATCTTCCAATGCAAACACTTGAACAAGGCCTCGATGTTTTGGAAATCATGCGGAATATTAATGTTTTCGTTGGGAAATATCTCTACAATCTGAACAATCAAGTGTTCGTAGAGGAATCGAGCAATAACAAACATTTGAACACGATTAATATTTCCCACGTTGCTAACTCCATCCGCACGCATGGAATAGGTATTGAAATATGAAAATACAGTCATTTCTCACGAGTACGAACGTTTTATGGTTTTCTCCCTAGATTTTAAATTTACGTTCTAAAATTGTATGATTTTGCAAAAATAGGTCGTCAATTTTTTTTGGATGTATATATATATAACATTTTTGTGTTTCAGGTATCATGAACACAACGGTAAATTTTACCTACCAGTTTTTGCAAAAGAAGTTTTATATTTTTTCGCAATTTATGTTCGACGAGCACATAAAGTCGCGCTTATTGAAGGATATGCGTTTTTTCTCCGAACATAAGGTGGATTTGATTCAGATGTATCCGTACGAGCGCGCGGACAAGTTCAATATCGGGATCAGAAACCTGGGTTTGAATGAAACGGGTCTGAGTTACTTGGACCTTTTTAGGAAACTGATAACCCAGATTGGTAGGTTTTGTTTTTTGGCGAATTTTTCTAGAATGTGGGTTTTAGGTAACGCGATGGGGTACGTCCGATTGATTCGGTCGGGTGGTCGCCGATTTTTAGCCGATAGCACTTGTTTTATCCCCAACCTTAAAGAAATCGACCAACTCAATGAGCTTATAACTCAAGAAGAACCCTCAGAATTAACGAAAAAAGCGGCGAACTGTTTCATGAGTGATATAAAGAACCTAGTTGAAAATTTTGAGGAAGCAACAGAGTATTTTAAACTACTTGTTAAAGTTTTTATACCAGTTTTCAGAAATCCTAGTAATATACACTTGAAGAATTTTTATATAATCGTGCCACCGTTGACAATAAATTTTGTTGAACATTCTTTAACATGTAAGGAAAGGTTGAATAAAAAGAATAAAAACGATGCTGCATTCACCAATGATGGATTCGTTATTGGACTCGCCTACATCATCGAACTTTTGGGACAAGAAAGCCAATTAAACTCGCTACATTGGTTCCATTCAGTTCAAGCGAAATTCGAGCAAGACAAAAAGAAAATCGAGGAACAAAAAGCTGTCGCCAGTAAACAAGATGATAAATTGCAGCAAACTTTGCAATTGTCAGAAAAGAGGATTAATTCGTTCGAACGCGTAAGTGTGATAAAAAAAGTAATCACAGCAGTAGTTGAAACGTGACGTTTGTCGCTTCTTATGTGTTATTCTAACCTCACATTGTAAATTTTCTGGCTACTACAAGTGTGTTCTTTTTCAGGAATTCCGCCTACTCTATTATAGCTTCAGCAGTGCCAGAATCTTTTTTCAAACATGATCATGCTTGTGCAGTCAACTATCGATAACCACAAATACGACTTTAGTGCAATTATAAGCATACTTCATATATACATTCCATTTTTGTTTGGCATTCTTTTTATATTTTATCAAACACCAATGTTTTGTGTACGCTTTTTAAAATAAAATACGTATGTTTCGTAAATGTTTATTTCAATTTATGTAAATGGGTATACATGGTGTGATTAAAAAACAAGTGTAATTTAGACAAGTAGACAAACGTCCTTGACTTCGTGTCACCATTACATTTATTTTTAATCACGTGGTATAAATATCCAGATAATCAATACAGGGCTATAAATATGACATTTTACTTCTTGGCTGCTGCGGCCTCGTCCTCCCGTTGATAATTCTGCAGTACTTCTAATTTTTTAGCAGCGATGCGTTCTTCTCGCCGTTTTCTGGCCTCCTTGACTTTCAATCTGCGTGCGTCAGCTTGGTCATTCAACATTTTTGTTCTAGCCTTCTCAGCCTTCTTCTTATGGATGTACTCCATAAGAACTCTCTTATTCTTGAAAACGTTGCCTTTGGCTTTCATATACAGATTGTGGTATAAGTGTCTGTCAATTTTCTTGGCTTCCCTGTACTTTTTCAACAGTCGCCTCAAGACCCGCATTCTTTGGGTCCACAGTTCTTTTTGAGGGGTACGCGCATTTGCAGTACCTTTTCTTTTACCAAAGCCACAATGTCTGCCTTTTCTTCTGGCTTCCGTGTTCTTGCGGACACGGGCACGGGAGTGTACGGCGACGGGTTTCTTAATGATGAGACCATCTTTGATTAATTTCCGGATGTTCTGTCCTGGAATATTGTTATTTGTACTTTATTCAGTGTGTTTGTAGACTTACTTGAATTTGTGTTGGCAATTTCGTTGATTTCGTTAGGGTCCAACCAGACTTTTTTTCTCCCACATCGCATAACCGAGGCTGCGAGCCTCTTCTGCAATTTTAGCGAACTGCAAAGTGAGGTTATGTTAATTTTTTGTGGTGCAATATTGGATTATAGATACAAAAAAGTAAAACATAACACGTAAATTCTTAAAATAAGGTGTTTTTTGGAACGGAATTAGCAAAAATACTAGACAAAAATGCGTATGACTACTGTTACACTACATCTGGGGCTCTTTTTGACTATTGGGATTTATAATTAAAAAATATACGAAACAATTATTAATATATACATACGATTTGACAACAACTAATAATTTTACTATTATTTTTTTACGAATAATAATAATACTAATTAATGTAAGGCATACCTCATTGCTACCGCGACTGCAGCACGTGTAAAAAAATTACAAGAAATCGAAACCACGCGTTACTTTGACGTTTGGTGTTTGACGTTTTCGGCGAAAATAGAGAACCCACAATACACCACAATTTTGTATGCATTTTGATCAATAGTCCAACTTCTTTATGTTTTTCTAAGTTGAATGTTTCCTAGAATGTGCACAAATAGGTGGCCCATTTCCGTCTGTCTCTTGTCTGTTGCCGCTTATTATTAGACACGTAATTTCTGAAACTATGCAGCGAATATTTTTGAAATTTCAGATATACATATCTTGAGATAATCGTGCAGATTCAAAATTGTGCAAGCAACAGTTCTGAACAATAATGATAATCATAAAATGCGAGTAATTTGTAAATTCTCTGGAGAATGTAGTGGGAGTTCCAAAACAAAAAAATGTTTTTGTGGAAATTTCATAGTATTTTTTGACGTCAAATGTGTCCATATACCCATAAGTCCCCTTTCCCCTATTAAAAATAGCGTCATACAGCAAAAACGAAGCGTCAATTTGGTCAATCGCAAATTTGCATATGGGTGGTATGACAAATGACAGCGGGTTGACAGTTTACAGGATCACCATAATCGCAACAAAAAAATACCTGTTTGTCAAAATAGACGGAAAATAGAAGGACAGAGATATATTTATGTTTCAATTGCTACACATATAAAATTGAGATAAATTAATTTAAAATATCAAGTCGTTTCATAGATTAAATCCTTTAAGACTAATAAAATAATAAATGTTTGAGTTGTGTATCAGATAATCTTATCTATACATTGTTTTTCAATCATTTCGCAGACCTCATTGTCAAGAGTTTTGTATTTAACTTGACTGTGCCCTTCTGTACATATCAGAATCAAATTTCCTCCTAGATGTTTCTTGCTTTTTTTTGTAGCAGATATCTTCAGCTAATTATCCAATTCCATCGCGGTGTACTTCAGCGGTGAATCCAGGTAAAATAAAAATTTCTAATTTGTAAAACTGGGTGTGATATAAATCCACTTTTCCATCCATCTTGGAAACGATAAATGTCGGTCGGTGGTGGTAATCAAAACATAACCTAACATTTTCCTTGTATGCTACTTGCTACATGCACAATTTCCTTATTCTGTTAATGTATATTCTGTTAAATATTTTTAGGACTAGGTAAAACTCTTAAAATTTCGCTTGTTTGGCACAAATTTGGCTTTTCCTTTGCAGTAGGTGCATTTCTGTTTCTTGTGCTAAGAGAAATATGTCTTTCAAGTATCCAGAAGCTCGGAGAGATGAAACAGTGAAAGACAGCTACTTCGGAACTGAAGTAATCTTAACGGATTATCAAATTTAGCGCTAATAGTGAGTTCTAGATCACTGATCCTTACAGATGGCTAGAAGATCCAGATGCTCAAGAAACCCAAAAATTTGTTGATGATCAAAATGCTGTTACCAGACCATACCTAGAAGGGTGCGTTTACAAAGAAGAGATGAAGAACAAGATAAAGAAATTGTGGAATTATACCAAAGTTTCAGCCCCTTTTAGGCATGGGAATAGGTATTTTCAATACCGGAACACTGGTAATCTAGTCAAAACTAACTGACCCCAAAATAAGCGTAACCTTACTAGGTCTACAAAACCAAAGTGTTATCTATGTACAAAAAGACTTAGATAGCGAAGCTAACGTATTCCTGGACCCAAACCTATTGTCAGAAGATGGTACTGTGGCTCTTTCTGGAACTGCATTCTCAGAAGACGGTAAAACTTTTGCTTATGGTTTGAGCAGTAGCGGGTCGGATTGGCTGGAAATCAAGTTTAAAGACGTTGAAACGGGTAAAGAATATGATGAAATCTTGAAAAAGGTTAAATTTTCGCCAATGACCTGGATGCATGATAATAAAGGCTTCTTCTATGGAGTAAGTCCAAATCAATTGAGTCAAAAATGTCCAGGTTGGCGTTGGACGAACTTTTTTTCTCATCACTGGTGACAGTGTAGTCGTCCAACGCCAACTTGATGTTTTTTAATGAACAGACATTATAACCCCTCTTTAAGGCTTATTTGGATCAAACTGGAAAGGCTGACGGTTCTGAAACAAAGTCTAACGAGAATCAGAAACTGTATTACCATGAACTTGGCAGCGACCAGTCTAACGATATTGTGGTTGTTGAATTTGATGATCCTCAGTTACGTATGTAAGTGAAATGGTTGAAAATCACCAGTCGTATGATACTCTAACCCTTATTAGACGTTGTTATAAGAGTTAAACTTTTTCTTGATTTGCAATGTTGGACCTAAAGCGTTACCCGCGTTAACTTTTGTTCGTTTTTAGTGGTGCACACGTGAGCGATTGTGGGAATTATCTAGTAATATCAGCAACAAAAGGTTGCAAAAACAACCTACTATATTTCGCGAAACTTAACACCGAGAAAATTTCCGGAAAACTGAAACTGACAGAAGTTGTGGGCGAATTCACCGCCGATTATGAGGTATGCGAATAAAAAGAGACAACCATTTGCTATCCTTGTTTTTCAGTATATAACCAACGATCAAAATATTTTCTACTTTCACACGAACAAAAACGCATCGAATTACCGTATTGTTAGTATCAATTTTGATAATCCTGTAGAGTCTGAATGGAAGGATCTGATTTCTGAACATTCCAAGGATGTTCTTGACTGGGCTCACGCTATTAATGAAGATATGTTAGTCGTATGCTACCTCCAAGACGTGAAGGTATAACCCTCATGTATGACGTGTACTACTTTAACGCATTTAGTTCCTTAAATGCACTTGTCTCACTTTAAAGGTGCTCTTTTTAGAATATTTTGCAATTATATGATCTCAGAACTGGTAACAAACTCCACGATTTTAAGTTGGACGTTGGAACAATTTCGGCGATCTCGGGAAAAAAACACCATAAAGAAATGTTCTACTGTTTCTGCTCATTTCTCACGCCAAATATTATTTTCAGGGTTAACTTTGACGTAAACGGTTCGATTAAAGAATCGGTAAATACTCCGTTTTTAACATGCCTCAACTACACGATTTTTTCAGCTGTTTCATGAGACTAAAGTTGGCAAGTTTGAACCATCAAAGTATGAAACCAGACAAGTATTCTACAAAAGCAAAGATGGAACTGAAATTCCCATGTTTATTATAAACAAAAAGGTAAAACTTGGCGCTCGCTTCGCTCGTCTAAATATAAAGTTAATACTACGACACCGTTTTGTTAATTTGGTACTTTCTAGGGTCTAGTGAACGATGGAACCAAGCCTTGTCTCCTCTACGGGTATGGGGGTTTCAATATCAACCTCACCCCTTCGTTCGTCGTTTCGCGCTTGATTTTTATCGAAAATTTCGATGGTGTTTACGCCTTGGCTAACATACGCGGAGGAGGGTAAGCGTTTGCTTTGTAATAATTCCTTCCACATTGCGAGTTTTAGGGAATATGGTGACAACTGGCACAACGCTGGTCGTTTTGGCAACAAGCAGAACTGCTTTGATGATTTCCAATATGCTGCGCGGTACCTCGTCGAAAATAAGTACACCAATGTGGACAAACTCATAATTCAGGGCGGTTCAAACGGCGGATTACTGGTGGCAGCTTGCATTAATCAAGCACCAAATCTGTTTGGAGCAGCTATTTGTCAAGTGGGGTAAAAACTCACTCTTGCACTTAAATTTTTTTCTAATTGTTTTGTAGAGTTTTAGATATGTTGCGTTTTCATAAGTTCACGATCGGGTATGCTTGGAAGTCGGATTATGGGTGCTCAGAGGAGCAGGAGCAGTTTGAGTACTTGTATAGGTATTCGCCTTTGCATAACATCAATCTGCCGAAAAATGGGCAGTATCCGGCAACTCTTCTTTTGACTGCTGATCATGACGATCGTGTTGTACCTCTACACTCGTTGAAGTTTATTGCAGAATTGCAATATAAAATTGGGAAATTGGCAAGCCAGACGAATCCGTTAATGATCAGGATAGAGACCAGAGCAGGACATGGGAAAGGCAAACCTACCTCAAAAGTGGTAAGTATTGGTGGAAAGGCCGTATTTGGGTTAATTTCGTGCTTTGTAGATTGAAGAAGTTACTGATACATTCTGCTTCATCTCAAGAGCTTTGAATCTTACCTTTTTGTCTTAAGTTTGTTTACCAGTAAGAGTTCCGTCGTAGATACAATGTTCAAATTTTGTTGACGGCTTGATCCCCCGGGATTAATGGCGTCTTTTGTTTTTTTTTTCAGGCATTTAATAATTTTGGAGTTTGTACATTATGCCATATTCTAAGATGTTGCCATTTCTACTTAAGTGAACCAAGCTTGTTACCACTATGTTGTTATGATGTAACGTGTTCTTAGCCCCTTTTTTTTGTATCAATAAAACTTTGATTCTGAAAGTGTCATTTCATGAATACAGAGGACGCAGTGTTTGTTAAACATGAACGCCACCTGTTGTAATCAGTCCAAACGAATTTGTTAAAAACTTTTATTATCAAAACATGAAGACAAACACAAAAAATACAAAACGAAAAAGGAACTCAACAACAAACAAAACTAACACAGAATTTTTAAACAATGACAAAAAACGAACTTCTAAAATACTGTATAGATAATATCAAAATTGGTAATTATTGATGACTAGCAAGTCAGGTAACTGGGTTAGATCACAAGAAACGTAAGACTAGTTTAGTGATTTGAGGAATTCAAAATCCTCATTTCGTTTTCAACGTATGCATTGTCATCAACTTTATCAGGGTCAAGAGTACGTGTGAGCGTCTTTGAGTACGTCTCTTCTGTAAAAATGTCTACCTTTTTAACAACAACGGCCGTATGTGGTAATTTCGTATTTATATGGAATATATTAAAATGTTTCTTTAAATGATCCATGACGCTTCTGATGGTTCGAATCGCAGACTCTGAGAAGGTCTTGTATACATTTTTGGGCATTATTATTGGGTCTCCAAGTAAAGCTTTTGTACAAATAGTCATACATAAACTAGTTGTGATCACGTTAAACCCTCCTTCCAAGATCAGAATCACTCGTCCTTCAGCCAGTGGTTTAAGCATCAAGATTAAATGCCCGAATGTTTCTGGGTTCACGTTATAACCACCCGATTTTTCTTCATAAATGCCGGCACCAAAGCCAGCCGAAACGAGTACCACTTGAGGGGCAAAAGCATAAGCTGCCGGTAGAACTATATTTTGAAATGCAGAGATGTATTCAGTATCCCCCATCACGTCCTGGAAAGACCAAACATACCCCCAGGTGTAATAATGTACCACTGAGAAAAAAGTCGTCTAGTAACGCAATGGTAAAAACATTATGTTGGCAACACTAACGCGCTTTGACAGTTACGGTCATAACAAATTTTACGACTTACTGAACGACTTTTTTTCGATTATATGGTGTTTAGACTTACTCTTTTAAAGGGAATGTTAATATTTAAACCTCTGCCAGCTCCATGACCATCATTTTTAAAGCTGTGGGGACAAGTTGGATAAAAAATGTTGTCCTCCCCGACCTTCTCGTCCCTATGGATGCTAATGTACAAAACATGGGGGTTGGAATAGAACATATTCTGGGTTCCATTTCCGTGCTGTATGTCAAAATCGACGATCAAAATTCTACAAATAAAAAAAAAAATAGAAACGATGTTAAACTTTTTAAAAGATCACACCTTTGCATATTATACTTGATGCTGAGGTATGTAGCGGCCACACCGATATTATTAACGAAGCAGAATCCCAGAGGTGTGTTGGCTTCTGCATGGTGGCCAGGAGGACGGATGAGGGCGACACCTCCTCGAGTGGTCCCAGTCATTACACCATCAAGAATTGTTAAGATACCGCAAACGGCAGTATCAACAGCCTCATTAGTGTGCTCGTTGACATACAAATCAGTCGTCTGCAGCAACGCTGCGTTGATTGCGGCCATATAGCGGGGAATATGAGGGCTGTAGTTAGCCCAATCGCGCTTGACGATCTGAGTGTAAACAACATGTAATTATTCAGCAATAAATGTTTGGTAATTACCTTGGTTCGCACCAAGCGCTTGTCAACCCCAAAGTCTTTAAAGGTCTCCAAAATAGTCGTAAGACGGTCGGGTTTTTCCGGACGTTCAACGTCCCCTTTTTGTGGCTTATGCTTTAGCATTTTCTCATCGTAGATGTACGTAAAAGGCAAAGTCAGCGAAGCGCGATATCCTACACCCTCATTAATAAACATACTCAAGTAACACACTTAAACTTACTTTCTCTTAAAGCCTTGTTCATTCGTACATAGTAGTTATGCTCCGGGATCGAATTTTCCGGGTAGCAATTTCTAGTTAAAAACGGTGCTTTTTCTGGTACTCCAAAGTACTGTATTTTGTATATGTCGTTCTCGTCTTTGGCCACACCAGCCTTTGGGACGACGAATTCGCAAATACTAAAACAGTTCCATTTGCCGTACAAAGTACGACGAACATTGCGAATTGTTTCAATGACGGTGGGGTGGACGCCTCTAATTGGGTCCAAAGCTGGGCAAGGTCCTCCAAGCAGTGTTTTAAGGGTCAAACAAGCTGCTTCTGTGAGAGTAGGGATGAAGTAACCCCCTTCGAGAACTACAGCCATTTTGCCTCTAGCGAGTCCATGAAGCAGGGCCACCAAGTGGGAGTAAAAACCAGGAGTTACTTGCATTTTACCCTAAGAGAAAAACCACTTAGACAATTTGAACATCAGAAAGACCGTACTAGAAAAGGCATCTAGTAAAAACGTTCCCATCTCCCTGACAAGAACATAAAGACCGTTCACAACCAGATAGTGAAACAAAAAGAAGACAAAATATTTACCTCGGGGCAACCCATAACCGCGTCATAGCCAGCAGATAAAATAACAAGATCAGGGTTGAACTAAGAAAAAAAATGTTAGTGCATGCAACGAATCGTTCTAGCGACAAATGCGTTCCTAATTACCTCGTAAGCCACAGGCAACAAAAGGGAGAAAACGATTGCTAAGTAATCATCATCGCGTAAATTCGTTGCATTTAAAGGCACGTTGATGTTGTAACCTAAACCCTCGCCTTTACCAATGTAATTGAAATTGCCATGTGGCAAATTTGGCCAAAAACACCCATGCTCATAGCGGTGCACGGAAAAATATAACACACTAAAACGTCACATCATCCAAAAATAACACTCAATGGTTAACTTACTCTTTCCGGTCATAGAACATCTGTTGAGTACCTTGGCCATGGTGGACGTCTATATCTACGATCAATACTCTTTTTGATAAACCATCTTTGATAGACGCTTCTGCAGCAATGGCAACGTTGTTAAAGAAGCAATAGCCATTAAATTCATTATACATGGCGTGGTGACCTGGAGGTCTTACAATAGCCATCCCATTCATGACCTCATGTTTACCAATGGCCAATACAAGGTTCAAAACAGACGACAAAGAGCGACATGCGGCATCAAAAGTAAACTAAAAACTTATTATTTTACCGTTTCATTTGTAAGGTAGGGTTCTTACTCTATTAAAATATATTGAGTTATATTGAGCGGCTTCCCGTTCAAGTGTTGACAGGTTAGAAGTTTGACACAGAGTTTTCAACTTTTCATAATGCTCAGCCGAGTGTTTAGTGAGAATTCTATCATATAGATCAGTCCTCAAGAAGTTTGAGATTCTGACACATTTATCCAGCAGTCCTCTTTCATAACATCTTAAAACAAGAGTCATTAGTGACACAAACGACTTCTGTCTTAATTATCTCTAAGCAAACACAAATCAAGCAAAAAAATAAGAAAACAAACTATTTTTTAAACAAATTTGACTTACTTGTGCATTATGGTGGTCACCCTTTGCGGTTCCTCGGGATGTCTTTCGTCCCACTCGCAGCGATGTTTAGTAATCTCGGAATCGTACACAATCCCAGTGGATCTTCTAATAATGTAGTTTGAAGCAGTCGCGTTCGAGTAGGGGTCAAAACAACCAAGACCAGTTAAAGTTTCTGCCAAGGCATGCTCCATTTCCTTCCTCTTACGCATCATAGTAGCCCTTATAGCCTAACGCAAACAAAAGTTTCTTTTACTTACTCAATTTAAATAATACAAACCTCGCGTCGTCCGCGCGTGTCTCTAGATCTTCTGCTTTTGGGTTTCTCCTCTTTCTCCGGTTTGCGTTTTGGAAGGTCAGGTGAACTGGTGGAACCCTCGTCTTTGCCCCGTGCGTGCGATCTTGTACTATCCCTTTTTTGTCGAGATCTACGAGCCTTTTCTGCGATCTGTTTATACTGCTCTGGCGGGAGGGCGCAGGCTTCTCCCGGCGAGCTGCTGTCATTGTCGCCCCCTTTTTCCACAGGGGGCTTTTCATATCGACGCCGCTGATCAGGTAAACTGAGTGGACTTGCGGGTTTGTCGGGAATTGGTGGAAGAGGTAGATCTTCTATTGCTGGGTAGTCTATAGGCTGTTTCTCCGGTGAGCTGCTTGAACTGGGTGTAAAGGGGGCTGGCGGTGGCGGTGGTCTGCGCGGTGGACTGCTGACCCGGGGCTTGTATTTTCCCATAAGGGGTCTACGTGGGGATGCTGAGCTTGTCGAAGGACCTTCATCCGGCTTAGGGAGACCGCAAGTTACAAATTCGGGAACGCGACTTTTACCCTTTTTCTTAGCGGCTGAAGTCTTTTTTTGAGTAGGCTTTGGATCAGCAGGCTCTTTTTTTTCATCTTTGTCCTTTTCAGGATCTTTATCAGGTTTTTTCGGGGTACTCATTTCTCTCTGAATTGCAATTATCTGATCATTTTATTAAATTGTGAGTGAATATCAAACTTTTAAAAGTTATGTTTCAGTTTATTCCCACCAAATCAGAATTTGTAATTGTTGCTACTGCCGGTTTTGACATGCGCATTATGAGTTAAAAATTTGAACTTACCTCTTGAAACTTGCCTCCGGGGTTTGCAGAAGCCGTAAATTCACTGCAGGTACTTTTATTTTTCAATTTCGAATAATATTCACCTCAACAGGTGTATCAGTACGCAGATCGACGCTGTTGCACAAATTTGTGGTTCTGCGCCATGTAGTAGAAGGATAGACGCATCTAGAAAGCAGATCATCTCTCTTTATTCTACCAACCAAAATCTAGTGACAAATATAAAGAAACAAAAGTAACTAAATTTTCGGCACAGAAAATTGAAAGACGAAGCTACGTTGAGCCCGTTCCAAGCCACCACTCGGTCAGTGCTACCTTTTAAAGGTCACCACTTGTCTCGAAGGGTTGATCCTGGGCGAAACTTATTTTTTATGCTCATTGATGACGCACTTTACAAAATGGCCGTGTTTGTGATTGGTTCCCGCCAAAAGGGAGTCGTTGGGAAGTTTCAATTCCTAGATTCTTATTGGTCACTTTTGTAACGGGCAAATTTTCGAAAGTTTCAAAAATTATGATCCCTGAAACGAGAGATTAATTGAATTATTAACTCATAATAATTACTTACGCTAGTAAATGGAGAAAATGTCACGGCATTGCTTTTTTAATCGCAATCTTTGTTAGTACAGCGGTACAGCGTAGCTGATGTAAATCTGCTAGATCCTGTTAGTTTTCGACCGACGACGTTGATGTCAAGTATTATCAAAGCATACATTCGACTCTGTCCACTAACACACTGTTCTTAGCCTTTTGCTTTTCAATATTAGATTTTAATACTCCCTCAATTTTTTTTTAATAAATAAGCTTTTATTAATTATAAATTTTATTACGAAAATGTGAACAGTACAAATAGAAACAAAAAACGAATTAACGTTAGTAACAGAACTGAAATAGACTTTTCAGAGAAAAAAAAAACACAACAATACTTGTATAAGGAATATTGAGCCACTATTGCTGACTAGTAGGTTGACTCATCAGATCACAAGAAATAGACTAGTTTCAACAAGCTAATGCATTCAGAATGCTCATCTCAGTCTCCACATAGTCATTATCGTCAATTCTGTCGGGATCGAGCACCTTAAATAGAACTCTCGCGTACGTATCCGCCGTGAACTTCTGAATTCTCCTAATTATTACTGGCTTATTAGGCAACTTCTTGTGTACCTTGAACACCTCAAAGTATTGCTTAAAATGTTCCATAACATCTCTAATTGATAGCATGGCGTGATACGAAAAGTTCTTGTATATATTTTTAGGCATTATTATAGGGTCTCCAAGTAAGGCCTTAGTACTAAGAGCCATCGCATGAGTAGTGGTTGTTAAGTTATATCCTCCTTCCAAGGCCAGAATGAGACGTCCTTCAGCTAATGGTCTAAGCATCATGATGAAATGCCCAAATGTTTCTGGGTGTACTTCGTAACCACCCAAGGGATCATTAATTCCAGCGTCAAAACCAGCTGATATAAGTATCACTTGGGGGGCAAAAGAATAAGCTGCCGGCAAGACAACATGTTGAAAAGCGGCGATGTATTCAGTATCACCCATTTTGTCCTAAAATACTAAATATACCACCATGTGTTAACAATGTATTTACTCACCCTATTGAAAGGAATGTTAATATTGAAACCTTTACCGGCTCCAAAACCGTCGTGTTTATAGCTGCGAGGTGACTTTGGTGGGAAAAATTTCCCCTTATCGTCTTTATGTATACTGATGTACAATACATGAGGATCAGTATAAAACATATTCTGGGTGCCATTTCCATGGTGTACGTCGAAGTCGACAATCAAAATCCTGAAAAATGAAAAAACTACATACCAGCAGAGGTAAGAATTTCCAATATGTACCTTCGCATATTGTATTTGATGTTGAGGTAGTTGGCACCCACAGCAACATTATTAACAAAGCAGAAACCTCCAGGTTTTCTGTGTTCTGCGTGGTGACCAGGAGGACGAATAACTGCGACACCTCCTCGACAAGTAGCATTCATTACGTTATCAATTACCGTTAGTAATCCTGAGACAGCAGTATTCACTGAGTCACGAGTGTGTTCGTTAATATACAGATCTTTGGACTGCAATAACCCCATATTGATCGCCTCCAAATAGTTCGGAATGTGAGGGCTATAGACAGACCAATCGTGTTTGGTGATCTATGGTAAAATACGTTTAAAACTATAAAGTGATACATGCGCCACAGGTGCAAAGATTATATAATTAATAGGACTTACTTTGGTTCGAAGTAAGCGTTTATCAATGCCATAATCGGTAAAGCCTTTCATAATGGATGTGAGACGTTCGGGTCTTTCGGGACGCTCGATGTCTCCCCTTTGTGGAGTATGTGCCAACATTTTTTCATCGTAAACACACGCATACGGTAAACTTACAGATGCACGATATTCTACAAAAAAAATAGGAACTACAGATGTTAAAAAAACATATTTAAACTTACTTTCTTGCAAAGCTTTGTTAATTCTGGCGAAATAGTAGGTTTCCGGGACTGTATTTTCCGGATAGCCTGTTCTAGTTGCATAAGGTGTACCCTCCTGTTTTCCGAAGTATTGTATCTTGTACATGTCTTCTTCATCGTCTGGAACGTTTTGTTTAGGGACAACGAACTCACAAATATCAAAACAGTTCCATTTTCCATATAGAGCACGACGAACATGACGAATCGTCTCTATAACGCTGGGATGAATGTTTCGAATTGGGTCCAAGAGAGGACACGGACCTCCAATCAATGTTTTTAGAGTCAAACAAGCTGCCTCTGATAAAGTGGGGATGAAATAGCCACCTTCGAGGACTACCGCAATTTGGCCTTTTGCCACTCCATGGAGCAGACTTACCAAATGTGAGTAAAATCCCGGGGTTACGAGCATTTTACCCTAACAGAAAAAACGATTAGAAAAAGACAGGACCGCTTTGACATCACAGAGTGATGTCGGAGCGTAGCGACTACAATAAACATTAACCTTTCCATCTCCCATACAAGAATCATAACCAGCAGATATAATGACAAGATCAGGGTTAAACTAGAAAAAGAACAAAAAATTAATATTTACCTCCGGGCAACCAATAACTGCATCGTAGCCAGCAGATATAATAATGAGATCGGGGTTGAACTATGAAAAATAACAGTTAGTAACATGCTGTGAATTGTTATAGTGACAAATGCGTCCCCAATTACCTCATAAGCCACAGGCAGCAAAAGGTAGAAAACAACTGCCAGGTAATCATCATCGCGTAACCCCGTCACATTCAAAGGCACGTTTATGTTGTAACCCACACCTTCACCTTTACCAATGTAATTGAAATTACTTTCTGCTAAATTTGGCCAGAAATACCCATGCTCATAGCGGTGCACCGAAAAGTACAACACACTAAAACGTCACAGTCAACCGCAAGTATCACCCAACATTTAACTTACTCCTTCCGGTCATAAAACATCTGTTGTGTGCCCTGACCATGGTGGACATCTATGTCTACAATCAAAATTCGTTTAGCGAGATTTTCTTTAATACAAGCTTCTGCGGCGATGGCAACATTGTTAAAGAAGCAGTAGCCGTTAAACTCGTCATACATAGCGTGGTGACCAGGAGGTCTCACAAAAGCCATCCCGTTCATAATATCCTGTTTAGCGACGGCCAACACGAGATTCAAAACTGACGACAAAGCGCGACAAGCGGCATCAAAAGTATGCTAAAAACTGAATTTTATTAACTGATTTGCAAAATAGAGATTCTTACGTTATTGAAATACACGGAGTCATACTCAGAGGCCACGTGCTCCATTGTAGTTAAGTTGGCAGACTGACACAAAGTTTTTAATTTCTCGTAATGCTCAGCTGAGTGCTTGGTGAGGATTTTCTCATACAAATCGGGTCTTAGAAAATTCGGTATTTGCAGACATTGACTAAATAATCCTTTGTCAATACATCTTAAAACGAGAATTCATTAATGATACAAACGGATTTTATACTATAGGAAACCAGCCAAACTGAACCTTCTTGCGTTATAACAACTAGAAGCTACCTATAAGTACCGCAAGTGCACTAAGGTGCACACAAGCGAGATTAGCTGTTATAGCAGGCGCGCGCACGTTTTCCGTATGGCAACAACAAAAACGTCAATAAGACTGGCTTTAAGCATTCAAAAGCAAATATGACTTACTTATCTACTATGCTGCTCAACCTTTTCGGGCACTCGGGATGATTGTCGTCCCACTCACACTTGTGTTTAAGAAGATCAACCTCATACACAATTCCAGTACGTCCTCTAGTGAGTCGAATGCAAGATGTAGCATTATCGTAAGGATCTGCCACAGGCTCTTCATTTGCGGCCGTTCCTTGCGTACTCTTCATTTCTTTTTTTTTACGTGCCATAACAGCCCTTAAAGACTAAGGCGAACGGAAGTTTCATTTAGCACTACTTAAGTGAAACAAACCTCGCGTCGTCCTCGGCGCTCTTTCGATTTTTTTCGACCGGCTTTATCACCCCTGTCTTGTTCCTCTACTTGGGGCAGTGGCTCTTGTGGTGGTTCAACATGATGGTCTCCACTCTCAGTCACGTCTTTTTCTGGCACGTCTGTATTTGGTGCGTCCTGTTCAGGCAAGCTGCTTGTCAAGGTCCCAGATTTCACTGGGGAGTATTCATACACCTGTTCAGATGAGCTGCTTGGAGTGACCGTGTCTTTTTCTGACAGCGGTTTGCTGAATGAGGTTTTGTCCTTTTCTGGAATCTCTGTGTGTGGTTCTGTTGACTTAGTCAGAGTAGATGTATCTTTTGTGAAGTCACTGGATGCTAATTCAAGAGTGTCACTTGGTGTACCCTTGTCCTCTTCGCACGTGGGTTGTGCCAGTGAGCTACCGGCCTTCTCATCGGCATCTCCTTCCGCACTGCTCAAAGTCTCCATTTTAGGAGGTGTGCGTGGTTGTATTGGGTCACCTTTTTGGTTGTTCTCCTTTTCAGGATCTTTACTAGCTTGTTCCGGGGTACTCATTTCACTCTATGTCGCAATTAAAGTGATAACTTTATCAAACAGTGTTTATAAAAGATTATGTACCAGTTTATTCCACAACAAACAAGAACTCGTAATAGTCAAACTGGCGGTGTGAAGTCATGCACCTGTGTAAGTTAAAAACATGAACTTACCTAGTGAAAATCACCACCAAGAATTGCAGAGACCACAACTTCACTATTTTTACCAGCTATTTTTCAATTTCTAACAATATCTACAGCAACAGGTGAACTAGTACGCAGACCGACGCTGTTAAACAAAACTTCAGTTGTGCGCACGCCACCATTGCGCTTCCTAGCACAAAAACAAAAGACAGCGAATAGCGTCTCTTTCTAGCCTACCAACTAAAGTTTAGTGTGAAAATCTAAGAAAACCAAAATCACCAAAAGGAACTAGATCTCGAACGACGGAAACAAAGAAACGAGCAACTTTAAACCACTAATCGGCCAAAGCTTCGTTTTAAAATCACCGCGTATCTCGTAGGAGTCGGTCTTGAGCAAAACGTATTTTCAGGTGTCTGCAGTCTCTCAGAATGGCGGTCGTCGTGTTTGTGATTGGCTGCCGCCAAAAAACGCCAACTTTGTAAATTTCGAATCTTAGATTATTATTGGGCAATTTTGTTTCGCGACGAAAAAAGCCTTTGAAAAATCCCGCCAACCACCCCCGCCTCCCTGAAACGCGAGATTAATTGAACAATTAATTGATGATGGTTACTTACGCTACTAGAATGGAGAAAACGCCACGTCATTGCTGTTTTCGTAAGGTGATGTAAACACCCTTCGAGCTGGCTCAGCCGAAGCTTTTAATATGGACACGATCGGGGAGATGTAATCCATCATCTGCACCGTAATTGATGGAAATCTGGTAGACATTGTGGCATTCTTCTGATGGACGGCGTCGACGCTGTGCCGTCTCTCGCCGAACAGGCGTCGGCAGCGTCCGGATTCGACGCTGTCCCAGAAGAAATTTGTTGGTGGTTGTACGCACACGCCTGCTGAAACATGGCTCAAAATCCATATTATTTGTTACATTTTAGCTACTTATTAACTAATACGATTTGTAACTATTGATGGTATTCATGTTGATGCCGAGTGCGAACTAGGGGCGGCGGTAAGTGGTGTTGATGCATGAGAATGCTCGTTCTTGGTAACTATTAAACGACTAATTAGTTATAGATGTGTTTGCATTTTAATGCATTTATCGGATTTTCGTCGAAGCGAACCACTCTAGTTACATTTTTAACTATTTGTCATCGTTTTTCTAAAAAGTTGTGAGAGTTTATTTTTCGCGGACGATTACGACCGGCTCTGTTTATTTGTTTATTTTTCCAAGAAAATGTTTACAAATCCTTTTGCCGCTTAATTGAGTTTTATTGTTTTCTCGTTAAAACTGATTTTACCAGACATGATTGAACCACCTGTCTTTCACATGGACAAACAAGGTGCTCCATTGTTCGATAAGTTTAATAAAAGCGGTGTATACACAATTACTTTATCTAGGTCGAAGCAACCTCCGATCACAATGGTCACAAAAGCCTTTTATTCCTTAACACAATATTACGAGATGTGCAATCGCCTGCTATTCATTATTGATACAATTCGTATTGTGTAGACCCTTTTTCTCGTTTTTATGAAAGTTAATCAAGCGGAAAATTCATGCTCTAAATTCCGAAAATGTGAGAATGACTGTTTCTGCTCGTAAAGTGTCACATGAGTGAATTTGTAATTTTCTAGTACGTACGAAATTTCTTCTCTCTTCGGTCACCATGGAGACACCCGTAGTTGTGGTAGCTTTTCGATAACTCAACCGAACATTCCGTTACATGTTGGACGATATCACCTTGTTTAATCTCCTTGAACTAACAAATTTAATTAATGGAAGCACCCCTATTCCCTTGTGCGAGACCTATAATATAAGCGCTTCCACTTTTCAGGCAAATTGCTGAACAGCTCCCCGAGATGTCGTTCAGTTATCCTATTTTTCCTCCTAACTAGTTCCGCCACTTAATTTTTCACGCCTCTTGTGCTTAAATGCAGATTATCTATTTTAGGGGTTTTCGTTTTGAGTACATTGCAAGAATTTTCAGTCGCTGTGGCGTGGTATTGGGCTAAAATTCAACATCCCCTTTGAACTATATATCCAAACATTTCCAAACTTCGTGGCTTCCTTGCGAATATGCATATGTACGTTTCCGACCTCTAAAGTGAAATTCTAACTATTCGTACCCTTTAGCTACTGATATCATCTCCCCTTTCGCGCTCTTCTTGATCCCATTCGTCATATATTATGAAAGCTTTCTACAATAGCAAAGCTTCCATTTTGGGGCAAATTAGCTTGTGTTTATCTTACACGCTAGTAAATTTTTACGTCTCCTGTGGCTATATTTTATGTTCTCGAGCAACATCTGTTTCGTGTCAATGTATTTAATGCACTTCCTTCATTCTAATATTAGTTGCTTGAACTATGTTCATAAACAATCAGGAGTAACAATGGACGTTGCGATATCCGGCGAGGTTCGCGCCTCTGGGAAAATCAATTAGAGCCGTCGTTGCCCCATGATTTATGAATCTTGAAAAAGTTTCCTGACAAATTTCAGATGTTCGGGAGCAAACTTCGATCATGGATGGAAGCCGTGAGGCCGCGCAAAAAACAGCACCGGAAAGAAAAGCAGAGTAAAACAAATCTCGGCACGAACGCGGTTTCAGCCTCAAATTGGCAGAACGGAGATAGTTGCAGGTCATCGCAAGATGATCTACTGGTGAGTAATCCCTTAAGAACAAACTTGGAACTAATTCTCTGGATTAAGGTTGTTGAGAAGGGGAATCGGAAAATCGGAAACGGTGCCTTGGCCGAATCGGGTCAGAGTAACCAAGGGCCTGCAACGCGATACTCGGCCAATAACTTATCTTCTCCAGAATCGGCTTACTCCACGGGCTATTCCACCGACGGGACGTCACCCGGCGCGCCCCCGGACTACTACATAAACATCCGCACAGGTGACTTTTGCGAGGTTAAATCCGAACGAGGGTTTGGTTTAGGCGTTAAATATTTTCCAGCTGAAGGAGACCGGTACCACGAACAGCAGTTGAGGTACCTGCAACAAAAACGCGTATCTAACGGGAACGAGACGGAGGTATCTTTGCGGGCCAAACCTTTGACCCCGTCTTCGACATGTTTGTCCCCGCCGGTTACCATTCATCACCGGCCCCCGAACATGGTAAATGACTGAATGCTCTGTTGATGTTCGTTGTTTAAAGTAGAGTTGAAGCTCGAGTATAGTAACTTGTATCAGTGTCTGCATGCATTTCGATGTGTGAATGAAGTTCTCACTGGACGGGAGTAATAGCAGACGCAAGAGGTGGAGAGGGTGCTCCCAGTGCAATCACGTACGACCCCCGCATTCCAGTGTAGTAGTGGAGTAACCCCTACTAGATTAAGCGAAGTTGTTGCTAGTCCCGTTCTAACGTCACCAAGACAACGCAACCGGATTAGAACAAATCCGTGGGTTCCGGGAAGCACTCTCAGTCCGGGGCAAATCCGACAAGAAATGCCGAAAATCACGACCCCCGCACCCTCCACCGGAAGCCCGTAAGCCCTCTCATTATGTATCCAGTTGAATGTTTAATGTCTGGTTGCAGAATTTCGCGCCGGTTTTTGAGCCCATCGACGGTCCGCGGACCAAATATACGAAATCAGTCGCTTTCGTCGTCGTCTTGTTCGTCTTTGAGCGGAGCCAGTGTCCACTGGGATGCGAAAAAACCATCAGGAAGCGACGAAGACGACTGTACTCTAAACGAGATGATGGGGAAGTACGACGAGAGTTACGTATACGAGAAAGAAAATGATATTCTTAGCGATAGCGATCCAACTGATTGTGATACGGATATAGATACGGGTCAAGATGGAGGAGACGAGGATGAACCGGTGGAAGGAGAGTTTGATTTTATCGATAATGGGTCGTACCTAGAGCTCGATCCTAGAGAAGATCGCAATACTGGCCATTGCACTTATTATAACTTTGAGGTTCCACGAAAAGCGTCTAGAAGACGTACCACTCGTCGGAGTAAACAGTGTAGCGAGAAGAGACGCAGGTCGAGTTCTAACAAAAAGCGACACAAGCAACTAGAGCGTTCCGTGAACGTCCAGCTGAACGGTTCTAAGAGCGCTGGTGCTACCCCTTTGTCCGTCCGCCGCAGTAAGCACCACCCGATGTCTAAGTTGGCCCTAGATGATTGCCTGAAAAAACGGTCTAATTCCATCAGCTTCAGCCGAGAAGATACCCTTTCCACCATCGATAAAAGAGATAAAGAAGCCGATCAGAAATATCGCGAATTGATCGTCGAAGCCGAGCATATATTGCGAAGCATGAAGACTAACGGCCTATCTCCGAGGCGCGTTCCCGGTCCCGCAAATAAGCGAGTGGAAATCCTACGTAACACAGAATGTGCCAAACCGGAATTATTCATGAAGAACAGACTGATAGAAGAACCAGGCCCACCATTTACAAAAATACCGTCCAATAATTTTAATTGTCCCAGATTTAGTCCTAAGCGCAACCACATCACTAACTTTATGATCAACAATTCGCCTGCTTTGATGAGAAGAGAAATGGAATATCCAACGTCCCCGCTTGCCAAAAGACCGGAGTCGCCCAAATTGAGCCGAAGCCATAATAGGAGTGACGCAAACAGACGCAGTCCCAAATACCGGAAGAAATCAAATAAGCCGAAATTACAAGAATGTCCCAGCTCGAGCAGTGATTCCGACGCGGACGGGGCGGGGAAGAATAAAAATTCCGGTCACGCAACACAAACAGATTCCTTGGGTTTCGGATGTCCTCAGAGCGAGCCGGTCAGAAGGAAAGTTTATTCAGGCCGGGGAAAAACTGTTGCTTTTAATCTCAATTACGAAAATGTTTGCAACAATGGTAAGTAAGGGTTTTACGGGCGGGTGAAGTGTTATTGATTTTAGTTACAGATTCCCCCACCCGGGTTCTCGAAACGCAAGACTATAAAAACAGTGCGGAAAATCTGAGGCAGCAAGTTTTAATGAACACCATCGCCAGCTTGAAGAAGAGTTTGGAGGATCAGTCGGCTTCGTTGAAGCAGGTGTACAGAAGTTCCCATAATATACATTTATAAGTTGCAGGAATACAGATATATTTATAATTTTATACCAAATTGATGTTCAAAACAAACACCACGTAGTTGCTAGGAGAGACACGATTTTGTTCATTCCCATGGCGTATAAGCTGCTGAAGCAAGTATCACTGGAGGTTTAGTACTTTTATCACGCATTAATCCGTGTAGTTGTTAACATATTTAAACAGACGTACTTATCGGTAGCGTTTTTTTCCAAACCAGAGTAGAGTTTTGGGTTGAAGTAGAGACAATATTAGAGATTAGATGACGTAGAAAAATACTAATGTAGGTTCTTGTCGGCTCACTTTTCTCTCTTTCTCACAGGTGTATTTTTGATAAGGCGAAGGAACGGGTACCTTAGTTGCGCCGATACAAATGTTATTGATTTGCAGAGTCATAAAACAAATGTTTATTGATTAACCAGTTGTCATTTTAAGTGGGCCACAATCAATTATGTAACAATATTGGATAGTAAAATAATGTAGTACAATTTAGTATAATTTGAATGTGGTATTTGAATCGGACTAATAATCTGTGAATATCATCTTTGATTACGTTGTTTCTGGAGTAAATACGGCCTGATTAACCATTGTTAATTTTTGACTCTAATTTTAGATGTAGTTGAATTATGGCAGTAAATGTTAATTTGTTATTTCCTGCAGAAGGAAATGTTATTTTGAAAAAAAATAACACTAAAATCGATCAGTACTTTGACTGAACGACTCCAAATGAACGTTTGGGGTTTAACTCAGAACGCATTCCCTGTTAAAACTGTGCTATTCTACTGATATATTTTTAATATATGTATTTTTATAGGCACTAATCGAATACGTTACGCCTATATGCATATTCGTTATTTGAAATGTGCCTGTTTTGACTCTCAATTTTAACTCCACAGCTAAGCTATCACCGTATTCATGTTGTGATTCCTGAATTGTTAAATTTTTCAAATATTCATCTGTAAATAAAATAAAGAAAATGGAATTTCTCTGCTCTTTTTCATTATCCTTATTAAGTCCTTTTCGAATATTGCTTCGATTCGAGCACAAAGGAATGGATGATTTAATTCCATTACAAACAAAATGCGCTGAAGTGGCTGGAACGTCCTCGGAATAAGCGCACTCTCCACGGATCAATAACGCCCAATGCAACTACAGATTTTCTCTGTTGAAAATGCAAACGAGTTATAGCATCACTAATTTCATTTGCATAATAGAATATCTGAATAAATAATTCATAGCCCGTGATCACCTTTTTTGAAATAAATATTTAATTATTTTTAGAAAGCCCTTCAGCTAAATTGACGCTTTCAAGGTATTTTATTATTCTGCAGTCAATATTTAAATTGAAAATTTAAGACACAACCGTGTTCTCTGGTCGTAGGTATTCATGTTTGATTTTAGAGCTCGTAAATAAACGACTACGAAGAAAATGTTTTGTTTAGGAGCACATCCGTATTTCATTCGGCTTTATAAAAGTCGCTTATAAGGAAAAATGCACTACTTTTATTCCGTACTTACCGTGTTTTATATCAAGTTGATCCTGTGAAGCTGCCGCTAAAAAATGGAACATCGTAAAATGTTAAGGAAACCGGCGCATCCACCATTTTTCTCCTTTATGAAAGTCGAGACGAATGAAACCGTATTCTTAATTTAAAACGTTGAAATTTGCGCTAAAGTAACGTTGATTGATTTAGGAAGATCGAATTCGCTTTCGACCGGATGTGTAGGCGGTCGGAAGCGTTTACTCGCTTTAATAATACCGGGGATCATGTTTGGGGTTCGGCTATATTTCATTCTGGGTAAAGACTTAATGCCGCAGTCTTAAGATCGTTAGGGTGGTGGTACATCGACAAAATTGCAGTTTCTCCTTTCTCTCCTGTCGTTGACTGAGACTAATCCTTATAAATTAATCACGAGCTGAAGTTTCCTTTGTCAAATTTAACAAGAATGGCAAAGTTTCATTAACGGTGATGTTGTGGGTGAAATATCAGACAGAAAGGCAGGGAATTGTTATCCTTCCATCTGAATTTAAAGTAGATTTTGTGCTATTTTTATATGTATACAAAATCTTAGTGTCGTGCCGCGATTGTGGCGAAAAGTACGTGCGAATCAATATTAGGACAAGTATGTCAAGAAACGACGTCTCCGCAGCAGTATTGATTCGGCGGTGAAAAATGGAAGGGAAAAATTTAATGATCGCACAAATGAGTAGTCCGACAATCTAGTGATAAGGAATCGAGGGCGACGGGGTGATAAATAAACAGCGATTATAAATGAAGACAACAAACGTATATTTGATATTTATTTATATGAATTCACAGTGTGTCGATTATTAGTGTACTATAATTGGGGTACATGGTGTGGTGCAGTAGAATGAGGGCAGGGCTAACCGCCGTGGTCGAGTCGCTACGTAGTTATATCACATCATCATATTGTAAGTCGCGGCGAGCGGCATCGTGGCGGTTCGTGGCGGCGGGATGGGATGGGTTGACTAGTGAGACAAGTAGCCCTTATTATTACTTAATCTTATGCCACATTATCCTAACCCTAGAAGTGAGATGAACCATAACTTCGTTATTATTACACAACACTAATATTTAAGAAGTGAGCGACGAGTGACGTCCAGTCTGATTGCTATGAAATGCACGCGGTAACAAAATAACGGTTTGAATAACGTCACTGTCCCGTTCCGGGATTGGTCCGTGGGACGACACCGGTCCAAGGTCACGCACTCCGCGACGCTGCATCGGTGCCGGAGCGAGGAATGATCCGAAGAGGGCGCCGGATTAGGGCGCCGCCTCGGCGTCGGCCGCTCTTCCGACTTCCGAGTTATTGTCGACTGTCGAGTCTAGGTCTCGTTAGGCCGCCGTCAAAGGCCGGAAGAACGCTACCCGTGAGGCCCTGGCCCGTCTTGGTCCGGCGCCTCCGAAGCCCGCTCCTCCTTGCTTTCGGCCTGCTGCTGTTGTTGCTGCTGAGCGAGCGACCGATACAACGGAGAATTTACGAAGCGCGGGTAGCTATCTCGATGCATTAGAGTGTAAATTTGCAGTTGGGCGTCGTCGAACGTGTGCGGGGTCGGTTCCACCATGTTGCGATTCACGATCTCACGAACCCGAGCGTCCAGCGACACCTGAAATACAAATAAGCCGACTGTAAGCACCACCAAACCCACTCAGCGACATACACACATCAAACGATCAATCCCACCGTGTCGGCGTCAACGCCCACACGGATTTTTACCGCGCGGTAAAAATGTTCACATAACGAGTTTAGCGCCGATTTTGTCATAAAGCACGCCAATATACCGTACAAAAAGCCTTCAATACAAGGTTCCCCGGGCTTCTCTCAATCTGTCCAAGGAATAATTTTTTTACCGAGCGGCAAAAATTGTCACATAAAGGGATTAGAACATTCCAAACTAGAGTCCAGCGGGCTTTCGATACGAGGTTTCCGGGGTTTCCCTCAGTTTTTCCAAGGAACGGTTTTTTTTTACCGCGCGGCAAAAAATTTCACAAAAATAGCTTACCGCTCCGATACAAGGTTTCCGAGGTTTCATACTTAATCAACTAATGCCCGACGATTGCCACATTACCCGTAACCTTGTATCAATCAGCTGTAACTTAATCAACTTAACGCATCCCTTAGACCACATCGTATCGACGTGCAAGCCACAAGGTATGCCCCATTTGTGATTGTGATTTCACCGCTATCAAGCAATCAAATCCACCGTGGCGGCATTAACGCCTCCAAAAAATTTTACCGCGGGGCAAAAAGCATTTCAACCTATAATACAGGGAGCCTTCGATACACAAGGTTTCCCTCGGTCTTTCTAAGGACCAGTTTTTTTTGTTGGCGCACTTTATAGTTAAACAAAGATTCGACTAACGAACGTGACGATTGCCAGATTATTCGTAACCTTGTATCAATCAACTCTAACGAAATCAATTTAAACCAACCACATCGTGGCACCCACAAGGTATGTCCCTACTTGTGATCGCGATCTTACTAGAAAATTATACCAACTGATAACGACAAGAAGGAAGCTGTTAGGATGTTTTAATGTCACGAAACTTACTCAGTCTGATTTGTTAGAAGATATGTCGTAGTAATGTTCTTTACCGCGCGGAATAAAATGTAACAGTACAGAAAGAAGCTAAAGTCCGATTTCATTATTCGCGATTTTTGAAGACGCTAGCCCAATAAAATTAATCTTTTGTCGATGTATATCAAACTGCTTCGCGTCACGATTGTTTTACCGCGCGTGAATACGAATTTATGTTTATGTCGCTTTCGTTTTAAAGAGCACTAAATATATTCGACGAATTCGTGCTTTACCTTGAAGGACGATTTGGGTTTTCGGTAGCGTCAACAGAATATTGTACGTTTGAAAACAAATCTGGGTATTTTGCTTGTGTTAATCTGGGTAGAAGTTGAAAATGCAGCTGTTGGTCGAAGTGAATTAAAGTAGATTAAATATCAAGAATCAAAATAATCTTAGTTAAGACGCTTGGTGTAAACGGATTGTGGTCACACCAGAAGCAGTATAAAGCAAAATAAATGAAAATCTGGCGATATCACAGATTTAGCGTGAAATGTGTTCCTTTGATTAGTTTCTGTTTCCAGAAGTAATTACTGGCTAAAAGCCTGGACTGCTCACCAACTAAATTAGCTAAGTCATGCAGGAAGCTAAAACCCATTAGAGACGTTAAAGCTTCATCGCTAAATAAATGAAAAAATCACATAAGCGTGATATCTAAGAATCGCAAAAAGCTAGAATTCATTGAAACGTATAAAGCTGTTATCAGAAAAAAACAGTTAACGGCTTTAGATGTTCTGGTTTCGTGTTGTGTGTTTTTGCTTGAATTGAGAAAATATTTTAAGAAAAATGTCGTAAACGAAAAATTCAAGTTAGTTGAAGGTCTTCTTTAAAACAACGATCTCTTTTGAAAATCCCACCGACTAAAAAAAAGTCAGAATCAATCATCCGTAGTAAGTAAAACTTTTCAATATTCGGGATAGAAGATGAAAACAAGTAAGAACGTCAAAACTATATTACAAGCGAAAACTTGGAAGCTCGTAGATCACTTAGGATCTAATCCCATCACGGATAAGCGTCTACAAATCATCTGCACCTGCGAAACGTCCGTGAAAGAAGAACGACCTTTTGCTTAATACCTAGATATATTTTTCTTCGATAAAATTAAGAGGGAAACCTTAAGACGTTTCATTTATAAAACGAAAGCGAAAAATAACACTTGGGTAGTTTTTATAACAACTTGAAGCATTACGAACAATAGTAATTTGGGTTATTAATTTAAGTATTGTTTTTATAAAGATTACTTATGGGTTGTAAAGTTCAGAAACAACATTAGCGGTAATGTAATGATAAGTTGTTGAAAAAACAAATAACGTTCCGCCTCTCTCGTTAATTAAATCCCGCAAATGGACAGTTAGCCTTCCGTTAATCGATAAAATAAACGAAGATATGAAAAAAGCGTTGTCCCCTAAAATTATCCGGGCTGAAAAAATTTTGATTGATTTTGTAATTATCGCATGAAAATTTGATTGTAATGATGTGTGTGAGGTCAAAAAATGCCGATAATTTCGATTCGGTGGTGAAGTGGTGTACCGCTTGACGCCACGAAATGAGCGTTTTGTGGGGCACTTAAAACATTAGTTAATTTAGGTAGGGTGTTATATATCAAAGGGTTCAACAATCACGTTTGCGTACAGTAATATCGTGACTATGGTTCCGTATAGATTGAATTGCCCCGAAAATAGCACGGGAGTGGTGAAATTTTCTTAATCGGACGCAATCGGGTTATTGTTTAGAAGCAGACATAGTAATATTGTCGTAGGTCCAGGGATCTTGAATGGTTCCATTAACAAGAAAGAGTAAAGAAAATCGATCGCTTACCTCTTTAGGTGATAGAATCGAAATGTAATCTTCGTATATGATTCTTGCCTTCTCCTCCACTACTTCTGGATTGTTTTCTCGTTTCAACTCTTCACATGCCAGCCAGAATAATATATTTTCTTCCGAGTATTCGCACCGTAGGAAATCTCTAAAAACTTTTCGTCCAGCTGAAAACGAAATAAAACGAAACTAATTTCACCGATGATCGATAAGTGCATTCCACACTTACCGGGGCTCCGCATAAGTTTATCGAAAGATCTTCCCCAGCTTCTGATTTCCTCTAAAGAAGGACTGGAAAGCACTCACGTTAGAGCGTAATTGGCAATTTTGCGTAAAAGCTGTTCCATGGATGCTCGGAAGTAGATATTTTTTTGACACGTCGCATTTCGAAAACGGTTGCGATTAAAGGGAAAATATCGCGAGAGATATCGGAGGAGCAAAAATTAGGTCTTTGACAACAAAGCACATATCCTATTCCCAGCGGAACAGCCTATACAAAGAAAAAGGGTACTCACGGTGGATCTCCATCAGGATTTAAAGGATCTGAGTTATTGGAATTTTTTGTAGGGCCATTTTCATCGTTTCCTTTTCCAGGGGTTGAACTGAAATCAAGTCGATATATTAAAATCGAATCGATGCAGAACGAGTGAACGAACGAACGAACGTACGTACGAATCGAACGCGTTTTTAAATACTCCCCCAAATATGCGTTTAAACGTGAAAATTTCTTCGAGCGAGCTATTAAGAGACGCGTTCACACGGACATAAACACGTTATCCGCTTGAATAATAATAAAATTAACGTGCGATTTTTGCACGTTCCGAAACAAGAGAAGACAAGGCTCAAATCGCAGCACGTGCGAATGCGAAATCGCGTCGAGTGACGACCCTCATCAGCAATTAGCCGGCGGGTTCGAATTCGGAGTGGAAATAATTTATGAATTTACGTAAGAAATATATTTCTGTAATATAAATAATGCGGCGATCTCGTTTGAGTGTTAGGATTATGGAGGCGCTATCGTTTATTTGTTCAGAAAGGAGCACATGCGAATATTAGTCACGGCATTCGCGAATCGCAGTGTCGCTGCGGGTCTAATTACCAGGAACAGCTGCAGCAACAGCACCAGCAAAGGCAACATTGCTTGGGACGCAACGGGGCGCCTTGACCAGGTTGAGGGCCGTTCTGAGGGCCGGACTGGGACCCCGCCGAGGCCGGGGGTCCTCTCGAGTTCGGAGGCGTCGCGAGGCTCGCACTGCTAGACCCTCGCAGTCTGCAGCCCGCCCCAGCTGTAGCTCCTCCTGGACCGGTCGCTGGTCCACCTCCAGGCCCCGCTCTGTTCTCCGTCACCCGCTCGGTTACGCTACAAGACATCTGCAAACAAATTCAGCCTTCATTAGACAGCATTCCGATCGTCCACATTCACCTAATTTTAGTTCATTCAGTGAAAATCGTTCGAGCCATGTAAAATTTTATGGGTTTATAATACAGTTTTATTATTCGGCACTGCTGCAGTAAAAATAACGATATAATCTAACGCGGCTATCTGTACAGTCGAGCTCAGAATACACCGGCCCAAAGCTTCACCACGTCACGACCAACACCAACACGAACAAAGACAATCGTCGACAACGGCAAAATTTTCGGTTCCGAGGAAGGCAAAAAATATGTAATATACTTGAAAATTGAAAGGATTTTTGAGAGATTTGTGAATTTGCGAAATTACCTGATAACCGACGATATTACTAATAACATTTTCGTGTTTTGCAGCTTTACACCATGTTGGAAGATTATCTTCCAATTGACGATCTGTGTAGTCAATTTGATCGTGCGGTGCGTAACATTGTTCCTACACTTATATTGGTACTATGAAACTGTAGAATGGTTTCCACTGTTGAAAATAGAAGGTGATAAAATCGAACATCTTATCACTGGATTAATGTTTGAGCTTTTCTGTCATCCTACAGTTTCGTGAACAAAACATTTTCAACAAAAAACTTACTGTTTTATGGGCCGGACGAACAAATGGTGACGATAGTTGGACGATATAGAAACGTGCCAGACTCTAATGACTTATTGATTAGTATTCAAGTATTTAATAACAAAAACTTGGGAATTACACTACGAGCGGTGTTAGTTTGTGTATGAAATTCTCGTTTTAATAATGATAATGATGATAATAGTAGTAATGATAATGATAATGGTCGAAGAAGAATGTTATTGCGTTATGTTTAGTTAAAAACGATAGCGGAATGGTAGTTGCGTGTATAGGTAGTTGTGGTAGTATATATAGGATTTGATAAGATTGGTGGCAGTTGTTAGTGTGTAGTGGATGTAGTAAAAATGAATGATGTGTGTAATTTATCGGTTCTTGTTCGGTGGCAAACATCTGCCATCGGTCCCTGGCCGGGTTCAAGTTCAGCGATTAATTATCCTTTAGAGTAATCGTTTGCGAAAGCTCAATAAACAGATTTAGTGTATGTGTGTCGAATTTTGGTTCGTCTGTTGTATGTAGTGGTTGATTTTTGAGAAATGCGAGTTGCCGATGTTGTTTATACGGTTGGCGTGAGTGTACAATGTGGAAATAAACATGTGGAGGACTGGAGGAGCTTATTTTTGTAGAGGTGTATGCACCGAAGTGTTGATTTGTCGGGTGTCTTTGTGTTAAAAATCATTAAGCCCCCGAAAAGTGGGTCATAGCGCGTTGACTCGTGCCGGAGGTCGATATGTGGGGTTTGGAGAGCGCGCTTTGTTTATGTCGTGGGAGGTCGGGCGGCAGCCGGGCAGTGACAGCCGGTCGGACGTGGGGGAGCGGTGTTTACCGGCGAAGAATCGGCGGCGGTGGCGTCGTCGCCGCCGCCGCACTTGTTGCGGTCCGCGCTCCCGGGCCGGGCTGCGTGTATTGATCGCGGGCCGAGGAGGGGCGGCCGAGAGCGTGGAGCGGCCTGACGTCAGCGCCTACCTTTATCAATGGCCATGAAGGTAGCTGTTGGCACACGTGCCCGCCGCAGCCGAGCCTTGGGCCATGCCCAGATGGCGGTGGGCCGGGGTCCTACAGGGCGCGCGCCATGGCGCGGAGGCCGGGATGGGGCACCCTCGTGGCGGTGACGCGCTGCTCACTGCCGCACTCGAACACTCCGCCGCACTCGCTCACTTGCCCGGTCGCCGAACGTTACACCCATCTCGACGAGCGATCGCGGAACGCCGGACGCGGGGTTACTGACGCTGGACGTCGATGCGATGGGCGCGGGTACAGATCGCTCGTACGGTCCGTACGTGGACTGAGAAGTTGCGCTTACGCGTCCCGAAGCGGCGTCGTGCGCCGATGCAAAATGGCGCATGGCGATGCCGGCACGAGCGGCGTCGACGTCGCTGCCACCGCCACCGCCGACGACGCCGACGGCGCAGCGGCGCCGAAGCGGACGGACCACTCGACCGTGCCAGAGGCGTGCACTTTCTTTCATATATACACGCTATAGCCTCGTCGCCGCCTCACCGGAACGCCCGGATCTCTCTCTATACACATATACGTGAGGATAATGCCGACGCTCTAATATAGATAAAACGACGACACACTTGTTCGCAGAGGCACGTGCAATTTTCACCAAAATAAAGCACCTCTCTACTACGTAAACAACAAACGAGTCTTCATTCACCGATTCCCCTACCTATTGTCGAAAGGGGGGAGAGAACGCGCCACCCCGCGCTAGCGGCATATGACATAACGGCGATCGTAAAGAGAATCCTCATTTAAAAGTTACTTTTTTTGAAAGAAGGCGTAAAGACCTCAGGCTTAAGAAGACCATTCGACGTCGACTACTAATAAATCTCGTCCGTAAACAAGAGGAGACTTTACTGAAAGCGGATCTTGCAATTTTAATTTAATTTTTTTTTTGTTTTTCTCGTTTTTCATTAACGTTAGGAAAACAAAAAAACTCATTATCGTCGATTAGTTTTATTTACACGTTTTCTCAATACTGATGCCGAATTTGAATACGAAGACAAAAAAGCGGCACTTTTCTGCCACTTGCCGCAGAAACAGTTCTCTTTGAAAGGAATTTCGTGCTCAGCCTTCCGCTACAATCAAATTGCGACCCTTTCTCATGGTAAGTGTGTTTTTGATTATTTAGAGTATTATTCAGGATGTAAATTAAAGACTTGTCGTGGTGTTTAATGTTCAAATACTGAAGTAATTAACAATGATAATTTATTATCTTGGTTCGTTAAATTTCATTTCTCCGCAAATCGGCATTAACATCACTGATTACTAAATATAGCTTCATTAACAAGTTTGTAACCAAGTCTGAACGATTGTTTAAATATTTAGCAAATATGTAAAGAAGTTTTATTTTATCTATGTTGAAACAGAAAATGAATGAAATTTGATTAGTACCGAGAAATCAACACCTGAATAAACATATAAAAGCGTAATATTTTTGTTGACAAATATGAATATTAGTTCGTGCCGTTTTTAATTTTTCATCGTGTTGAATCATACACAAACACGCGTCAATTATATTTAACAAAGAATTAAATTTCTCCAGCTAGATTAGGTCGCTATTCTAGAAACCTGATATCATTAGCTCGTTTTATTAGCGTAAGAGATTAGTTATAATTTTAAAAATGGGATAGCTCACACCAAATTAAATTATAATCACGCGTACGTTCACTCTAACTGATGAAAAAATGCTAATGTGATAATTTAATAATGTATGTCGTGCAAAATATTACACGTTAAATTTTTTAACAAAGTTAGGTACGATCGAAAATGATGCCGAGAAATATTGCAAAATTGTCAAATGTTTTAGCAAGTTGGGTAGTCACTTAATCAAATGTTTGTTGTTTCCAATAACAAATCGTGTTGTAATGATGTAAACTGCGATCATTTGTGTTTTGAAACATTACAAAATCGGTAAACAACTTTAACAACATTACCGATGCTCTTTTACAAGAAAACTACCAGTGTTTTACTTTCGTTCATCAAACTTGCAAGTGTACACTTTACGCTAAGTATATTTCGGCTAATGACAAAGTAAATACGATAATTTAATAATGATCGACGGAAATATATATTTATATATAACATATTACACATAAAATGTTGCGTAAACAAATTCTTAACGATTAACACTTCGGTCTCCGAATTTATTAATCAGCACCAAATACTCTTAAATGTATTTTCGTGTTATTGGAATTTGGAATTCTTGTCAAAGTTTGTGCGAAGAAGAATGTATAAATCCCTTTCCAAAATTAGACTCCAACTTACTTTCCAAGTTTTAGCGCAACACTTTAATCTTTTATGGGAGACAACAACGTAATGAGAGAACTCCGTTAAGCGTTCCGACTCTTAAGTATACTATATAATTTAGTGTATATATTTCGAAGCGGCAAAGTGATAGGAATAAATGTCTGTTTATCGAAAAAGGTGATCCGTTTCCCTTGCGAGTAGTTGTTTCTGGGTTTATTTTCTGTCGTCGAAACGGTTATTAAGAAGTTTTCCTTTTCCCTGATGCACAAATCACACAGCGGATTACGAAATTGTTGGTTTTAATAAAAAAAGGGACGTTCGCGATCGTCCCTCTTATCCCCAACGGAAGACTACGTCGCAACGCCACGGGAAAAATTGCCCAATTCAAAGTTTAATTACTTTTTTCGCTTTGGGAACGCAAATTTTAATTACGAGTATCGGCTGAGGCGTCAAGTCATTTTCAGTTTCAGTTTCAGTTTCAGATGGATTCACAAGAACGTAATAACTTATGATTTTATCGGCCTCTCTAGCCCCTTTATTGGATTCTACAATCAGGTACTACAGAGCCACTGGAATCAAACCCTTAATTTGCATTTTACTGAGGGATTAACTCGTGTTATGAATTGTATTGTTATTATTCACAAGTTGAGTTTGAATTCACGGATGGCCTTATCAAATTATAGCGCACAATGGAAGGTATTTTTGGTTATGCGATGAAGTTATCACTCGAGCGATATTAATCTTCGTTAATTTCGTGATGGCAATTAACCATCGATTTTGTTAATAAATGGAGTAAAAGTGAGTAATTCAATTAATCGATTTGCGATTATTCCACGTGAAATGAATTAAATTGCTTCATTACCATCTTGCCTGCTGCTTCCAGTCAAGCGGATATAGAGAATTCTGATATTTAATCGATATTTGTCAAATTGATATTGCCCACACCCTATCAAATTTCTGGCGAGGTAATTGTAAAAGACTCGCGTTGTCTAGAAGTAAAAATAGAAATTCAATTTCCCCTATACGGTTTACGTATCGCATTTGCGAAAGGACGTTCGTGTTTTTTTTGCGAAATGTCGCAATACATTTACTGAACAGGCATCGCACGGTTCGTCCCTAGACGCAGACAAAGATGAAGAATGGGTCAAACTTCTGCCGTAAGTAATGATTTCCGAATCATGATTTGACCGGGGATGACTTATTTTTCCTCCGTCGATTTGTTGACGTCGATTCGGTAGTTGGGAGGAACGTGACTGGAGGAATGTTTAGAATTCCGAATTTGGATTCTGCAGGGTGCTGGAGATTTTAGAGCAACCGATCAAGTAAACAAATCGAATTGTAAGCTGAAGCTTCCGATTATGGCAAACTCCTTTGTCTGTAAATTGTAGCACCTGATCAAACAAGTTATATAAGAGGAACGGAGCTACGACGACGATCGCAACAAGAGTCCGTTGGGCGACAATACCCACATTGACACCAGCGGTTTTAGCCTACGACCCACATGCACCACGTCGTCGATCGATATTGATATTTGCGATTGCGCTGTTTTGTTGACACTCTGATGTTCTTGAGGAACTCACGCCACTAATGACAGGCTCGTCTAATTTCAGGGCTGCAAGGGAAAATTATATAGCATAGCGCTATCCCAGAAACTGCTACTTGTGATCAACAGAACTCGGTGTCATTACTGGCAAAATTATCGTCGAGATAAGGGGTATCAGTTTTTGTATTTATGTACGCTCTCTTATTACAAAGCGAATATCGTGTTTGATGATAAAATGGAAAATTGGGAAAATTTCTCATTTAAAGGGCAAAAGATTAATGAGATACTTTGTCACAGGACTCGGATTTATTGACACGTTACATGTGCAGCTGATTCGATAAAGTTCTCATTAATATTGTACGAGAGGCCTTTGTTCGACAGTCAATATGTAGGATTAATTATGTTAATTAGATTTTGCGAAAGATGAATTGCCTTAGTTTGGGTGCGGTTTCGTTAGATTAAGGAAAATGATGTTTCCTTCATCCAATTAAAATAATTAAGTCTTTCCATAATTGCGGCGGAATAGGACGTCTAATTAGGATTATGACAAAGGGGTGTCGCTTCGGTTTAAAAAACGTGCGCGTTTTTTTTTTGAGGTTATGAGAAAAGTCAGAACCGTTGGAAGAAAATCTTTGAATGGTGATTGTAAAGAGACGATAGGCAGATGATTATAGAATTATTGCGGTCAATTGAGTCTCGTTTGAAAAAAGGCAGCCTCGTAGACCCTTGTAAAAGGTGCAGTAAATCAAATTGTGTTTGCTCAATAGGGTGTATTTAAATTTATTAAAGGCAAGTCGTGTTGATGACATGTTTTTGTGGCTCGCGCAAATATGAATGAAAGTGCTCCTTCCTTCCCTCGAAGTCGGTATAAATTTCGTTGATTGTTTTTGATGTTTGCTTTTAGGGTTGATTCTTTACATTATGTATGATTAGAAGCAAGCATCTTGTTCGGAGCAGGTGCGTGGGCGTAATTTAAAAAGGTGAGTCTGTACTAAATAAATGTTCGCCGAGTTCCGCCACATCGGCGTTCTTTTGAGCCCGTTCAGCCTTCGGTGAGCTCACCCTCCCGTAATTCTGGTTGCTTGGCAACCCCTGCCAGCCACCCCTTAAACTTCCCCGCGAGAGACGAAACCCCTCGCGCAATAGTTTTTATATGATAGCTCCGATGGCTTTCTTCTAGTAGATCGTCAAGCTTGCGCTTCTCATCCCTTGGCAGGCCTTAATTTTTCTCCATCGCATGCCGAATCCACGTTTGAACTGGTCGATTTGAGCTAGCGGAGAACGTAAAAGTCGGGGGCGTAGGAATTCGTTCAGTCCCCATGTCCCTCGCGTTAAGAGCCTTGTGTGTATAGTAGGGTGAGATCTGGAACGGCCGCGAAAGGTGGTTGTGGGCCGGGCGGGGTGGTCGGGGTCGGGAAACGGGGAGCGATAGTGGGGTGGCATGGGGGGGGTAGGGCCGGGGGCGGAGGGCCCCGGGCAGCGGGTGCCGCAGTGTTGGGTGGGTCAGACATCGCAGAAGCAGACGTCCCATGCGTTCGTTACGCTCTCCGTAGTCCGTACTATAGTACTAGTGATTCTGTGACATGCAGTGATCGGTGCATTCGACAGACGGAGAAGCTGTCATGCTGCCCATTGGCGACACGACACTCAAAGTGGTAAGATTCTCTACCCTCTACACCACCGACCCTTTCGGGTACCTGCGGCCGTGCTCTGCATACAAGCGGTTTGCACGGATGCAACTTACAACTTACCACCCTGCGCCGGCCGCGATTTCCGCTCAATTCGTAAAGACCCGCGCCCCGCTAACTCGCCTACTGCTACTGCTTGCGCACATTCGTTTCATTTTTCCTAATTTTTACTCATTTTCGAGTTCATGACGCGTACGCTCGCACATTCCCACCCCACACCCTTGCACACGACGACAAAAATCACATTCCCTGTCACGGCGTGAACCTATTTCTGTATTATATTACCGGCGCAACTCGCGCATCCGATCAAAATCACACATCATTCAATGAACCCCATAAAACTACCTAATTTTGATATCCGGCCTGGGAACCAATTACGTACGAACGTTCCGCCGAACGAATTAGATCCACTCTTCTGCAACCAATAAAAAGGGAACGACTACTTAACATCAATAACGACTCAAAAATTACATATAAGAATTTATTTCCGCTGCAGTCACCCAGTCGCTAAAACGTGATTGTGTTCGCAGGATAACAAGCCTCATCAGTGAGGCGACGCGGTGCCATGGAGGTGGCAATGCCCATGTCGGGTACTGCCATCGACTGCTATGAGGACATGTTCAAGGAAATAACCAGGAAGCTTTACGGCGAGGACGGCTTGCCGGAATTAACCGGGACCGAGAGGCTCCCCACGAGCCAGGATCGGGGCCTGACTCCAATCGATTATGACGTAGACAATCCAATCTTAAAGCCGGAAGAACATTTAACTGCGTTTGGCTTAGCCGCTCTCATGCAAAATGGGTTTCCCACAACAGGAATACTAAATTCGACTTTCCAACAACACAAATCCGCTGCGGCTTCTGTCGAGGACAAGTGGACGCCCAACGAAGAAACCTTACAGTGGACTCAATCAAAAATCGCCACTTACAACCCGTCGCAAAAATTATTTCGGTGTGCGGAATGTGACTGTGTCGGTTATCTCCCTCGAGTTGCCGAACATTGGTTAGGAACGCATTCGAATCTGAGGGCTTTTCAGTGTCCGCAATGCCCGTACGAAAGTGCATGGGCGAGATGCGTGCGAACGCACTTGTCTCGTCAGCATAACATCAATACCGACGAATCGTCAGACACAATGCAGAAAAACAATCCCGTACTACAAGAAATTACAAAATATCTCCAAAGATTAAAAAACAAGCTTGAAAGTAACTGTACCAAACCGACTTTGACCAGTTCGCAGATTCTGGAAGAGTTTCAATCGACTTCGAATTCAACAAGTAGCCACCTCTCTGGTCAGACGGTAGCTACGAGTTCAGAAACCCCCAACAGCTCTTCTACAAAAAGATACACGTGTACATATTGTCCTTACGCAACCGATCGAAGAGATCTGTTCACAAGACACGAAAACATACACAGAGAAGAGAAGCCGTTTCAGTGCTACGTGTGTCAAAAACAATTCAATAGAGCAGATCACGTCAAAAAACATTTTCTTCGAATGCATCGAGAACATCCGTACGATTTGAACAGAATACGTCGGCACCCTCCAAAAAATGCTTCCGGAATGTCGTACTATCAAAAATATAACGCCAACTCTACAAATCATTCGTCTGACACCATATCGTCCTTGGCCAACATCAATTCTTTATCTATTCCTAATGGCTTTAATAACGTCTCCCGTAATGCCACGAACGTGAGACCAGGTAATAATAACACAGACATGAAGAGCGGAATCGCAAATATTAAATCTGGAACTATTTCTAAAGGTGGCGGTAAGAAAAAAGGAGAAAAACGATTCTCTTGTTGTTATTGCTCTTGGTCTGGAGTTGACAATTGGTGTTTGAAGCGTCACATGAACACACACTTAAAACCGTTCGTGTGCGGTCTTTGCGATTACAAAGCAGCAAGGTCTGAAAGGTTGGCGACTCACGTTCTGAAGGTACACAATAAGAGAGCGTGTGGGAAATGCAGCTTTTTAGCCGACGATCCCGCCCAGTTGACGGTACACCAACAAGAGCACCAGTGAGTATAAATCTCTAAATCCGTACATCGGTATTAATAAAATCCCCATTTTCAGTCCTTTGGAACAAAGGAATCGCTCCAGTACGAACATTCTTAGAAACACATCTTTCAACAGCAGCGCTGCCACCTCTTCGTCGTCTTCTTGCAGGTAAGACCGTAATTATTTTAAGGTACGCCATTAACTCTGTTTGACTCAAGCCAAAATCAAGGCGGGTTAAAACCGCACGAGTTGAGTGCTGCGGCTGCTCTGCTTCAACACAGTAATCGTCTACTCCAAGGCGACAACAAATGGAAAAGTCACGCCCCGAAGCAGCACGGAGCCGCCCGTTTGTTCAATTACATGGAAGCCAGTGACGGGTCCGAGCCCGAGTCGGAATCCAGAGGAGCCGAAGATATGAGTCGTTTAAATTTGAGCCACAGGATACAGTCGGATTTTCTTGAGGCGGGAGATGTTGGTAGCCAGGCAGACGAAGAAGAGGGTGAAGAGATGGAGCTCCCTCTGTTCGTTTGCCCCACGTGCGGCTGCGAGTTTGAGGACGACATGTCACTTGAAACCCATCAATACACGCACCGTCACAGCACTACATCTCCCGCCAAGTCAGACAACTCCAAAGAGAATGTCAATCCAAATTTAAAGTATCGATGTCGTTTGTGTGATTTTGCGTTTGAAAGCCAGTCTTCTGTTATGGCACACATGGTGTCGCATTCTAGCCTAACGACCGGGACGCAGACGGCCAAGTCCAACCTGACGAAGCGTCCGAGGAAACAAAGTCGTCCGAAGAAGATGATTTTGCCCTTCTGGGATCTGAACGAAGTCGAAGTATTGCGGCACCTCAATGGGAACTTAAGTGAGCTGCAGCAGACCTCTAGTTCGACCAAGATGGAGGTGTCCAAGAAATACATGGCTAAAATCGTCGCTCGCAGAGGACTCTATTGTGTTCTCTGCAAGAGTTCCAGCGTCAACAGATACCACACCAAAGCCAGTCTGGCTCTGCATTACTACTGGAAACATTTGAACAAGAGATTCAAGTGTGAGCATTGCGACCTACATTTTCGCCATCGGTATCAGTGCGTGCTGCATGCCAGTCGCGAACATATAAGTAAACCACCGATCCTTAAGTCTCAAACAGTGCCTATTAAAGAACCAATTCATTCCGCAGTACCTGCTTCCCAGGATGCCCATCATTTCTTCACAAATTCTCAAACTGTTACTGTACCTGACGCATCATCCAATGCGCATAAATTAGGGATGTCGTTTTTTGACCATTCATTCATACATCCAGGCAACGCCATTAACAGCCATATGCCGATCATCATTCCAACCTTTCCACCAAATTAATAAACGCTCCGTTTCTCTTTTATTTCCACTGATAACATGGCTAGGTACTATAAAAAGTGACCTTCAAAAATTTCTTTACATGCTTGTATCGTAAATATTTTCGGAACAAACTTAAATGCAATCATATTTTTCATTAGAATAAATTTTCGTGCAATATCTGTTATTTGGTGATGTTTATTGTATTTACTTTTCATATTGTAAACTAAAAGACTGCAATATTTTTTGTTTAATTTGTATATTCAAAATAGACAACCTATATGTTTGTAAGTACGTTATTGTTCATACTTATTACTTTTGTTACTAATTACTATTATTCATGTCATGTAATGTGTTTTTTTGTATTATTAATAAAATTGTAAACCATCCACGAAATTTATTCACCAAACGGAGCAAGCGCAGATGCACAAAATCAATTTTTTCATGCATATTTTACTACATGCCAACTTGTAAGTTCAACTTAAAGGGTAAGTATCAATCTACACCAACAAAAAATCTGTTGCTTATTACATCATCGCGACAAAAAACTCATATTTTCTATTCATATCATAAATAATAAAATAAAAAATGACCTTGCATAAGTTCGTATTTTTTCTTTTATTGTGCTCCCAGAGAAGTTTGATACGATAAAGCAAGAAATTGTTTTCAACAAGTTCTCACATTGTAATATATTATTACCACATGGTCATTTTTTGTTAACGAAACAAGTCTGTATATAGGCAACCAAATATTCAATACAACGAGCTTAATTCAAACTAGTGTCGGCATAATTTTGTTTAGGCGGGAAATCGTTCAAAAATTCAAAAATATATTGAAACAAAACGTCCACTTAAGGAATATATTTATTTATTTTCAGGTTTGTATGTTACAAAGGTAAGTGAGACAATAAACTTTCAAAACAGTGAAGTAACGTTTGAATTATTATTTTGCGCTGCAAAGTAAGAGACAACGTAGATGAATATATTTAACAAAACCATTTTTCATTCAAAATCTTGCGGAAACACAACTCCGACTTCTTTCCTCATTAGATCCATTAGCTGCGCCAACTCAATTGATTCCTGGTGAGGCATATGAAGACTTTCAATCTTACCTAACAATAAAAAAGTAAACTAAATTCTAAAGTAACTTTGTACTTACCAGCTTTAATGCACTGTCGTGCCTCTTCCGCCTGATACGCTAATCCAGCGCTATTCTTGTGGAAAAAAGGGACTGGAGTTTGGGGTAACTCATACTCGTATGTTTTCTCAGGGGTTATAAGTTTAGTAGGACACCAGAAGTCAGGCATGCGAATTGTACCTTTAGTACCAACAACAATGCCTTCGTTTGGCAACGATATACGTGCCGAAGTACTAACCACCGCCATTTTACCCTCTGGATATGTTATAATAGCAGCTGCACTTTCATCTGTTTTTTGGTCATTTAGTTGCCCATTTATAGCAATTTTGATGGGACGTAGACCACGAAACACGTATTGCTGGAACTGGAGGATGTAAACCCCCAAATCCAAGATGGCGCCGCCTCCTAACTCTACAGCTCTAAAGAAAAACGTCTTTTGTTTGAATAAACAATTGCTAATACGTACTTGAGTCTATCAACGTGTTGTAAAGCATGGCCAAAATGAATCGAAGCAAACAACACATCGCCGATAGCTCCAGAATCCAACAAACGTTTCATTTCTTTGTACGCCGGAAAACACCTGGACCATACCGCTTCCATTAAGAAGAGTTTCTTCCTTTGGGCAATGCCGACTAAAGCACGGGTTTGTTTTTCGTTCATGGTGAAAGGTTTTTCACACAGAACGTGTTTACCATTCTCTAGCATCAGCTTAGACACCTCGAAGTGTTGTGGGTTTAGGTTTCCAAGATACACAATGTCTGAGTAAAAGGATATTGAAAAAATATGACTCACAATAATCGAGTGACTTACCAACATTTTTGTCTTTGGCGAGCCCTTCATATCCTCCATATGCTTTGGGAATGTTATGTTCGGTGGCGAATTTTTGGGCACTGTCTAAAGATCTGGCTCCGATTGCGACGATTTTATGGTCCGTTTCTGGGTAAGTTTGGACCGCGGTGACAAAATCGTGGCAAATTCTTCCAGCAGACACTATACCCCATTTCAATGCCATGTTGTTCTTTCTGTGTGCTCAACTTGAATGTCTTTGAAGTGGATGAAGGTTATCGCTTATAAGTTACATAAATGGGTGAAAGGTCATTCAAGAAAGAAAAAATTCCAAAGATAAACTAACATTTATTTGTATTTAGTAGCGATATCTAATTTTCATCAACATCAAATACAACACCCACTGCACGTCTTAACATATCCATATGATGAGCCAGCTGGATAGATTCGGCGTGAGTAATGTACGGACTTTCAATTTTACCTAAAATTTGACTTGAGTTTAAAGTTTCAAAGAAAGAAGACATACGCACGATCTTTGATACATAATCTGGCATTTTCAGCCTCATATAACAGACCTTCACTGTTCTGGAAATTCATAGTAGCGGTGGTTTTAGGAAGCTCAAACTCGTAAGTTTTATCAGGCGCTATAATCTTTGTAGGGCACCAAAATTTGGGAACTCTTATTATTCCTTTAGTGCCTATAATGACCGCTTCATTGGGATACTGCGCTTTGGCGGAGGTGCTCAAACATGCTAATCTGTTGCCAGAATAGGTCCAAATTGAAGCAGTGTAGTCATCAGTTCCTTCACTGTTTAAGCCACCAACTGCTTTCATGTCAATTGGTGTCTCACCCTTGAAGATCAACTGTTGAAACTGCAGACAATAGACGCCCAAATCTAGAATAGTGCCACCTCCAAGTTCTTTAGATCTGTAAAACAACACACGGAAATGTTAATGGAAACTAGAATAACCTTGAGAATAACCTACTTCAGTCTGTCAATTTGTGTCAAGTCAAAGCCAAAATCTGCATTCACTTGAAGAACATCTCCAATAGTTCCAGCATCAAGAAGCTTTCTCAGCTGTTCATATGCAGGGAAGCATCTAGACCAAACTGCTTCCATAAGAAACTTTTTCTTGTTTTTAGCTACATCTACCAAGGCACGGGTTTGCTTCTCATTCATAGTGAGTGGTTTTTCGCAAATAACATGTTTGCCGTGTTCTAGCATCATTTTGGAAACTTCATAGTGTTGTGGATTTAAGTTTCCAATGTAGACAATATCTGCAAAAATGATTTAGAATGAGGAAACTCTACAGTGTTAAATTATTACCAATTTCTTGATCTTCTGCTAATTTTAAGTAACCTTCATAGGCTTTAGGAATCCCGTGATCTTTGGCAAATTTTTCGGCACTGGATAAGGATCTAGCACCCACAGCTACAATTTGATGGTTTGATGATGGAAGGGTTTGGAGGGCACAAACGAAGTCGTTGCTGATTTTGCCGGCACTTGCTATACCCCAGCGTAAAGCCATGGTGATCTGTAGTAGTTATAGACTATAGGCACTCTAGAACCAGATCAATTTAAAGTAAATAAAAGTTGCAATTAGTGCGTCAGCATATAGAGTAATGTCAATTGAGACTATCATGTACATTGAGATAAGTAAGTGTTGATTAAAAAAAGATTATTTACCGAGTATCACAGTTGACCCACCGGTTTATTAAAATAAAAAACATTGGAATGTCAATGCCAAAATTAGAAACGTCAATGTCATCGTAAATTATTTAAAAAAGATACAGTGCTACCAATCTCAGGGATATTAGGAGCACTCCGGAGCAGCAACCAACAACGCAGGTTAGGTATTGATTTTCATTGTAACGCAGAAGGCAATTTGCATTTAAATGATGTCATAAATCATAACAAAATATTTATTGACGATAATAATTTACAAAATGGAAACAGAATTTTCAATGATCTACTGTACATACCTTATTTTACCTACTTCATGATCCCAATATATTGACTTCATTGTTCCGGTAATGAAAGTTATGGTGAATATCATTTTTAAATTAAATTGTAGCACGATCAGGCGTTCTGTTTTAACAAAAGTGTTTAAAATAAAGGAATCGCAACAAATTTATAGACAGTTTTGCAACATCAGGCCTCTATCTATGTTTATCCTATACAGACAATATACTTGTAATGATAATTATTTTTAGTTGGTAACTAAACTAGCCACGTGCCCTAAAATATTAAGAAAATATCAACAATTATTTATGCTATGGCGCGTTGCCTCAATAATTAGACGAATCTACGTTCGTAACACACACCGATTGATGAACCTTGGTTAGTTCTGAAATTATTGCGTAAATGATATCTGGTAGTAGAGGTATAGGTACATATGTATTTCCACCTTTTGGAAGCTGTAAAGCGCTACCTATACAATTTAACTGTGATGGTATGGTGCTCTTTTGGCACACTTATACACCGACTCTAGGATAATCTATATAATGAAACTCCTAGTCTATTAATAGTTTCCGAAGCGCAAAGGTACTTGTCCTTGAGCATGTTTCCTACGGTTTCGTGGAGGCATAATTTATTTCGTTTCTCCAAAGAACTTCTATAAATCAGCCTAGCGGAATGAAAAGTATACATTTGTTGAGTCCGGTATGAAGAAACGATACGGATGTTCGACCGGATTTATTAAATTTAAAATATGTCAGGATTATCGGTGTATTCCCTCTTCCAGTAATTCCCGTTGTAGACCCAGTCTTCCTGCTTGGTATGTGGATTAATTCCGGAGTTAAACCATCTGAAACGGAAGAATGGTGAAATAATAATTGATTGGAAAACGTCAATACCTCGGATGCCATTCTGTCCCTTTCTTGCTTTTGCGATGTTTGTTGGCGTCTCTTTGTTTCTCTTCTAATCTCGTTTTTTCAATAGCAGCTCCATCGATATCTCCTTGTTCCAACTTTCGTATATCCGGTCGCAAACGCGAATCTGTTGGACACAAGTTTTTCTCCATTCCGCTCTCCAGCTCATTCAAGGACATGGCAAACTCGGTGAATTGATAATACTGGAATTTTTTTTTATTTCCCTCCGACACCCACATGGTTTCTACTTACGTCACTGCTCTGCATGGGTCGAGGCTTCACTTTCCAGATCGTTATAGAATTGGGAATATCAATAGAATAGGTGGACTCGCTTTTTGGAACCATGCCATCAGGAATATCAGGAGGGGCACATTCATCCACGCTCTAAAAACTCCCTCAGCAAAATTAATCTACTAACTTGGAAACTTACCTCTTGACTCGAATTGGATTTGAAAGGGCTAACTTTCAAGCTATTCAGTTTTTGCAAAACTTTCCGAGAAGTATGAGACGGGGAGTCGCTCGGACTCTTGCTTTTGTCGCCTTCGCGGCGGAATTTGTGCGAATTCTCTTTAAGATACTCTTCGTAGGATGAGTAGTCCGTGCATTTAATAAACTCGGTCCACTTTCCGTAAATGAAGAAAAGCTTGTGCTTCCTGGAACAATCACGACAATTTCGGCGCTATTTCCGATCGAGATAATTACGATTTGTCCATTATGTAGCCTTCAACCCTGTGCAGATCTTTAGAATTCCAACCTGCTGGTTTGAATGTCAGGTGGGCTTTATGTCCGGTTGAGTGGTTAACAATTTCCATTGTCCCGCATTGCTCCATCCACAGTTTTCCCACAATGATGTTGTGCACACAACACTGGACATTGCTCCAGGTGTAGGCCTCGTTTAGTCTAAAAGTGGACGGCATATACAAAAGGAAATGCTGGGGCTTCGATAAAACCATAAAATTTCGTCTTAAATTTCTTAATAAAGATAATCTGGACTGACCTATAGGATATCGTACAAAAATATTGTTTTTTGGACAATTGAGTCGATTAAAATGAATCGTGTGGGTGCCAAGTCAATGTGTGGTTTCTCTGATTCCAGACTCTCTCTTGTTTCGGTTCTACCGTGTGCGGTAGAGAAACGGTTTTAAAGCTTTATGGAAACTGGTGTTGTGTGTTCATACGTACTTAGGGAATTCAACAGTTACTGTTCCTTTGGGTTGGATTTCGACGCTTTTCCCCCAAAACTTTAGTTTGGGGTGGATAGACCCGTGGAACACCCAGTCTTTGCTTTCGGCATTGAAGGCGGATACTGGTGGGTGATGACTGACTTGTTCGCAAATAATTTTGAATTCCTCGCGTTCGAGTTCGTAGGTTTCTCCCAATAGAGGATTAAAGGGCTTACCAAGACGTTCCCAGTTAGATGCTAATGCAAGGACCTAGTAGTCAAATTGTTGTTTCTAGGGCACGTGGGATTGGGAGTTTCTTCCGATAAGTCCGTCGTTCGATAATTGGAAGAATTTCCCAATCCCGAGTGCGCCAGAAGCAGCAATTTGCCCTATGCTTACCTAGAGCGCTAACTGCGAATCCTAAAACTAGGAGTTAGAGAGAAAGGTCGGTGCAAGGAAAAGTCCTACCGATCACGTATTGCATTCTGGTGACTGGGTCTTGTTGTTGGGACGCTAACCTAAGTAGATAGGAATATTCCATGTATTCGGCCATCCTTTGTAGGAAGCTTAACGGTTCGTTGAATACCACCGGCATTGTAATTTTGCTTAATTCTTTTCCAATGCAATTTTTTAAAACTGACCAGATGTTGTAATCATTATGGTACATGGGTACTGGCAGGATAAGTCTTTAAAATTCGGAGTTAGTGTTTAAGATAGAAGGGTGCGTGGCGTACCTGTATTCCTTTTTTTCAGCGTCCATCCTGCTCTATCGACTATCCCCCCAAAAAAAATTAACAGTGAATCGCACATCCGATCAATTAAGGATAATCCGAAATATCAAATAAGCAGCATCATATCCTTTGATTGATCAGCAAAAATAATCCTACAAAAATTGTCTAATTGGAGCACAAAGTCTAAAGGAGTCGCATTAAAATTACCACAATATGTTACAATAAAGGACCCAAACATGAAAATTTTTAATGACAGGTGATAAACCGAGCGAAGGTCGATATGAAACAATGGACCTATGTATTAAAAAAGAAAACAACAACAAGCAGTATTGATTGACTAAGAATGAGTTCAACTAATGTTCGGCTAAATTACACCTACCTTGATACGAATCAATCGTCACTTTACGACATATCTAACATTTTTTCGCCTCGAAAATGTAACAAATCGATTAGCACACCCTGCTTTCCCAGAAACCTACAACCTTCTCTGTTTGCCACCAATATTCCGCCCCCGAAACAGGAGTTCAAAAGCGCATGCACCGATTCATCTAAGAGAATTAGATCCCAACAAGTGTTATATTATGTTAAATCTACACCGTGTTTACCTTCGCAGCTAGATAAGAGGACAAGACGCCAAAACAAGGATCTTATTTATATCAATCCGTTTTGAAGAATGACAAAGGACTTTCGGTGGATTAATTTTGCCTTTCACAAAACCCACTCATTTCCAGCTAACGTTATTACGGATTTTAACTTTTGAGAAATGGTGGATGCGCTACATTTTTTGCTTTGATCTCTTTGATGTCAAAAGCACAAATTACTTTATTTGCGAAAAATGTGAATTTTTACAAACCTTTGAAGCGGGGGACAGATCAAATCTAAATTTACCCCTACCCACATTTAGCCAGAGGTATTTTCAAGTAACTTTAATCGATAATTAACTGAACGAATTTGCGGGCAATCTACTTCTATCCTAGATTGCAGGGGTCTGTCTCAACGTGTTATTTCCATATGGAATACCCCCGAGAATAACATGTTAGTGAGCAAAACACTCTAAAATAGATGCGTAAAGTGGAACTGACGTGAAAAACTCGAACGAAGATAGATGCTCGCAAAAATCCATCAGGAGGAAAGTCAAAACAACATGGAAAGGAGAGACCCTGAAGCAAAAAATTGTGGCGCATTTTGATTATATCGCTACAGGCAAGAAAATGTTTGCTTTATTGTTTCAACCGTATATAACATTTGGTTGAAGCGCGTTTTTTTGACACTTTGAATTAATGTGCACATGTTGTTTTTTCTCATCAGACCTTGAGGAAACACAATAATAGAAGGAGTTGAATTTCATTTGCGCAACGAACTCGAGTTACCACGACGATAGCATAATCAATTCTAGTTTCGAGCATATAAAACCCTTGCATTGTTTCAGCGCTATTTGGCAACTTGACCTGAAATTAGCCGAGGACCTAAAAAGCTCGAGCTTAATTCAATTGAGGAATGACGGCACTACTCTAGACAGCAAACAAAAGACTGTTTTTCTTATCCTTTATCATCCCCGTTGAGTGTTTGTGCAGTCCAAGGGCTAAAAATACCGGACAAAATCTCCATTACATTTTTATGTAATAACAAATGACATTAATCTTTTCATGAGGGTACAAGACATGAATAATTGATGAGGGGTAAACGGGTCACAACAATGGAAAAATACCGGAGCGTGTGGTGAAGGGTGTCTAGTACATTAGACTGAACGCTAATACAATTTAGAGCTTCTTGAGCCTTCCCACATTCATTACAGTTCAGGTGAACAATAATTGATTGATTAATTGTTTCAAGGAGGCTGAAGGCACGTTCCAGGGATTAGGGTCTAATGCTCGAGGTGAAGTTTTCGCTGTTGTTTTAATTGAGCTCTCGATAAATCTGCACCGCTTGATACTGCGACATTTGTGGACGTCCGCTGATGCGAGGAAATTAATTAAGAGAGAGAACGCAGATGAAACGGAGACTCTCACACGGAAAATAGTTTAAAATAATTAGTGGCGAAGTGGCCCAAACAAACGAACGGCTGTGGCGATTTGCATACCATTGATGTAATTAGGCAACGAGGGGAATCTGGCGACTTCTTGCAGAGAAAAATATTTACGTAAACTTCGCGTTCATCTGTAACCAGAATTCGTTGCTTGTTGCTACAACGCTCCGACCTCGCATGATCCAATAATGATGCCTTTATTACTTTATGCAAATCGTAGCCACTTGAAAATCTTAATTGAATTTGAAAGAGATGTTCCAAAGGCTCCGTGTCATTTGTTAACCGTCTGTAATAACAAAGTTACTTGGATGTCTTCAGCATGACGTGTAGTTATATAATTAATAGATTGTTTTCGTTCATGTTTACAAAATACTGATTGCTTTTGCAGATACAAGTAAGTGATTCGCATAGTTATCCCTAAAATATATCGCTTCAATGGCTTGCACTTACCACCTTGGAAAATTCAAAAGATAACACGACCAGGCTTTGTGCTAAAAATATTTCGAAATGGACTTTCTCAAAATAAATTCAGTTATAGAACTCAAGTTTACCGACGAGAGATGAACTAACAGACAGTAATTGACACTTCCTTGTCTCACTTTTTAACACATTGTCTGAGGCTTGAACTTTACCCTATACTGGATCCGCTCAACAAAAATGTTTTCGTTGAGGATAACAAGTAGAGGTTATCAGGCGCTGCTACAAATTTGCGAAACTGGAACAAATTCTTCTTTACACGCTATTAAGTATAATGAATAAATCAAATCTATAGACCTGCGGCAATGTAAAGATTACTAATTTATACCATAAAATATACACCATCATTACATTATCGTCCCCCACAGAGTTAACAACAAAGTTTGAGCAATAAAATAACCCCCTCTGAGCACTGACGCAACTAAAAACACAACAATAAAAAAAACATTATCAGCGGTAATAAAATCCGGCCGCGCCAAAACTTCAATAAATCTCCCTCTTTTAAGTTACTTGAGCTGGTAATAATCGGAATCAATAATATGTGTGAAACATGGGTCTCATAGCCGAACCTTGAGGGACTCCCACACTGCCGGCTATAATTCAGTGTTACGACCGGATTTAGTATTTGTATTATCTAAAAACGGGTTTCTTAAACTCAACATCACGTTCGATAAACAAAGGTTTCGCGATCTGCAAAATCGTTTCATCACACCAAGGGATGCCGAATCCCTTCAGACTTCCAACTGAACGCACTATGCGTCAGGAAAAACATGACGTCGCTGAACTCGCACTATAACAATATGTTAACTGACCCCAGGTGAACCCACAGAAATTTAAAACCTTGTTGTATTGTTTCTCAAATGTTTTAGACCAGAGATGCTTAAGCTTAAATAGTTTGACGAAGGTTGTAGACGACAGCAAAAAAAAATGACCTTTGGGTCATCCCAGTCGGAGAGCTAATCGGGTAAATTATGTATGAGTAACACCTTCGAAAAGCTATTCAGCTTCATTTAACAGATGAGGGCACGAGGCGGTCATACAATTCACACTTAACGAGAAAACAAAAACGGCAATAGCGTAAAAACGCTGATTAGCATGACATCACTAGTTGTTTCTAATTTAACATGGATTGGGGAGTGTACTTTCATATTTAGATAAAATTAATTTGCTTTAAACGCACCTAAGTGTATCTAGCAAACCCAGAGGGTTCACGCTCAGCTTCTGCTTAAGTAAACACATTTTATGTGAAAACTGCTTTTTACCTCAAATCTGATCGTGTTTTGTTGTTTATGCATGCACAAACTTTGTGAATATAGAAAACGTAGCAAAATATGATCGAACAAATTTTTTTAAATTCAACAAGGTCTATGTTAAGTTCGTTAGAACAAGGAAATTGAGCCGTATCGCCTCTATTCCAAATGTGAGACGATTTAGGCACACATGAGTGAAATTCGCCGATAGATTTGCATACACTTTAGAACTTCTAGTAGCTTCGAAATACCCACAACTTTGGGTTATAAAGCTTGGTTGAGGATAAACCAAAACTGCGAATTACAGAATCGTCCAAAAATCCCATTTACTTAGATTGCGAGCAGTTGTTGCCAAGACGTGACACGTAAAAGCCGGATACCTCATAAGTTATAGAACAAAAGCAAAATAAAATTATATTTTTAGAGAAAATGTAATGACGTGATAGTGAATTTTGTTCACTGTTTCGTGTGGTGAGCTTCGTTCGCTCCACTAATTTACATTTTCGATTTGTTTGTCGAACGAATGTAAAATTTTATATTTGCATAAATCTCCGTTCGGTTTGGCTTGTCATCTTGGTTACATGTTTTCAAATTAATCCGGACGTACCCTCGACGGAAACTTAACTAACAAACTTTTGACGAGCTAAAACCCCTCCTCGAACAAATCATAATTAAAATGCACCGATCACGTTACTCAAAGTTGTTTTTCCCATTATGCAACAAACAAGGGTCATTTATTATGTAGTTATCTGAGAAATGCATTTCGTTGCTGCAATGTCAAGTTCAGTTTTGTCGCGCGATAATCGCCAGCAATTCCGCAAATAACCGAAAATAAGCCCCCGTCATAAAATTCCAGGAAAATTAATTCCAACACATGTCAATTTGGAGCAATGGTAAACAGATTTTGACGGTATTTACTACCACCCACACAGTCACATTATTAAAAAATGGGTGAAATTCATCACGATATTAATAGATTTTGAAACGTGGTCCAAATTTCCGAGTTCATCGACCAACCCTCTGAGAAGGGATGACGATGCGGCGAGTCATTACGACACGATAACAAATGAAATCAATGCGACTTAAGTCCTTGAGTAGACTTAAGTTGCATCGGCGCTTCGAATAACAGCGGCCCAGTTAAAAACCTGGCAGTGCTCGTGTTTTAGTGGTAAAGTGCGGTCCAGTGGCGGACTTGCGACATGAAAGGGGGAGACTGTAAGGTGCCGATCCAGGAGGACCACCGGAGCTTCCTGGAAAAGGGCAACAGGGTAATTCCGGGGGGCAAGAAGGTCGGGATCATTGCCGCGTTTCTTCTGCTAGTTGCGATGATTTTGATGATCATATTCACGTTTCAAGCCCTCCACGGGATTTGCGAACTGAGGCAGGAGATAGAACTTTTGAAAGGGTCGATCAAAGACCTTCAAAAGAAAATCGACGAAGGCAAGGACGACGTAAGTGTAAAAATTTTATACAAGGCGCTCGGAAAGTTTCGACGCTAACTTCCAAGTGTTGGTTTAGTTCAACAATTAAGGAAATTCGAGGAAATGTGGCGATAAAGACGTTCATTACTATTTATCGCACTGTGGAAAAACGCTGATCTTTCTCTAGCTGATAAATAAATAAACAGTAGCGAAATAGACAAAACGCAGTTAAAAGGAACTCTTTCATCTCATATGAGCGACATTAAAAATAAACAAGTTGTATGACTGTTGTGTGAATTTTGTCCTCGCGTTGTTATACACGATCAACTATATTTTCTATTTTAAGTCGTATTTTTTGATAAAGATGTTTTCTTTTTGTCATTTGATTCATGGGAAGTTGTGGTCATATTTCCTAAAATCCGAGATTAGCATTACTCGCGTCCGCAGTAATTTAATCAAATAAACAATATGTATATTCGTTAACCATAAAAACCACTAATGACCACACCGCCTACTCAAAATGCTTTCAGAATTCATATCGGACCACCACCTAAACAAAAAAATATTTGCGAGCATTGTCACTCATTAATTTTAACTTAAGTAGTCATTTTGTCTCTCGTTGTGTTTATTTTTTTGTGATAAAGCAAATAGGCAAAATTCCTACTATTGTGTGCTACCCTGTGATATCATTTGTTATCTAATGGCAGTGGCATTTATCTTATATTTACATTGTGCGAAATATTTTGAAAGGATTAAACTAATCGACCTGATTGTCATGTCTTCGTAAAAAGAAAGGAATTTTGGGTAACACGTAATTATTTGGTTTTATATGGTACCCAAATTTTAGTTTATTGTGCCCAAAAATATCTCAGTCAGCCTAGGTGGAACCTGGAAATCCCTTTTTCGCGGAATCTAGGTCCTGAATTGTACTTATCGGGTCCATGTTTAAATCACATTAAACTTTCGTCACTAAGTACTTGTCAGTTATTCCTATTGTGTCTTTTTCACCCTGTCAACCAAAACTAGACAGTTTTGGTACCGATTTGCTGCCTCGGTAGTCGGTATGAATGCGAACGGTAATAGCGTCAGGTAATTTACGACCAGTATTTTCATCCCCCGTCAAATTTAGTTTGTATATGTTTTAGCGACATAAAACAAAGGTATCTCAACGTAAAAGGGCGACTATAGATAAGATTAAACTCCACGATTGGTACCTTCTAAGTGGTTTTGGGGCATTTATGATAAAAACACCATAATAGTTGTATGGGTGTTCCCCTCTCACAACGAATATCACACTCTTATTAGAGTGTAAAAAGGGGTTAGAAAGCAAGATCCCTTGGTACAGTGTACAAAAGGTCGATATTCCAGAACTGTCGTTGTTTTTGCGATGTTGTCGGTCGCCTCAAAAACAATCTTGTTTGTTCCTCCGACGTTTCCGTAAAAACGCTGTCTCTAAAATTAGATATTTGGCGAAGACCATAAACGCAGCAGACACTAATTACTCGTTGTTTAGATTAAGCCATCTTCTTGTATTTTCCAAACAAGTCGAGCGGAGTCTGCCTCTAATTATTCCTCTATTTGTCGTCGAAATCGTTTTCGTTAAAGTTAATTAAAATTTTTATGAGCAAACTGTTTTCGCCGTTATTTATTTAGCTTGTTTAAAAATACTTGCGCATTTCGCTTCAATTTCCAATCCAGCTGAAATCTTGTATTTGTGTAATCAATTTCACTCAACCAAAATGAACTTGCTCAAAGAGCAGGGTCAAACATTTAATTATGTCCATTTGCGGACGAACGAACTGAGAAGATAACTATCAGGTGAATTTGCGATTGTCTGGATTCATCCCATCCGGATTAGCTTTTGTAATTCCGTTAATGTTCCACAGTGTTTTGCGCGGAAATCTGAATGTAGATATTAAAGTGCGACATTGTTAGATCTTTCAGATTTAATCATGTTAATGGCCGCCACTTTCAGTAAAAATTAATAAGATTATTTTTAGAAGGATTACACAACGTTCGTGATGTTCGACGTGCTGTTCAAGCACAATGTTTTCCATCGATTTATGCTTAAATCAAAAAATAACGAGCCTTGTATGGAAAGGACCATAAACTCCTATTTATGTTATTTTAAGACACTGTATAGCGGCGCAGTTACAAATTATCGTGAATTTAAGAGTTGACGCCTTTATCGTGTCATCTCTAATTACGTTTTAATTTGTAGCAAGAAAAAGGCAAAGATGTCACAGGTCTACCGATAGTGGGGAAAATCCACAGCAACTTTGATCTTGAAAACTACGAAGACTATACTGTAGATGGTGATTATTCCTACGAAGATTATGCCTACGAATATGATGACACGTCCAATAGAACGGAACCTGAAACTGGGGAAAATTACACCAAAGATGCCAAAACTGCTACAGCACCCCCTAGAATCAAAAGAAATATTGTTGGGTACACTCAAGATGGAACCTCCATCAATTCTGATACATTTGACGAGAAACGAAACGGGACTTTTAGAAAGAACTACCATTATAGCACCCCACCATCGCCTAGGTAACTACTCTTAGCAACATATTCCAAAAAAACACACGTTCGTGTTGACCGGAAATGTGACGCAAATTTATACATTATTGAAACACTTCCAGTTCCTACGCGTATTATTACCCACAAACGAAAGCAAATCAAGATCCCACCACCCCAGCACCACGCCAGATACACTCGAGAAGGTTACGAGTCCACCCTGAAGGCAACCACCAAACAGTAAAAGCAACCCCCGTGCTAAAATCAGGAGATTCCCACAATTTTGAGGTACCTAACGAAACTCTTATATAACCCGCACTGAATTATAAAGAGGATACTCTTTATTATTCACAGTGGTTTGCTCTTAGGCGCAGAGTCCCAAAAATATATATACCGTGAAATGTCGTTCCCCCAAAAGGCAAGGACCACTAAAGCTCACAGTAAACCTTCTTAAACCAGCAAAAAGAATCCAAACACTCATGCGGTAGTACGCAAAGATGTTACAGAAAATTACCACAGCATTATTCAAGCAACCGCAACAAGTTTTGATGTTCGTACTTGTTTCATAATTGTTTCAGCAGGTTTGTTTAAGCAACCGTTGGAACATTTCGTTTGTTTCGTCCAATATTGATTATCAAAGCTTGTTCCACACCATAATTTTGTCACTTTTACAATCCCCGCGGTATTTACGTATTTACGGTGACAGGTAGAAAACCTGGTCAACATTGATTTTGTTCGTCGTGTGTTGTACTTGTTTGCATTGTGCAACACAATTCAATTACGCACCCTACCGGACCAGGAACACCTTCCACTACTTAAACACTCCGCTACCGAAAAGGGTGATCCTCCGAGGTAACAACTTAGGTCCGGTCATACTGAACCCGAAAAATTCCTCCAAAAAACTAACCCCGATGAATGTCCCTTGCTTAATCACCAAAATTTCGTTAGTTTTTCTCGCTTGTAAGTACTTTTGCATTTGTAGGGCAATCCAGACGTCGAATTCGCTGTGGTGGCTGACGACCATCTCGGTCCAGGTCGTACCCGGCACCGCCAGCGCCGTCTCGAATTGGACGAGCGGCACATCCGAACCGGTAGAATGCGTCCTTTGCCATCCGCCCACTTTTCTGGCGATACCTCGAAGTATGTCTTGGGTCAACACGAAAATTTCAAAGGAAACGGGCACTTACGTCACCCGCAAAGAACCTTCGTGGACTGGACCGAGAGCAGCTGGTTCCATCCGCTGGGAATGGACCGTCATTTTTCGCTGTCCGACGGAATTCTTACCATTAAGGAATCAGGCTTATATTTCATCTACGCTCAAGTACGTTTCGTTTAGTTGTCGTCACTTCATAATAATTTTTATTTTTAGATTTATTATTACGACGAACATGACATTAATGGCTTTAGGGTGTATAGGAACGAGAATGAAACACTGTTGCAATGTACCACAACGACCCATTCGGTTGAAAGGGTGATGAAGGGCAATACGTGTTTTACGGCTGCGGCTGAATACTTGAATGAGAATGATCGAATCAGCTTGGGAGATTTATCAGAGTCGAGACTTTCGCTGTTTGAACCCGGGAAATCTTTCTTCGGGGTGATCAAACTCGGAGATGTGAAGATTAAATGAAGTCGGGGGTGAACTAAAGCAACTGAAGCTTTACTGCACAGTTTTAGGTTATAGGCTTAATTTATTAGTTGTGCATTGAACTGTACAAAATGAAACGAGCAGAGTTTTACCAAAGTTACGTCAGTGTCGGTACGTATATAGTGTATCCCTTTTTCGCGCTTGCCATATTATCCTAGTTTCTACTACATTATTATATCATTTTTGTAAGTGTACATAATTTATTTTTGAATAAAATTTTTCACGAAGGTTTAGTATTGTTTGTAAAGGGAGAGTAACGTGGGTCTTTATGAATGATAGACCGGAAACGTCCAGAATGAGTTAGAACAAGCCAGAATATGTCAGATTATGTTAAAATTAACGATGAAATACCTTTCCTGATACTATAGTGACAAAACTTACAAAAAGCACCCGGTACATCGTATTACGATATTACGGTGTACGTAAACTGAGTTAGTTCCTGCGAATCCATTAGAATTATCTAGTGTCAACATGAAGTCAAGAAGACATCCCTGAAGGGGAGTAAGAATTCTCTAAAAAGGGTAAATAAAACAAGAGACGCAGTAATAAATAAACAGTCTACGATTAAGATAAATATCCTTCTTGTTTGAAAAAGTAATTTGAAGTTGAAGTCCCTGCACAAATCACTCTTGTGCATAGTAAGGTGTTTTTTTGATTAATAAAGATGCAAAAAGATGAGGAATTTTCCTCTCGGTGTGATTAAAGTCAGAAATTGAAATCCGCAAGTACAAATTCGTGTTTTTCAATTTTTTCCTTTTTTGAGTCAAATATATTATCGACCCGATGCTCGAGACGGTGTGCGTCTGCGTGTATATAAACAATCCGCCGTTTCGATTCTGAGGGTATTCGTGCTGTGGAAATTCGTTAATCATCATCAAACTTTGATAAATCGTCTGCATGAAGCACTAGAGGTGAGTTGGTCGTTGTGGTCTTGTAGCAAACAGCTGACTTACATGTGTGCTTATGCTAATAAATTCATTGCGTTTAGCTAATGTCAAAGGGAATTTGTTTAATCAAAATTTGATTGCGTTTAAGCGGCTCCACGATGATTAATTCGTATTGGCAGGGACTTTAATTAAAAATCTCGGGAATTAAAATGATGCAATCCTTCAAAAATAAAACATCAAAAAGAAATTATTATCAGAAACGATAATTTAAATTCAACAGGTTTCCATCTTACGTTTGATGATTTATTTTTGTTTTCGCAAATAGAGATTGAATTAACGCTCGTTTTTGATTTAAGAATGGGGTTAAAAAGCTTCACTAGTGTCGGAAGACTGTTACTGATATTAATAGGATTGACGTTGGCTCAAGAGGATTCCCTACGTAGCGCATTAAATGCAATTGATCGACGCCAGAAAGACTTATCCGAGTTTTCTAGATATGACGATGACAATTTAGGCGAATATGGTTATTCTTTAGACGCTCCCGACGATCTTTCATTTTTATCTCCCTCCGACTACCCAGGTATTTTTTCTTATCAAAATTCCTGACATTAAATAAACTTCTTTTAGAACGTGATTTTGACAAGAACCCCGCGCTCGAGCGCCTGTTATTAGATTATTTGGAAGACGGGTCGTATTTAGATTCAAGTCGGGCCGATCATGATGAGGATGTAAAAAAGAGGATTTCGTCCTCATTCCGTGAGCGTTTGGAAGAAGATAAACAGCGACAATTGGAGGAATTAGCACAAAACGTTCTGGCGAACGACGACCGCGATAACGATGACGATTATGGCGAACTAATTAGGGAACTTTGGGAAAAGTACAAAAACTACCCAAATTTGTACAATCATCCGAGGGTCTATTTCAACAACGACAACAAAAAGAGAACGTTTTATCCCCGGCTCGGGCTCGATAGCATCGGTTTGCGAAAACGAAACAAATATTACGAGGGTGACAGCTTGAATGACAACCCGTATTTGTACACCTACAAAGACAATTACTACAACAAATACCAAGACGACGACGATGACGATAAAGACGCAGAACCTAACTATTACGAGTGGGCTAAAAACAAACACTTCTCCAGAGACCGCAAATTCGACTACAGAACTAGATCCTATAACCCGAACAAAAGATTTCCCGTGTCGAAACGCAGCAGCAGTTTCGAACCGCCACACTCCGAAGTCACCCACGAGCACAAAAGGTCAACCACTAAGAAAGACTGCGTTGACAAAACCGATCCTAAAGTCGCCAAAGATTTAAGCAACATTTTCGGTTCAGGTAGCACCGAGAAACCCACAACTTCAAAGCCCGAAAAGCCCAAAACCATGAAAAAAGAGCATGCTAAAGAAACTAAATCGAAAAATAAGACTAAAGGCGACAAAAATAAAGACAAACCAAAAAAAGGTAGCTCCAAAGAAGAAATTGCTGACGTAATCAGTGACAAACCACTCCAAATTCAGAAAAAATCGATTAACTGGTCGGACTACTTCGGGCTAGACCGGCGCAAGAAATCTGAAGATGAGTTGGACAATGAATGGTTAATCGAGCGTTACCATAAAGCCATAGCCCTGAAACGTAACGCTGAATATCCATTACAGTCATTCAAAAATCATGACCAGCCCGCTAAAAAAGAATCCGACAAGACTGACTCCGAAGAAGTAAAAATCTCAGAAATGGACACAAAACTTAAAAATATGGAAGACACTATTATCGATGACGCTCTAAAATACACCGGTGCTCACGAAGGTACAACTGATTCCGAAGAAATCCAGGACGTTAAAGACAAGGTAATATCGCGTCTCGCTGCCGCTTACAGCCTCGAGAAAATGCGTCAAGCCCTAGGAGAGTACAAATTAAGCATGACGAAGGAGAAAGACCGCTTAAAGCAACAACACAAAAGCGACGACTACGACATCTCTGAAGAAAAAAGGGTCTCCGTTCCCAGAAAACAAGCCATCGACGACGAACGAGAGAAAATTCCAGAAAGCGATAACAACATCAAATGTTCCCAAGGCGACGAAGAGTGCGAAGATCAGAATTACCGAACACCATCTGACGTTCTAGAACAGGCAGTTTTTGGTAAATTTCAAGCGAACTGAAGTCTCCGGTTATTAATTTTTTTGTTACAGAGGAGTGTCCACGCGTGCAGAGGGCGTGTAACGAGATAGCAACTGTATTGGGTCATTATGCTCGAGTTTTCGAAACGGCATGCAACATGCATCAGATGTGCTTATTATGCGTAAGTTGGGTGGTGACACTGGGGTGTTTTTTCAATGGTTATTTTGCAGAGTAACAACAGCTGGTTTGCCCCCACTCGCCAATGCAACGTCCTGTTTCTAACGAAGGCTTTCGAACTGTGCGACGGGAAAGAAGAATGTCAGAAGGAGGCCCACGGATCCATTAGGTACTTGCTGGACGTGAATCGGTCACTTAGGTTGGAACCATTGGGAGAATGCGAACTCGCTTGTCCTGACAGGCGATAAATTGAGGTCTTTGTCGATCGATAAAGCGGAAGGGTCGTTAGGACGCCCTTTTGCCAGGCTGATTTCTCCAGATGTCATCTAATCTGTATCGATATTATTGACAGCCTTTGATTTATTCAATGGGTGTTTATCATTGTAACTTATTAAATGTATACATAGTAAATGTTGCTTCAGAAAAGACATTACCACTGAAGTTCGTTGTTAAATATTTATATTCTATTTGTTTATTCGAAGGATTTCGACTAAAACAGCGACTATCTAACCAACACATTTAAAACACGTTCAAAGTATAAAAAAACAAGTACATATGCAACTTCATCACTGTACAGATTCAAATTCTTATTGTTGTATCTACATTTTTAGTAACAGGGATGCATTGAACGTGATTTATCAAGAGCAAATCCGATTGTACAGATATGGGGATTTCATCACAGCCCTGTAACGAAAGTGACAATAATACCGATAATCCACTAGAAACAATAACTGACAGGGCACCCAAAAACCCAAATTCACTCGTGAAATCACCATAGACAACCATCGATATTTTGCTTAGACAAAAGGACTGTGCTATTGTATTAACGGTTTCAATATATTTTAATGGTAATAATAGACAATTTTATTTGATGTTGAAACAAGTCTTTTTCTATACCTCGTCATTACGCATCCTTATCCAATTCCAACAATACCGGTTGATTAGATAATGAGATATCAGTCAATAGATAGTAACGTCAATTGTTTTTCAGACGTTTATTATTTTGGGTGAACTGATTCTAAAAAACGTACTGGCCTCAATAAAAGATACATTTTAAAACAAAAAAATGTTTCCGGCATCTGATACAGACAGCACCTATGAGGGTAAGTTACATTTGGATCAAAGCTAACTTTCATTACTCTAATATGACACAATAATGATTCACGCTGCAAACATTTCCACTATCGCAAACTCGATTACCATTCCAGAACTGAGTATGCCAGTTTTTTCAGAAGGGATGTCGGTGGTTACCGAACCACCCCCACTGACGCGCGAGCAAGGTAAGACTAAACCGCACAGGGAAAAATTTTGTACCCCGGTTTCTAGAACGACTCAACCAAGGAATCAGGCGACCAATTCCAGTTTCAACAATAGACTGGCAAACCTCATTGACGTCACACTTCTCACCTCTCTACGGTTTAGACTTCTTGCAAGACGTGAATCAACTGATAATTCAACAAACGGTTGAACTAACCGACGGTAATAACAACACCTTTGTTAGTACCAATTCTTACCAAAAACAAAAACCGTAGTCATGTCTTCCTTGGACTCGGAAAATCGTTACACAGTCAAAGTTCCTCGCGGCGAGACAATTTATTACGCCACTGAAAGCTCGACTTCATTTCAAAGGACTTGTTTTGGATCCAGTCGGGCGTACACAATGAGACTTTACGACCCGACACAACAAGAAGCCATACAATTTAGACGAAAACTCGCGTGTGGTTCTTGCTGTACTATTTTTCCACTCTTACAAGTTAGTAGCAACTTCAAATAAACCAAGTATCAAAAATTCTCTTTAAGGAAATGGAAGTTTGGATTCCCCCGGGAGAATTCGTTGGAAAAGTTTTACAGCAATTTAGCGCGACGAGACCTAGCTTTGCACTCTACAACAAACAGTACGAAGTCATTTACAAAATTGAAGGACCGGAAGCGGCGTTTGGGTGTTTGATGAGCAAGAATCACAATTTTCAGGTAGAGTCTGCGCGAATGACGTGGAAAAGTAAATTTGGTGTAGATTTTTAGCAACGACGGATCTACGCAAATAGGGAGCATCATCCATCAGTGGGATCAGGTTCAAGTGGCCTATAATCTTTACTTGCAAATGCCAGGAAATGAAAATAATACACGAAACAAAGCTCTTCTGATTGGTGCTGCTTTCCTATTGGTAAGAGTTTGTGGGTGTCGAGCATGTTTTCATCGAGTTGTTTTAGGAGTACATGTATTTTGAAAATTCGAAACGAAGAGGCTACTGCAGATGTATGTGCTAATATTGTTTTAATCCTTAAGTATATCTACTCTTTGAGAACAATAGCATGATTGTTGATGTTATAATGTAGCGATTTCAGAAACACCGAATCAGGTTTTGTCATGCGTCATAGCTGTCGCCGTTCGTCGGTTTGTTTGTTAAGAAGATTATGATTATCTACTCATGTTTCGACTTAATTTTTTTTATGTGCATATTTATATATAGCCTGATCTGGAAGGGGGATTTGTAACACTATGAAATAAAAAATCTTTTTTAAATATGTATTTTATTGAAATTGCTTGTAGGACCACAGCTACAAATAAACTTTAAAAACTATTACAAAATGTCGCGTTAAAATAATTTAATGATATACACAATAAACAACAAAAATGTACATAGTAGTTAAAATATATGTAACTATAAAATTACAGTTTGCTGCTTCCATCCAAATAAATAACAAAACCCAGGTCGAGCAATTAAATAACAATAAAAGCATCCTACATTTTATGACAGATATTAAAATGATCGATATTTACATTGGAAAATGTACATGTGGCTAGAATCCTGGCCTCAACTGTGTAGCTATGGGCGTCCGGAATGCGCAGGTTCGCATTAGAGACAAAGTGTGAGTAAACTAATGAAACCAGAAACGGTATAAGTACCTTAAGTTGCAGAGGGCACGCTGTTGGATGAACATACAAATACTTACAAAGGAGAACTATATTACAGTTATGTTCAATGACTAACATAGAGTGACACGCATAATAAATGTGGTGTGTATGGATAAAGTGAATGCAAATATACCCAAGCGTGAAATCTCTAGTAATGTCAGTATGAAGTAATTTACATCATCAGGTATATAGTTTTACATTAATATTATCCCAAATTGGACAGAACGGTTCAAATTGGACAGGTGTGCAGGTTTAGTATTTATTCTGCCGAAGCGACTCCGGCTGGACGACTAAACCCGAATCAAATGGGTGATTAACATAATCACTGAGCAACAAACAAAGAGTAAAGACTAGATAACATTGCGTATTAATTTACATAATCAATTATTTAAAATGGAATGTAAAAAGTTGCAAGTGACAAACTTAATTGCAGTCTTACTCGTGACGAAATCATAGCAAAAACAAATCATCACTACAGACCTATCATATCTTATCACTAGAATGTTCTACAAACACACAGAAATTGTTTAAATACTTTAGTAAACTACATTCTATTACAATTATATGTTTATATACTATATCTGTTCAATTATACAGCACGCAAAAACCTATAAACCCACAGACTGTCTCTTTAGCCAATAGACTTCCAGGGCTTCTGTGGAAACTAACAGCAATTATCACAGAAAGAAATTCTTAAAATATAAAACCAAGAGTAACTGGTTCAAAGAAACTAACAAAACAAATTTAATCCTCAAATAACCCGTTCAACGATCAAGGTACAGAGAGCTCTTGCCTCCATTATTCTCAAAATAACGAGAAGAGCCGATAATACTGGATTATTTTGACAAGATTAAAACGATTTCCGTTCGCGTTTCACTCAATGATGTGATTTGATATGTGCCTGAGGTTACCTAAGCTACGGCACATGTAAAACTACCTACTTCTAATGTGGGCCAATTTACACGATTGCCGGTACATAAGTAATCATTTAGGAAATTTATGATGGAGGTAGTCATTTAGTCAGTTGGCCAAGTCAAGTCGATTTCTGGCAGCAAAAGTGCAACCGAACAGCAACGCAAGGCTAAAAGATCAGCAAAATTAACAAAACGATTTTTTTAAAAATAGTTAGGAAGTTTCTATGCCACATAAATGGACGGCACAGCTACACACATGGAATGTGTTTTTAACACACAACAATACATAAAATCGGGTGGATTATTGGAGGGGACTAGTTATTGTGCCTATTTGGCTTTAGAACTGGGTCTCGTCCCCACACTATTCAGCCCATCGCCACGTGAACGCGACCTGGGAAGACCGTCACCTGAAAACACCCAAAATCTACATCAAAACGCCATTCCGCACGCACGCATACACCACTTCCGGTACCCAATCCCCAGCTTAAAACGTCAAAGGTCCCCCATCGCCACGAAATCCACACAGCGATCATTTGACCTAAATTAGTTTCAACCCTTTTTCCAAGATTTCTCAATTCTAAAAAACGATCACTGTGTACCTTCGATTTGGGTTTTAAGCCAGGGACTTGCTGAGGTCTTATCCTAATCAATGACAACTAAGTCTTCACCTACCTTTCCCAGACGCACACTTATTATTATTGGCAAGAGAATCAGCCTTATAAGCACGCATTGCACGTCCTCTGCGGTCCAGTATTAACTTATCGGCACGCACGAACATTCCATACTTCGGTCGACAGCTGAAATAGCGGACGCCTTGAACGCTCCCATCGTTCTTGCCTAAAACCGGCAAAACTGGTTCCTGCAAGGTTCACATTCCTGGACGTCTCTTACCTTTGGGGGCGTCAAGTTCAACGCCGATCCATGTACCAGCGGCAAATTCGGTGCCGCCAATATAGGCGACGACACCTGAAGAATTATATGGTCTTATAAGAACACTTTCACCCAACACAACCCATTCAGGGACGGGAACGTCTGATAATTTGCTTAGGTCAGGCTTCGATCCAAAAGTGTTTTCTGAATCATCTGTGAAGAATAATATCAGAAAGAGACGAAACGTTTCTATATAGTACCTTCTAAGCGATCATTAGAACTGTCTAATCCTTCGTCATCGTGTAGTAAATTCGTCTGGATTAGACTCTGTTCTAGATTTTGAGCAACTTTACTTTCTGATAATTGTGGGCGCGCTTGTGGAAATGATGCTCGTTGGGAATGTTGCGTTTTTGATGTCTTTTTCCTCCGCACCACGCGTCCTGGTGATAGGTTTGTTTTGATTACTGTGCTGCTTTCGTTGTCTGGAGGTTTTTCTGGGTTAGGTTCGGAATGATTGTCAACACCGTTTACCAAGTAGTCGTCGGGATTATCGTCTTTACTGATTGGAGGATCTTCACTATAAGTACTTTCCTGTAGAAAAACGGGAAGAATAATACTGTACGTAAAATACGGAAGTCGTACTTGACAGGCTTCACTCGAACTATCCGAGGCTTCAGTTACCGGTTGTAAATCGTTCGATACAGGCGGTTTGTTTTCTAAATCGGGTGTTTCATCAACGCTCATACTGCGTAGTGACATAGAGTCGTCACTTGACAGATTACTAGATGAAACAGCCTGAGAACCGTAACCACTAGAAGTGGTCGAAGGTGTACCTGATTTTGGGGCCAACTCCACAAGAGAATCCAGAGTTCTAGAAGTAGGAATAGTTCGCCTCCCGTTACTCCTACTCTTTATAGTATACTAAAATCCGCGGGTTAAATCACGTCGCAACGATTAACTTACTCACAGTAACCTCCTTCTTTTCGTCTTGGCCTTCTTCACATTGTTCTTCAATAGTATCGTCGCTCAAAATATCAAGCGAGTGCTTTCTAGGCAAGGAGGGTTGTTCTTCATGAAGTGTGGTCATCCTAAGACCCAGTTTAGTGTTAGCTGGTGACGTAAGACCCGGGAATACTGAAAATGATACCAATTACTTTCTGTAAGAAGACTATGGGTTAACAAACATTGAAAAAATAAAATGCATGCTGAAAAACAAAACAAAATCATTGAAACTACATAATATAAAAAACAAATAAGCCGACTAGTAGAGAATGGCGACATACGTTTCGAAGGTCCAGCAGGTTGTTGTAATCTTAAAGAGTTGAGGTTTAAGCTGAGATTTAAGAAAGTCGGACGAGCTGAAATATCAGAAATATTAGTTATGGTATTAACTAGGAGTTACTCCGTGCTCTTTTAACTTATTGGTTTACTATTAAACACTCCAATTGTTATTTATCTGTATATACAGGTAAAATGATACATGGTCATTTTAAAGTCAAAGAGACCTATTAATCTAACAGAAAACACAACATGCAAGTATAGCCAATTATACATCGGAACTAATTAGTTATTTTTATTCTAAATTTATAACTACTCATGCTCACGATGCTCTTCGTTACGGATACATTTACTCAAGTACGGGTATGATACATTACACTTGGTAATGTGGAAGTCTCTGTGACTTTATTACAATTACGAAACTAAAAAATGAGATGGTTGTCAGTTTATAAGTTTACGTTTTTCATAATCTCATATTAAAGCATAGCGTATAGCTTTTTACTTTGTCTGTAGTATAGTACTGATGCTCAGGTAAAGCTAAAATCAAAATGGCAACTTATAACCAAAACATGCTTAATATGTTTCCTCTACTGTATAGACTAACAACTACATGAGAAACATAGTTTTGAGATGAACTACACGACAAACAAAAAGAAAAACGAATGACCGGTCACCATAGTGAAAGCAACATGGAACTCATTTAACACAAACACAAAGTGAATGATTCACATCCCCAATGAATCATCACGATGACAACTTTCACTACAATTCATAAAGTCGAACTAATGATGTTTAATCTCAAAACTTATGTTATCGACAAGCAGACGGTTTCTTAAACAGACATGATCTGTATCCACCTATAGCAATCTCAATATGCAAGCCTCCATTTTACCTGAAAGAATGGAGCCTTGTGGTTGCAGAAAAAAATTCAATCCAAATTAGTCAAGCAAAAATGTAAAAACTTTGAAGAGCCTCGGGCTCAACATCAATATAAAAACATCATATTAGAAAGAGAAGCTTTAATGGTTCAAAATAAAAGAGGGGTTAGTGCAATTTTTGAAACGTGAATATGCTTAAAGAACAATGAGAAGTTTAAACAACATTTAATAAAAAATCAGTAGATTTAACAAACAGCTGCATGGTGATGGGCACGTTTAGTTAGTTCATTGAAAACACTGAGATGTTTTGAAAAACACACTGCCCCAAATCAGCAAAGACCAAAGCATAACAGCAATGGCACCAAATTCTGACAGACATACTATTAACTCTGAAAACTAACTCTAACTATTCTTCTAAAATATAACACATATTTGAACTAAGTCCTATCATATTCTTAAGAAGTCAAGTAAGAAGGGCGTGATAGAATTGTAACGTACCTATACCGAAGGGTTTGGTTGGAGTGCCCTCGGACTCTTTACCAAAGCTAGATCTTGACCGTATCGGTGTCGTTTTACCGTGAAGTTCGCTATTAAGTTCTGACACACTTTCAGATCGTGACATCTGGAGAGATTCGGTGCTGGTATCTAACCTCATAAGCTAGAAAACAAAAAAAATGATAGACCCGACCCAACATAATATTGAAATAGGCGTGCAAACGTACCCCATTCTTTGTTTCCAAAGCCTGATAGCAAAAAACCGCGAAATTAAGCATAAATCATTAACGATAACACAAATATAGTTACCTGAGAGAAGTTAGGAACACTCGCTGTCTTTCTCATCAAAGGTTGACCCTTGGCTTGTAATAATTCTTTAACTGCTACACTCTGTCTTAAGCGATCAAGGGTCAATATGCTTTCCACAGCACTGACCCCACGTGTGTATTTTTCTAAAGCCAAATTGTTTAGCTAAAGACGCTTGGCACACAAACAAACTTACCGATATATGTTTCTCCATCACACAAAGAAGAGTCATCTCCAGAAGCTACAAGTTGTGCTAGCGATTCTCGATCTTCCAGTTCTTCACTAGCTTTAGGAACATTCGAAACAACTTCATAAGTGACTCCACACTGGGTCACAACATCCGCACGCACAATTTTCCGCTTGATCCGATCTGTAATGCTCTGTCTTTTATATATATTTAAAGACAGCCTTTTTCTAAGCACCAAATCCATCGGGGCTGGATGCGACAACCTCACCGTTATTCTTAGAATCATATACACTCTTTCCATCGCTAAAGACAACTTAGGTCGTAACTATATCACGAAAGGAGATTTGACTTACGCTCAGTAACTTTGTTTAAGTTGGCGCTATCATGTATTGAAGAATCCCAACTAGCAACGGCACAAACATCTTTCTCTAGATGTTGCAATATATGTAGACTATAAAAAGTACTACCCACTTCTTTCGACAATATGGAGTTGACACCAGCTACTGTGATGTCCGCTCCGGATTGATGTGCGGTAAGATCATCGGCTGAAATCGTAACAATAAAGACAGTTTTAACACAATGACGAGTTTTACCATTCAAATCCAAAAATAACACAGGAACGTAAGGTTCCATTCCTGGTGGAGGCATCCATACGGCGGGTGCCCCAGGAACTCCAGTTCCAGGCGTAGGAACCATCACTGCATTTCTTTCTTCAGTTAAATTGACCCACTGATCCATCAGACTGTGTTCTCTATCCACGTCTTGTTCACTTTTGTTTGGTTTGTCCAAAAGCTTCTTAATCTGTTCTTCCAAATATTGATGTCTTCTCGAAAGAGCATCACTCCATTTTTCTCTTAAAATAGTCAAGTCTTCTTCTTGGTACGAATCTAGATGTTTTTGTAGACGACTTCGCACCATCACGCCCCCCACTTCAATTTTAACTATTTGCTGGCATATGATGGGGAGAGTACCAGAGTTCTGTACTGGTTTAACTCTAACTTGAATCCTGCGCTGTTGACCTTGACGTAGCTGATAAACGCCACCAGCTGACGCTTCATTTTTGACAGTGACTTCCACAGGTGCGTACTCTCCTTGATCGTTTAGTTCTTGGATTTCGACCCACAGTTCGATTTTACGAGTTAGTTCGGACCAGCGATCAACTAAAGAGCGTGCGGTTGCCAGTTGATGTTGTTCGACTTCCCAACCGGGACGTTCTTTTGAGAAACCAGCGCTTCGGTTTCCCCACACTTCTATAGAGAGAGCTCCTTCTACAAAGTAAGTCGTGATCTATAGGTTCAGGTGGTTGTAAAATCAAACCTGAACAGTGTTCCAAAAATTCTTCCGTCATGGAGATAGTGAAGTCTTTAATGTGGTCAAACCTAGAGATCTTATCTTTAGACATGGGTAGTACACTAGGAACGTCGTTCTTGTCTGGAACTACTACAGAATCGGGGTGGTTCCAGAAGGTGTAGTGGCAAAACACGTAGTGAGAAAGGGATAAAGGTAGACCAGAGGCTTGTTTGATGTGTACGCGGCAGGTGACGTTCGCGCTGCCGTGGTCTTCTTCATCGTGGCTGCTGTCGGACGAGTTGTCGGAAGCAGCTTCGCATATTCGGTCTTGGGGGAAAGTTCCCGCGACACGACTGAGTTCCACCTTCGGGGAAAGGTCGACATAAAATAAAACGGAGGTATGGGAATGGGAGAGATTACCTGTAAGCGTCCCGCAACTTCGCCCTGTTGGCTGATAATGGGTGTGTGATAATCTAGCTTAATGTCGTGGAATAAAGCTTCCAAGAAAATATTCGCTACACCTATCAAATTATGATTTTCCTGCGATTCGAAGAAGGGATCCTGTTCTTTAATCGGCGAATCCTGAAACGGAACGTTTACTTTTCCGGGTTGTTGGTTATCTGACAAACTTGCTTTTGTATAGTCCCCTTGTTCTTTCTTCTCTTCGTACAGCTCTCTCATATCTACTATCTTATTTTCAAGTTTTTCCATTGACCAAACTTGGCTCTGTTTGCCCCTCTTAACTAGAATCGCGGGTTCGCTAACGAACGCACCTTTCTGCAGACAGAGAAAATGAGAAGAGAAATTGTTCGAGAATTAAATACTTTACCCATTTGTTTGGACTGAGTCTATCTGGGGGTATTTGTAAAGTGACGCTAAATTTGGTCTTTCGTCCCATTAGCTCAGCCAAGCAGTTCGCTTCTTGCACCAGAGAATTAGCATGATAGATGCCTTCTTTTAATTGTCCTATGCTCCTTTTAAACATTTCGTCTCTCTCTTGCGCCCATTTTTCAACCCTCATCTGTGTCGTAGGTGTGCAAGGAGTTGTTTTGCCAAAATTGGCTCTCAGGGGATCGTAGGAATAAGGAGGGTAGGGTGTCGAAGGGGACATAATGTTTCGCAACTGCTGGAATTGCCTTTCATATTCCATTCGTTGTTTTTCCAATGCGACTATAAAAACAGATATATTTTTGAAAGGAAGCTAGATGTGAAAATAATGATTCACCTTGTTTATCTTCCTTGTGTTGTTTTTCAAGGCGGGAGATAGCAGCTTGTATTGGATCGTTAATAAGTTCATTTAACATAAGTTCATCGCGGGCAAAATTGTAATCGATATTTTGTGCTGGTGTTTGAGGCTCCGACGTGGCAGCTTAAAATGAATTGTCGCAATGAGACGGGGAATAATTCCGTTTACGTGCAAACTTACAAACTGATCTCGGGCAATTTACCCTAAAGAAGTGGTGATTTCCCCAAACTATCCTATCGCCGTGCCTTAACTGCGTCCTTTGCGTTACTTGGGAACCGTTGATGTAAGAGCGGGCGTTCGTCAGTGGCTCCAAAAACAAACCACCGTCCTCGATGGTAATTATGCAATGTTCGGGTTGAATACCCAATCCGGATAATTGTATATCGGGTTCCACTCCAGAACCACAACTCCTTGCTCCGACTATTGTCCTTTCCTTCAAATAATACACAAGGAGCTCGTTAAGAGAAGGATCAGCGTTCAAATTAACCAAATAATATTTATTTTTCTCGACTTTTATCCCCGACGCCTGTATGCTAATGCCCATCTTCTCCAGCGCCTGCTGCCTTTCGTTCTGAATTCTTTCGGTTTTCATTAGTTTCTCTTCCCAGGTCTGAGACACTTCTTTGTATAATTTTTCACTTTCGCTCAATTTTTGGTGAATATCAACTCTTTGGATATCACCAACCGGAGAACCCTGAAACCAAATTTACATAAAACTGACCGAATAATATTTAACGGCGTTACAGTAGCGTGCTTTAGCATTTCCTTCAATGCCTCGACTTCTTGTCGCAATTCTCTTATGATTCTGGCATTCGGGTCCTCGTTGACGACAGCATGATTGACAATTCTCTTCGCCCTGTCGGCGTACCGCAAGGTCGATAACGTTTCTTCGTAATTGTCTGCTGCAGGCGAAATCGTCGCCACCATTACAGTCTTACTATTCCCGCCCAAATTATCTTTCAATATCCACGTTAGCACAGAATCTCGGTACGGCACGAATTTATTATCTTTATTTTTATTCCCTGAAGACGATTGATCGGCTAATTTTGATATTACTAGACCTAACGTTGTTAACGACCTGAAACATCTCGTCGTAACGACGCGCTTCTACACCTAAATCGTCATTACTTATTGATATTGGAGCCTTCTTTTAACCTGTCACCAACCGCTCCAGTTTTCACAGCCCTTTCCGAACCAGCTAAATCTACCAAAGACATGCGACTGACTTTTTCTCCTGTTACTCCAGTGTGAGTATCAACCAAAGTCTGAGTTAGTATGACCGTAAACACCGCATGAGATCTAGACGACTCGCTATTCATATTTGTAGCAGCCACCGTCCTTGATTTATTGCCTTCAGCCATCAAATTATCGATATCCTATCAATTAATTATAAGAACTATGTACATTCACACAGTTGGATACAAACCTGAAACGACGTTACTGCTAACTGGGATAAGCCGTCAACGTAGGGACCAAGCACGTTGTGTTCTCTCACTTTTAATGATTGCTTATTCGTTTTAGGATCTAACAAATCGTGAACCTGCCAAAACCACAAACGTTACACGCTTCCCTCCCAATTACCGCTCCTTACCTTTTCGTTGTAAATTTCCATATAACTTACTTCTACTTTGTAAGTAAGTTCTGAGCTTTGTTGCTTTGCAATTAGGCCAAACAACGCATCACATAATCGTGGTATTATCCCCTTGTTGTCTTGAGAACCCATCATCGTGTACGATTTACCAGAACCTGCGGATTTTCGAAGTCAATATGCGTAATTACGATGCGGGAGAAAACCAGATGAGGGCGCGTTAAGAGACGAAACAACGAAACATATTTTGAGAAAATTCACACCCAATTCACAACCGAACAAGTAAAGGAGAATCACAAGACAGAAAGGTACAGGTACACATATGGTAGAATTCTTAGTGACCCCTGGTAACCCTCCGATAGCCACAAGAGCGACCCTTGTCGTAGCGATGTAAATTTTTTTCGGTCGTTTCGTTCGCCACAATTCTCTCGAAACTGAGTTTGAGAGTGCTCCGGAGTTGTGATTTTGTGTAAGCCTAGGGTATGTGAAGAGCAAGGGTCACTTTTTTCGTTAAAGTGGTGCGAAAATGTGCGAGGCATAAATCGCCGAGAGCACAAAGTGTAACTAATACAAAGTTTGGAAACTCGGTATTTTAGTTCGAGTCGCATTTCAGTGGTTTCCGCGCGGTTAGAAAATTCGAGCACTGAGTAAATTAGGAGCGTTTCGGCGAATTTTAGTTCGTGCTCGCCTGGAGTGTAGTCACGTCGATAGCATGTAGCTGCTTTTACCTGTGACCATAAAGTGGGTAAAAAGTGGACAAAACAAGAAGTAGCATGTAAATAAAGACGAAGGTCAAAGGCGAGCCCGATCGATTTGAGAAATGGTGTGAAGGTTTTCTGAATTTCTTCTTGATAACAATGGTCACGATAGTTTCCCTTTGTATCTAGAGAGGAAGCGAGGCCGCGTTTCCGTGGAAATTCGGAATATGCATAAGGGCTATAAAACGTTTCGTGCTCCCCATTAGGTGAGACCTTTGGAGTTAATTAATAGATGATATAAAAGCAGGGTGTGACAAACAAACAGTACACGCGAAGTGAAAAGTGAAAAAAATCAATAGATAAAGTTGCACAATTGCAAGCATTGTGTAGAATGGGTCCGAAAGGGTCTTTCATCTCTGGATCGACACATTGAAAGCCTCACATGTTCTGAATACGAATTTCGCTCCTAGATCAACGTAGCGTAATCGGAAAAATGAATGGAGCGAGCTTTCAGCGCTGGAAAAAGTGCGGAGTCCTTAATCGAAACGAAACAGAACAGGGATTGTTATGCAAAGTCGTCCGCAGGCTCCGCTAGATCCCTTTAATATTCATCGCTTCTATTGCTGTTTTGAGGATTGGGTTTGGGTATCAAAGCGTAAAGCAAACATTCTAATTGTATAATGATATAGTAAAAGATAACGCGTTATCTATCGCATCGGAAGATTTTACCTGTTTGGCCATAAGCGAAGATACAGGCGTTATATCCTTGGAACGCGTTGTCAAGGATATCCCGCCCAAGGCTATCAAAAACGACTTCCTGTGAAGCGAAGCCTTCCACGGCCGGATCCACCGAACAAAAACAATGGTCGAATGCAAAAGTCTTTGGCTGTTTCCTGTAAAAGAGAGAATTTTCTTTGATAAACTCTTTATGAATTTTCCGCAGGTAAAACCCCCACCAGTATTATCCGTTCTATTGTTCGCAGCAAGTGGGATAGAGAGATGAATCATGCCGATTATTCACACCTAAAGACAATCGTTTTTGGGAAGTGAGTAAATCAAATGGGTTTTACTGGATCTGGAATATATAACGAGATGAAATTCTTCTCGTTCTAGAAATAGAACACTCCGGAAATAGTCCGCGCTCCGGAAATACGTCTAGGTGCAGCTTCGTATCAAAAACTTTTTTCCCATCGCTAGACCTAATAATTATTTCATTTCACTTTCATCGATCCCGGTTCCAATTAGTAAATGGTTGTTTGTACAGCGCCCTGGATCTATATTATTTTCACTCATGCATGCTGGAATCGATCGTACGATGACACCGACATTTACCAAGATTACCTCCCTGCCAATAAAACCCTAATTACATACTTCACACTTCCACCATGCTCGACTCTTTCGGGACCGCCCGGGTTTAATAGAAATTCCACATGCAATGCGTTCCTCGAGGCCATTTTTCAATTTTACCGAGTTTATTAAACATTATTTATGTATTACCTAGTCTGCCTACGCCAAATTACGAATGCCATTTCCGATTAGTGAGTATGCGCTCTATTTGTGTCGCGTAAGTCATAACAGTATTCACGAAATGTGTAACTTTTAAAATACTAATCACCATGACGATTTTGCAACGCTGCTTAACTTTCTCGAACATTTTTTAGCAGCCGCAATTCGACGCCATATTTGTTATTTGCAAAAATTAAAAACTAACAGTAGCTGCTATACACGTCAAGCTAACGCCCACAATATTCAGTGTTGCCTCTTCGACAACACGATTGAGTCATTCTTTATCAAATGGGGAAGTTCGACATTCGTTATCTCCGCTTCGGATAAAATTAATAAAGGTAACTTACTACATTTACTGATCAAATCGATACGGCGATCTAGTTTCAACCGGCTTCGCGTAGACACATTTTCAAACTCTCTTCGTTCAACACGCTATTTTTGCATACCAATAAAATTTTATAAGTTAAAAATTCAAGAGCCTAAATCTCTCATCCCTAAAACCATAAATTACAAATTAGTCAAGCTTGGTGGTCGACAAACGGTGAACAGGGGTGGATTTGATTTATCCTGTAACGAATTTAACCAAAGTTGAAAGGTCACCCACACTAATAGAATATTAACTTGCCGTTTATGTTTGTAGGTCAGTATCGAGTTGACTTTCAACATCATGAAATTACTTTGTATTTATTGTAGTACTAAATAAAGCAGCAAAACAACTAGTAGTGGAAACTCAGTGCTTAATCATGAAGTCACCTGAGGACAAATTAAAGACTTGATTCTCCGATCAGAAGCTTTCCACCCTTAAAAAGTGTCTATATCGCCGCAAATTTTATTTAATAGTAATCATACCACGAAGCTCCCCAGCGACAAAAAAATGACATTCGCCTAGTTCAATTAATGAAATCGATACCTCCGTACAATATCTAGTTTAATCCTGTTTCACGCTGGACACGAATTCTCTTATATTCAACCGGGATTTGGTGGTTTTAAATTAATTTCCACTTTTCATTACATGTATAAATATGGCCGGGTTTATTACTCCATTTTATCGCAAGGATATTAGATTCAGACTTGGCTCCACTTGTTTTCAACAACGACATTCGAAACTCAGATGCAGCTCCACATCTTTGACTCGGGTTTTTATCGTATCGTCTAAAATTCCACGTTTTATTGGATAATATTCTTATCGTCTGTTTCGCAAAACTGCAGCAGCTATAAAACCTTCACCAGAGGGCCAAAAACGTAGAAAGTCGATACGGGTAAAATGAATTTTTAAAGGGGGGTCTATTAAGGATTTGTTGGAACAGCTATTTCGCAATTTTAAGCTAATTACCAACTGCTGTAATCAGATTACTGATAAGTTGTTAAACTTAGCAGAAATAGCCTCAGGGTAGTGTGTATAGTCATGATTCGCCGAGGTAGCTGTTTGTTTTCGGCTTGGCTTTCCGTTCAAATGAAGCACGTTAATTTTTGCCCCTTTTATTACGGGAATAAATAATGAAGAGTATTTTCCGCATGTTAGCGTTCTGTTTCTAAAACGTACTTACGTCAGGTTCAAGAATAGCACTTACGTACAGGTGCCATAAGGGTCATAATGGTTTCCAATGTAATTGATTTTTTCTATTATTACCACTTTTCGGTGAAATAGAAGTTAATAATTAAGAGTGTGCACCCATTCAAGTTATTTTTGGTGTTATTATCAGTCAATTAGTTGAAGCCTAGCAGCTTCTTTATTTCAGGTCTTGGCGCATCTGTTTCCTTTCAGGTAAAGCAGCCGCCCCAATTAACTCTAAACAGACGTCCATGTGATGTTCTCCCTCATCTTTTATTACAACGTAACCATAAAAATCTCATCTCTATTTAAATTTTCTTCTTTATGGTGATATTAGTATCGCGAGGGTAATTTTAGTATGAGACTGACGATTATTTTTCAATTTAGAAAATCCGTCGATCTGTTTCAGTTGTATTCTCAAGCGTGATGCAGTGAGCAGATGTTACAAGAAAAAATCAAAGCAGAATTTCCATTTTTCCTTCTCATTTGAACCAGAGGTCTAATACTCAAATGGAGAAGGCCTTATGTTAATGTACGTAAGGGTCGGAATGGTTGTACCATTTTCATTTGTAACCCTTTTTGCATGATTCTATTACATCTATTGAATCTTCACGAGCATCGTAACATAGATGGAAAGTTTGAACGCGTGTTTATTTATTATTCAATTACCTGACACCGCCGAGAAAATGTAGGAAAGTTTTCGAAGGAAATTTTAAATTAGCATATTTCCGAACAATAACTTTGTTAATTTACGAAAGACTTTTAGGACGACTGTTGGACAGACCAGGTAGAGGGACCCCACTGAGTACAATTAGAGGGATGTACTCGAAATAATGAAACAGGCAGGTGGTCGGTCTTTGTTGTCACATACGAAGATTTTCCATAAGGAAACCATGCGTTCCGATATGCTAAAAATAGTCGCTGAAAGGCACACACTATATAATACCCACTTTATTGCAAACACGACAACTGTTTCAGCATGCAAATCGGCTTTCTACTCTTAACATTGTGTTTGCGTTCGGGATTTTTCATCTAAAATCTAACAAAAATATTTGCTGGGGATGCTCAGAATCGAACGTCATATTAGCATTCAATTACACAGCATGGAGCAACGCCAGCATCGTACTTGGAGCGGTTTCAACGATGACATTTATGATGCTACATAAAATTAATCAGTTTTTGATACGTCGTTGGTCAAAGTCTCCACCGAGATTTCCTAGACGGCCAAAATCAATTTCGTCGAAGGAATCTTCCCAGAAATATTTCCCGTTTCAACAATTTTATCACTTATCTGTACGTTATTGACAAAATTACCGATTTAATCTCGCCATGGCACCGTGAAACGGATAAAACAATATTATACTTGACTGATAATTGTGAAAGCAATTATTACAACACGCAAAAGAAATAAAACGCTTCAATAATAGAGCACTTTCTCCCGTTTCCCAGTTCCGCCAGTATTATCATTATCACCATCATTATTATCATCATCATTATTATTAATGTTACTATTTTCGAAAATAATAATACAAGACACTATAAAAACCAATCTACTAGAAAAAAAAATCTCGATGACGATAATAATAATAATAACAATAATAATGGTGATGATGATGATGCAGGCGTTGACGTAACTTCTTAGCATATCTCAAAATGATGTCAAATATTCCCGGCACACTACAGTAAAACTTCGTCGAGACGTTTCAACAACAATAATAATAATAATAACGATGTTGGTGATGAGTGTCACCCGGCGAGTGAATCTTTCCAGATAAGCCTAAAAGCAAACATTTTGCGTAAACGCAGTGCGTGTGTTTGAAAATAAAGCAGGCAACGCGGAATTTACATCGGTAAATAGAAAATGAGTTTTGAATGTATTGACTCGGGAGAGTTTGATTGAATTTAGTGCATTTATAAAATATGTATGGCGCTCGTTTCAGTCACGTGACAAGTAAAATAATAATAGGCGATTCATTCAGATCGATACGTTTACAGATGTTCGAGCTACCATGGAGTGTCGTTTATTATCTGACATACCAACGTGGCGGTTTTAGTGTTTTATGCTGGTATATAATTAGAATATACGTAGGTACAAATGTGTGAATAAATAAGATTTAGATAAGGGGGAACTAACAAAAGCGCGGCACAGAATTGGAAATTTCTCGTTAGGTGGCGATTCGGAAACACCTACAAACGTTATGATTTCGAGGTGGCTAAGAGATAACATTTTTTACTTGCCTTCCTTTTCCGTCATTATTGTTCTTTTATTCTCACAAATTTCCTTTTCATTTGATAGAGCTGTGGAAAGATTCAATTTAGCTCAACTCTCGGAGGCTAAATGATTTCCGAGGGGTCCACAGAAAATTAATTTGGACTATTACGTCTGAATATTATGCAGCAAATGGCGAAAATTAACACACATTTTCCGCTATGGTACCTCGAGAAAATTCTACCGGGAAGTCTATGTGCTTTTTTGGTTCGTGTTTTTAAAAACATTTTCAGTTTTCTTTGCACAACAAAGTAAACCCACAAATAAAACACGACGGTGTTTCGTATTTCAAAACATAGCGCCTGGATTTCTCCCCCAGAACGCGTTTTCCCTCTTTAATTAAAATTTATTACGAAAAGCATATTTATAATTACATAAAAAACAATTCTAACTGTTGACGGTGGAGACTCCACCTAAAGTAAATTGAAATGGAGTTGGAATATTCATCAGGCTTTCAAGTACAACGAGAAATAAAAATAACTATTTAAATGTTGTTTCGAGCTCCACTGAAAAATTTCTACGTACCGAGAAAACACGTAATTTTAACGTTTGCGAACTCAAAGGATTGTTATGTTAATTTTACGTAATTCGATTACCTAAATTGAGAATTTCACCGCTTTAACAAAGACTTACTGTGCTTGTCTGAATAGATGCTATGTTAAAAACACGTTTTTTTATAATCGTAGCGTAATTTCACTTAGCCAACGCTTTGTGCCAAAAACAAAGATGTAATTTTAACAACACTTTTTTCCGAAATTATTACGTAAACTTCACGTCGGTGCTTTCTACTGCAACAAAGATGCATCATCGGGAAAAAATACGTTCCTTTTACGTAATTTCACAAAATGTACCTGAATGTGGTAAACGAAAGCTTTAATGACAAGTTGAGTAATATACATTTAATAAACATTCTTTGACGGATGACGACCCAGCGCTGTCGTTCCCGGTATCTCAAGTTAAACCATACATTAAAAAAAAATCAGATTCTAAACGTGCAAGGTAAAAATAAGGTCTGAGTAATAAACCACAAGTATATTATTCTATCAAATTTAGTCCGCTAGTGGAATAAAATGAACACCGAGTGAAATGTTCAGTTGGACTAAAACGAAAAGCCAGTGACAATCGCTACAGAAATAAAAACATCAATTGATCATCATTATATCATTACGTTACCTTGAAAATATTTAGTAAACCATAAACGATTCGAGAAATTTATTTTTAACTAAACTGTAACTATTTTTAGCTAGTGACAACCCGAAGAAAAAAAAAATTAATAAATTTGATGAAATTCATTTAGACGGAAAATTGGAAGAACAGATTGCAACACTGTCGATAGCTCTTGGGTTGTCAGGTCAACTTTTTCGATTAATCAAAACCGAGTGAAGTTAGAAACTTTCCGGAAAGCTGATTTTTTTCATGGACGTGCCTAGAGAGTACATATTTTTAAAGTACATCATCTATCAAAGAAACAGCATGGTCTATTAATAATCATTTTGTCAGAAATTCCGGAAGTGATTGTTTCGTGGCTGCATGCCACTCAGGGACGTTATTTTAACGCAATCTGTAATGAATTGGAGCGAAAAGTCTTATCAAAATAAATGGAATGGTGGAAAGAAGGAAAATGAAAACACTTTTCCCTCTTCGCAACGTCACAAATATTAAACGTCAAAAATTATAAGTTAAGCGGAAAATATTACTTCGAGGGAATTGAGAGCTTAAGAAGACAAAATAACAACGTGGTAAAATAGCGACGGATGTTTCGTTGTAGAGAATTTTGCTTCTTATAGCAAGAGGTAACAAGGCGGTGTGCCCTTTTACTCCTAGATCGTTATTAATAAGTGACTCAGTGTCACAGTTTTCCCCACTAAAGTGATGACGCGTATGTAAATGTTGCAAACCTTGCCAAAATACGAAAATCCTTACTAATTATTATCCTACTGATGAAAGTAGGCAAAAACCGGTCTCCTTGTACGGCAGAATTAGATCATCAGTTTGCAATTTCTTTAACGCCCATTTTCAGTCAGCCTTTGCATAATTAAATAGGTCTCCAACATGTTTACCTTTCCATCAAATTAACAAACCGATAAAAGAGTGGAATGATTGAAACCCGTTAAGTTCCAATGGACTCGAATCCACGCGATATCGATGACTCCGATAATGCGATTTTATTCGGAGAGAAAATGGTCGCTTCAATCCTGCATTCACGTCGGTAACACAAAACCATTGGTTGAAATTAATACAATGCCGATACTGGAATACAATTTTTTGTTGGACGCCGCTCTTATCTCGACATAAAACATGGCGTTATTATTTCCTGGCAAAGATTTCAAGCTCTTGTTTCGCGTTTCATTATGATGATTAATTCGTCTTTCTCTCAAATTTGCTGCTTCGAAATAAATAAATATATCATTAAGCGTGGTTCTTCTAGATTAAGAAATTTATAGACCGTTAAAATATTTTGCGATTAAAAAGGTATTAAGGTTTTTGTTTTACGTGCTGTTGAACTTATATCGCGTTCGGCTTAAATAAAATTACAGATGGAGTGGTAAACATGAAAGGGAAATTAATTGAATACAACGTAATAAAATTTGCGCCGGGACGCTGCGAAAATGATGAAGTTCCAAATCGACAAATCAGGGTCAAAGATAATTGCTCAATAAAATTCGTTATTTCGCATGACAAAAGCGCAATCGACACCGTGGAACGATCAAAGCGAACACAACCTCCGCCATAATTAGCTATAACATATATAAATGATCGTTATCCCACTTCTGATATTACTTAATGCCACGGGAAATAACAAGAAACATCACTTCAAGTTCGTTTTTTTTTCATCACTGTTTTTTGCATCGTACTAAATGAAATTAGTTATTTCAAGATGACAGAAGCGAATTCGTCCCCAGAAATGGCTTTTAATAACCGTGAGATGTATGCGCTCTCACAGCTTAGAAAACATTAATAAAACTCGGAACGTTGTTTAATCACGTTTATTTTACGTCGAAATGTGGGTACATCGATCAAGTGATCACCGCTATTCGGATATTACTAGCACATTTAAGTCTACAAATACTGAACAAGATGGTGAGAGAAACACTCCATCGTGCTTTCACAACGAAATTAAAAAAGTGGCTATCTAGAAGTAATTTTGACATCGATTTTACGTCGTGGTGCCTTCATTTAACAGAGTAACATTGAAATTCATCAAGCGACACTCGCTAGACAATTTACGCCAAGACAAATTTTAATCCAAGAAAATACATAATACAATTAAATCAACACGCGTCAACACACGTTGAATTTACATCAACAAACAATTACAACGCGACGTTTTTCCGACGTTATAGTTAAAATAACGTTTCGTCCTTAACTCGATGCAGCAAAACACGGCACACGCTATTCCGAAATGATTTTCGCCCAGCAAGGTCATAACCTGACGCACGAAAACTGACAGACGGTCGGAAAATGTCTGCCAACATACATTTATTTATGTCAAGCGAGTGTAAACACGTATAAATACACCGGTAGTACATAAACAGATCTATACGAGAATCATATTTACACTCCATGTCACGTACGATCCACAGTTGTAATTTCTTGTACTACAAGCGGCGGGGGCGTGTTAAAAATAAAAATATAGGTAAAATATAAATAAAATGTTTCTGCATTACTGTAAAAAAATGTGGTACAATCGTATTGACACTGTTATCGAAAACAAAGAATAGGATTGGCGATAAACTGATAAGATACACGGTTTTTTTATAAATACAGACGACAGACATTTATATAATTTGCCATTAAATTTTTGGTTGTATTCTATTATCCACCCGAGTCTTCGCAGTAATAAGAATGCTATATTTTCAACGAGCGAAGAATAAAATTCAAACTTATAAATAACGCATTCGAGGGTGGCATTGCACTTTTTTCGTTTCAAGCAGGGTGGATTTAAGAATATCTCTTCAGATATGTGGGACAGCAACGTTTCTCGAATATAATTTTTTTTTGTGTGAGGTTTGGCAACAATGAACATAATTTGCTATTGCCATATTGGTATTATTATAGGAAGCGTCTCTAATGAAATGGTGGCTCCATAACCTGGTACGTTTCGAAACAGTTTTGTCAGCGAGCGATACCCTTTGTGTATATACAAGTACACGTGTCAAATGAGTGAAATGTTTTGTGATCTTTCAGACTCGGGTGGGACCTCCGGGAAGGTTCGTCAGCTGTCTGGTGGTAGTTTTTGTGGTGGTTACGTTCCCGGATTTGTTCTAATTAAATATTAACCCGCGCGTAGGTCGAAGGGCCGGGATTTTCCCTTTGAGTGAGAGTTTTCTATGGGTTCGGTCCCGGCGACACTTATTAAATTTGTCGAGTGGGCAGAAGTTGTTGCAGTTTTTGACGGTTCTGGATATTCGGGGGAAAGATGGGCATCAAGGGCTCGATTTATACCGGGTCTGGTTGAAGCGGGCGATGTTAATCTTGGTGAACTGGGGGAGTTTAATTTGGCTGCAGCGCCTCTCTGACAAATTCATGTTAAAATTTTCCATTTTTAGTGGAATTTAAATTCTCCTCGTCAACGCTTCGTCGTGTAAACGGCGATAACTTTTGTTAACCCGGAGTGGAGTTTTTAATAAACAATAACTGCTGGGAGTCTCGATTCGTGTTAATATACATGGGACATTTAGGCATGGCTCAGTCGCTTCAGACCTTTTGACCTGGCGGACGCGGAATTACGTCGAGAATATTAATGGGGAGGTGCGAGGAGCGTTTCCTAAGGATACGACATGTTCGTGGAGTAATTGCGATCGGCCGTCTTTGAAAACAATTTTTCATTTTCGTTTCTTTTTATGAATAATTCATTTTTATTGTCGACTATTTAGAATACACGTCGGACGTGTTGCTCAAATTCGAAATATTGGAGAATATACGTCGGTTTGAGCCCATATGAGACACAGTTGGATACTGCTGGGAACTTTTACAAATTGAATTTAAAGATGCAGAACGTCTTTATGCAAATCATGTTTCGGCGATTCGGAATCATTTCCCAAAAACGTTATTGTTTTATTTATCTTTTCTTACCTTTCCATTTTATCCAGGGTCGTAGGCTGCTGGAGGATGGTTTGTTGTTTTTCCATTTTGACGACACATTGTGTTCCCAATTCAAGCTCTGAAACATGCGATATTAAAAATTCAAGCAGGCACGGGTAAACGAAACAAGAGTGTTATTGTTGACCTTAAAAATTCAATTTGCAACAAATTAGCCGTACTGACGTCTCACCTTTATGTGGCAACAGCAATAAATAAATTTAGTCATTGTGCCAGCGATGTTTCATCTGTTCATTAACAAGTTTACGCGGAGGACAACAACAACATGACAGTCAAAATACAGAGTTTTCGGCCGACCGGGCCGTCAACCGAAACGGATTTTTTCGGGTTTATTCAGACACAAAATGACAAAAACATACCTCTACGATTAAAAGGACGGACCCTAACTGCAACTTTTATTTTATCTGTAGACATTTTGGTATTTTCCTTTTAATTACAACAAAATATATATTTACACTATTATCACACTTTCTTTGTATAAATAATCACGTTACTATCCATTTTCAAACATAGTAAGTCACAACAGAGCATTTATCACAACACGTACATTCACTACTTTCGCCATATTCGAGAACACAATATTGGACGTTGCGCCGTACAATACATTTTAGATACTGGACTGCGCAAATTTTACTCCTGCTTTGTAATTTACATTAACAATACGCATTTTTACACAAAGCGACATCTACCCTGACTTCTGAGTCGTAGGCGACCACATTTGGTTGTGGGACATACTATACATACATCTGTGTACAACGCACATCAATAGGTGGCGCTCTGCACAGCGCACTGAATGCAGATCAATATATAGGACACTCTTTACAGTCTTTACTCTTCGCTTCAGCTTAAAACTGACACTAACGAAGTTTTCTCGACATCCTAACAATCCAATTATTGATTCTAAGTAGACATTTTCGCATGATTGGATAGAGTTGACATCAATTAATTTAGCCCGAGATGGCCTCCATTGTGTGTGCCCGATTTTTTTTTACCTATAAACAAACAAGCTTCAAGTACTTAGGAGAAGTTTCGATTACACATAGATTATCGCGCAGGTCATATTCATAAAAGAAGGCCGCTTTTACCAATCGTAGATGCGATATAGCAGTTCGATTACGATCAGACAATATGCTACTCTTCCGGATTGACTTCAATAAGCGGAGTATTCAAAGTAAATATTGACTCGATAACATATATTATTAATCTTGAACAAGAAAGCAAAAAAACGTGACTTCTTGGCAGGGCTGGGGTATTTCAGCGGATTTATTATCGATTTTCATATCTAAAATTGTGAAGATGTATTGTGATGCCTTAAATATGCAAAGCTGTCCACTATATTTTGCTGACATGATTTTTATCGATTATGTAATTATGCAACCAACAATACACATTACAAAATTACGTCTTATAACAATTTAGCTTGTGTGTAATAAATAGTTACGAACTAGTCTATGCTCTGGCACCCTTACACCGTTCTTCAGCTGTGGAAAGAGTTGACCATCCGGTTCAAAGGACCATTTTGTATTTGTGCCGTGGCTTTAGGTCACAAATATGAGTTTAATAAGAGTACTAAATTAAAAAAAATTATATTCTCACGTACAATACTTCCAAACCTCTTGAAGTGTAATGACTAATTTTCAGCAAATCTGGAACTAACAAGAGGCTGTTGTAATTTGGACACGGTTTTAGTCATAATGTTTACACGGGGACCACAGTTGGACACTTGACATGCAGGAGATAGAAATGTCACGTTGAGATTAGATTCCGTGTCGTGACGGTGAAACATTAATTTTTAAATTTCCACAAGTAAATTGAGCAGAAATACCTGATTTTAAAGTCGTCCAAACCGACTGTTTTCTTTTGCTCTTTACGTACTTTTCTATTCAGCTAATTTATCTCAATCGGGTTGGTTAAATTTTTAAAAGCGACTGAAAATGGTAAACACCTCCGCCCTAAAACAATGAGAATTTTCACCGGGAATTTATAAAAATGCAAGTGGAAACAAAAAGAGCAGAGAAAGGAAAGTTAAAATTAACTTTTTGAATGTTTGCATCGGTGTTAGTTTAAGACTTTAATACAAGACAAGAGAAAATTCGTCAAGGAGAAAGATGTAATTTAAAAAAGCAAATAAAACTTTTCGCCAAGTTTATTTCCTTTGGTATTATTTTCGTATTCTATTAAATTATTTATGTTGGCCATTATTAAGAGTTCTTTTCCGCTTCTGCCTTTGGTGGCTGACTTTATACATTTCATTATTTCGTCCAATGCGATGAGACACAGTCGCGTAATTAGAGTGTATTAAATTGCAAAAATATCGCAAATACAACAAACAACCTTCACAAGAAAAATCAATACTTGCGACATATTTTGTTGAGATTTGTATTTGTTTGTTAATTGCATGCCAATTGTTTGCATGACGGAAATAATTCAAAATAAGCGGTCGTCAATCCTGATCAAACAAAGTGTTCCAATCAGTTTTTACTCATTTGAATCAATAAAATAAATTGTGGCGACATTTTATTGCAAAATTAGCAACAACGACATGTGGAAACTTGTTTGAGTAATTCGATATAGGGCGTATTTGTTAAGAGTGAAAAATACAACGGTTAATGAGAAAACAAAATGTAGCTAACAATACGTAATTAAATAGCATTGCTGAAGTGTGGATATATAACTATATATTTTTTAAACCGATTTTGTATAAAACCATTGTTTCTCAATGTCAGATCGAAGTTCAAACTAGATGTTATCCAAGTTGCAATAAGTTTCTAAAATATTTTTTACTTTTAGCAGTAACGACTAGCATGCACTTTGCACATTATCGACATATTGCAGATATCGCACCCATCTATCACAAATATTTTCTATATGTTATCATTTCCGCCGTTTTGAAAGAAACTGGCAAAATGGTGCCCCTCGAAATGAGTATATTATTATTATTACAAAAAAAAAAATTAAAAATCTTAGATTATCTTGCCATCGAGTAGATGTGACGTTAGTCATTGATAGATTACTTTACTATTAAAATCAATGGCTTGTATATTTGATAAGAATCGCTAATTACGATGTTCAAGCACACGAATGAATAAAGTGTATAAAGTAAACAGTTTAGAAAGAATTTTATCATATTTATATTCACATACACAATGAAAAACTAAGTAGCGAGTTTGATGTCAAGTGCATATTTCCTTAAATGACTATTAAAAATCGTTATCTTAAGATCTTTACAGTCAGACATGTCTGAACTGTATATCTACAAAGTAATACTTTATCGATAAAACCCATATTGACTCGGACCTTGCGATTATCGATCTTGTATGTAATCAGGGATCAAAAAAGCTTTTATTAGTAGCATCGACATCTTTCAAATGCGATAAAAGTAGTGATAAATCTGCGAAAATCCGATCTTTTAGTCGGCGAGTGATTTTAGTTAAATTGAAAAGATATTAAGATTTCTTAAACAGGATACTTAGTGACGATTAAAGTTACTTATCGTTGCAATGGTAGAGCTGGCATTATCCATTCAGCTTACTGTATCTAGACATTAATCTCAAGGTGTGAAAAAAAAATGGGGACAACACCAGAAAAAAACTTTAGATTTAGTTCATAAATAAAACATGAAAATAACTATTTCGCAAATAGTATAATTTCCACTTGTCATGTTTGCTATCGCTTTATTAACACTCTAAATATTTTATTTTTATGGACACGACAATTTGGTATCTATAGACATAAAAGTTAATCCCAGAAGTAAATTCTTCACGGCTTTTAAAAAAATAAGAATTTTTCCAAGTGATATAAGTTTCAATTTTTCACAATACCCACTCACCGGATTTAACAAACAAATATTTAAATTAGCACGCAGGTAATAATAACGCTTCAATGTTAGTTATCGTGATAAAAAGTACAGGAGTTAAGCTTAATACAAAGGATTCACTTATCGTATTAAGAAGATATCTGCTCTTAAAACTGTGTCGAGTGTCACAGCCTCCAGCAAGTCGTATAACATGCCGCCCTTATTTAAATTAAAAAACGAAACCCACGCTCACTTGCATTCTGGGTAAAAAGAGAAAATTTAACGCGCCAATCCAGTTTCGGAATCGTTATGGGTGCAGAGGAGGCACCGTGGGTACGTTCAGACAACGCCCCACGAAGATCTATTTCGGATTTGTATTTACGATTCGAATGTGGAGCACTAGACAAAAAAATGTACAAGGTCGTAGGAAGAAATGCCAGTCTTGTTGCAGTAATGCATGAGATAACGCTTATTAGTAAACTAGGTGTCGAGATTTGGGACGCATTGTGAGACAGGATTAGGAAAATGAAACGCAAGTGTAATAATAATCGTCGATATTTCTTAGGTATTCATTTAAAACAATGTTAAAATCTATTTTCGTTATTAACAACAAAAAAAAAAACAAATGGTTTGAAATACCCTACCCAAAAACATCACAATACTTTTATTTACACATATTTGGCTTATTTATATATCTCAGACGACAATGTATCTATAAAATTTGAGCTACGAAGGCACTTGACGTCACCGTAATACTGTACGATCAAAAACGAAAGCATCTGGGAGGAGTTTGTCGGCTGTCAACGTAGGTTTCGGCACGTGCCGCGTAAACCAAGACGACGACAAGCGTCTCCACTTTCGTTTCTGACCATACGTTCAAATACATCTCTACGTAACAAAAGTTCTAACTCATGTTGTAGTCGTATCTTCACACTAAATGCTGAATAAACCTAAGTTTTAAGTAAACCAGAGAAAGCAGGCTTTCTACGATAGTGGTTTATATATAGGTTCGATAATAGTAATATTGCAGTCACTGTCGTGGTGACTTCCATCGAAAACCCATCCACGGGGACACTAATATCATGCAATCATGTCTATGTCTAAAGTATCGCCGTCGACGTGCTCTATGTGGCTGGTGGGAGTCGGTAGTCGCGGTTCGCACAGCAAACTATCCTGTCCCGGGTGGGTCGGCGACGTCAGCAGCTGCTCTCCCGAGAGGTCGTTGGGCGATGACAGCATGGGGTCTCCATTGACGGGCTCGTCGTCGTCCATGAGTTCCTCCATGGCCGACAGACTGAGAGTGGCATCCGTGATGACGTCCGGCATCTGGAAAGCCAAATCAGCGCCCTGATTCACGATCAGTAAGCCCGAAGAAACCCGTGCAACGTACCTTCTTGTTGGGATCCGACAGCATAATGGGAGGTAGCATGGTGGTCGGAGGTGGCTGGTTCTGGTTCTTTTGGTACGAATTGTAGGAGTACCCTTGGAAATTGAACTCGGATAGAGGAAGACCGTGAGATTTCATCTGCCGCTCTAGCTCCTGAAACGTTGCAAGTTTTATCGTCACATATCAATTATAAATGGTATGCGAAATCTACGTCACGTTTGGAGCACTTAATTGAAATTGACAGAAGCTATCTATTGTTAATAAGTGCCAATTAGAGTGATAACCATTGCAATTTACCTGGACTCGGAGTTGCAGCCTTCTATTAATGTGTTCGATTTGTTTCTGCCTAATCTCCGATTGCTTTAATCTTTGTACTTCGTTTTTGAGACACTTTATATATTCTACTGATGATTTTAATATCGTTCCTTTATTCGGCCGCACATCTCTCACTATTTCGTAATAAGGGTCGTTATTCTTCGGCAAGAGAGTCCCGAGTTCTTTTATTCGATCATTTATATTGAACCTTCGTCTACGTTCGACTAAAAACCAATCAAGACTGAACGATTACGATTAATCGGGCCTTCGTTTCAACTTACTCATATTGTGGTTATCTTTTTTCTGTCGATCTTTAGCAAGAGCGTGGAGCTCGGCGTCGCTAAGAACGAACGGCTCATTTTTGATGTTTATGTCGGTTCCGGGGAGAGAATTGTCGGATGTCTTGAAACTATCAGAAGCAAGGGAACTTGATTCCAACGAGAGCAGATCGTCGATTAGATCTTCAGCCTGTAACGAAAAAAACCACACTGTTAGTATCATCACGCCATCGAAAGGTCATTTTTTGGATTTCGAGGTCGAAGTTTTCTAAGCATGTAATTGATGGTTATTTCCATAATTTGTATAACGCAGACGCTTCATTGAGCTAATAATACGTTTTTACGACAGTTATCTAACAGAAGACACCAAAATTTTTATACGTTCCAAAGTCAAAACAACTGTGGCCTTATTACGCTCCCTCGGCTATCGCTTACATTGATAATAGCTCCTTTAAACAAAGCTCAAAATAAAACGACAATTGACTAATTAACTAATTCTCGGGCTATAAATCGATTTGCGTTACAAGTGCAACTATTTGTTTGTTGTTTCGTTACAGCATCCCGAAGTAGGTGTTTACGGTTTCCTTATCAGAACGACCGCTTCGGCGATTAGTCCTCACTATTTTAGTTTTATGCCCATAAATCTAGCAGAGGTCGTATCAATATAAAGTAGGGTCGCTCTTCCTCTATGGCCGTTTCCTCTCTGCCAAGAAATGGCCACCAATCAAAGATGCCCCACGATTTAAGTTCGCTTTTCGTTTTTCGGCTCTTCTTCTCAACAATTTTCTCCAATTCGCAACACGCGAATCACGCAATTCCGCCGACGTTATATAAAAAAAGATAATACGTTGGTGAAATTCTTTCGTAACCTTGAAAACGCTCCCTGCAATTAGTGATGAAATTTGGATTGGAGACCGACCTTCTCGCAGTGCCGCTTTTGGGCCGCCCAGTAGAAAGTAATCCATAACGAATTCGTGGCCCTATTTACATTATTATCAGACAAGATAACGTTATTTATGTTTTTTCTATATTCTTTCTAGATTGGACGGAAAACTACTTGGTAGTGCGGAGCGAACAAAACACAATAAAAATAAAATCCTAATTAACTTACACAAATTGTGGTTAGTAACAAAAACAGCTTAAATCTGTCCGAAGGATTAATCGATGCAAAAATAGGAATTTTATCTGAGGAATTTGCTCAAAAATCCTGCTCGACGCGAAAGTCTGGTGCATCTAATCCCCAATATATATCAGCGGGTTTGTCAAAAGAAGTTACATAATTTCGTAGTTTAATCTTAGGCGCGCGATTAACGATCAATAAATATGTCCGCAGGTGCTTATATCTATATTTGTATAAATTTTTAGCGACCGTGTTACACACGTACCGGCTCGAACCGGTTCCGCTCGCAAGAAGGGCCAGTTAAAATCATCCTTTTTGCACTCGAGCACTGGGTGGGCGGGGAATGCCAAGGTCACTGTTTTATTCCACGCTCAAACGCGAACACCCTGTATGTTTGCGATGTACAAAACAAATGTAATCAGTTTTAACGTAACTTCGAGATTTAATTATGGCATATATTTTAAGTTGCAGATGAGTTTGCATCACTAACATTGTAAATTAATTCTAATATACATTATCATTAAATACACAAGCTTTGACAGGGCTAATTTACACTGCTTAAGAAATGTTTTGATAAGTGTGTTAAGTTTTACTGTTGCTGACGATCACAACAGAATTATGTAAATTTTTTCAGAAAACGTTAAAGGAAGGTCAGGAAAAACAAACCATTGGGCGTAATTATGGAGACAATAAATTCAAATGTTACTTAATTCATGTCAAACGGTTCTAAAAGTGGTACACAGTGACATATCCAAGCGTGAAGATCAAACTCTATGGTCCGTAATAATTAATAAAACGATTTCAAAACATTTGAAAAAAAAAATGTAATTGGTACGAGTTAATCAGCGGGTCAATGTTCCCACCACCAGAATCGCGTGTTGAGAAATTTGTGTGTTTTTTTTTACAAATTGAAAGCTATTTTCGAGCCCCACGAGCATAAACTAGACAGGACCAGAACTGCAATTAAAACTTTATCCTCAATTAAACTATTACATTGTTTCGTACTATACGCAAATGTCACTTATCTGGAAATCACTCATGAAAACTCGATTTTGCTCTAAGATAACGATCTTATAAAAAAATTTAACAATCCGATAAAATATTGTAATTGACGCGATTCTACGAACGGAATTTCGAAACAAGGGAAATTGCAAACTACATAGTTGGTTGCGCGAACAAATGAAAAAAAGAAAAACAAATTGATCAAAGATAAGTTCCAAAAATAAGTCGCGAGAAAAATGGTGGAAGAACTCGCCGTAACTAATCCATCGAATTGATATATAGTCTCCCAATATAGTTGTCAATAATATACTGCTATAGATAGCGTTATGCAATATTATTATTGGCACTAAATCATTGGCACACTTGAAAGAAGCTTAACACGATAGAGTGTTATTCAAACGAAGCGAAATTTTACGAAAATCGCGATTCTACGACTTATGCGTTCGATTTTTCCAGTGATCTTGAAGACGGAACATTCCGCCACTCTGCAACAATTAAGGTTAATTAGGCCCTATCTCAATGACGTCATGGCGGAATGTGGGGTGGTAAAACCGGTCAAAGTTCTCAGAAGAAACGACAGGGAATACCAACACGAGAAAAATAAAAGCACTGACCTTGCTCAAAACACCGATTTAAAAAATGCAAAACAGCTACAAGTAAAATACAAAATATCACCAAGCTTTCGCAACACGAGATCAGTCTAGTTCTAGAACCAGTTCCAAGTTCTGAAGTTTGGAAATTTTATTTGGCCAAGAGTTGATTCGAAAGTTAAATTGGGGTTATGTGCACTACAAACAGAACAGCATCAGGAAACTTTATCCTTCTTATTTTTGCTTAATTAACTGTTAGAACAATATCAAGCAAAAAACCGTTAAAATAATAGTTATGTAACGCATTTTTAACAACATCCTGTAAATATAGGAATCACATTCTCACACACAAATTATATTTTTCAATGAATGCGTAATTACAGTGCTGCGATTTTATTGGCGAAAACCTTGACCTACAAATCGCGCTTGTTTAAATTCATAGTACTATGCGTTTTAGCAACAAAATAAAAGTCATTAACCTACATATCGAGAAGACCGAGCGCTCCTAGGGGATGCGACTGCAAAATGGTAGCACAGGACAAGCGAGAGTGACGGGTGAGCCGAAGCGTGGATTTGCGGCTCTACAGTTCATTTGTTTTACCTTGGACTAGCATTGTGCACTTTAAAACCATATTTCTTGCGAAGTGACTCAACAAATCTTAATTTGATTGCATAACGATTGAAAATGAATTAACTCAAACCAAATGACAAAACTATATATCAAGTGTCCGTTTGTAGATTAATCTACTTTACAATCGTTATTTATTCAATGAAACGAAATCGGGTTAGCCATATCTCAACTACTGGACTCATTTCGCTATGTATCTTTTTCCCTAATTTCGTACAATGAAAATTCAAATTTTTTGGATCGTTGGTTTTAAATAAAGTCAGGTTCCGGATACACAAACTGATTTGAAGGACGCGTTTCCGCGTTGTTTTATTAAAAAATCTTTCATAATTATCAAAACGCGGTGTAATAAAGATATTGAATGCTGAAACCTACGACGTGTTCTCATGATGTTGTTAACAAGCGCTCATTTAGCGAGTTTGGAGGTTTAACAAGACAAGTTGCACACTTATTTGTTTAAATTTAACACCTTCGGGCTAACGCTTCAACAAACACCCGAAAATCATAGCGAGACTTTGCAAAATTGCTCCAATCATCACTCAATCCACGAGATTGAAGTCTCTAGTCTTGCGGCGCCAGTCCATTTTCCTATTTTTTTCGAAAAGACAAAGATCGTATCCGATAAGTGTCCACTTAAGTGGATAAACTGTTTTAAACGTCATCTACTACTTCGCTGGATTCTTAATTGATAATGTAGATTACACTGGACAAGGACGGTCTTTAAATGCTTGATACTTTCTTCAACTCATCGACGCTCTTCTTTTAACTTAGCGGAAATAATAGAAGCCAAATCATCGGCATTACGAATAATCAAATAATTGCATCAAAACGACTGTTCGTGCAACGAAAAACACAACACGTGTAATCAACCTAATGCAGATAATACTCAAAATTAGATAAAGTAAAACAAAACAATCTTTGCGACACTCGCAGGTACGTCCAAGTTTACACTTTCCAATAAATCGATATCAATTATCAAATGTACCAAATAACGTTTGTCCTATCCTCAGTGCCCCAAATCTGATAATTCGTACGACAAACATTTAATAATAGTACCTTACATCTCCTGGTGATAATGTTATAAACCGGCATTTTGTGGGGCGGGCGTTCAAGTTATCCAAAAGTTCCAAACTCTAGCACATATCAATAACAAACTCCGCGATCGTCTAACAAATAACAACGAAACGCGCGCGTTGACAATTGACAGATCAGTAACTACCGAAGCTCGAGCGCGAATGACGCACGGTGCGTTAAACACCACAAGCGCAACTAGTGTAACAAAATCACTGCGGCTGGACTTAAGCGAGAGCGGCGCGCGCACCACGTGCACACTCCAGGCGGTGCAGGTCCTTACGCAAAACTCGAAGTGATACAAAATGTCATCGACAAGTGCAAATCACCCTGGAAACAGATGATCGACGATAAAACACCACGGCCTAGTGATATTTTACAAAAATTGCCGACACCCACCGAACTCCATTGTAATCAGACGAAGTGCGCCCACTAAATGCACCTAATGAATACTCTCCTTGCTTCGAACCAGCGATTAAGCGGCAAGTTCCACCTTGCCGGAGAAATTTATACCGAAAACTAATTACGACAAAGCGACGTTTTTTCCACGGCCATTCTTCGTACGACGTTATTAACATATTCAAAACTCACCGTGATAGTGAAATCGCAGAACAGGAACGGTGCTAAGCGCTAGTGACGTGCCTAAATCAACACGAATTTTATACGTATGCACAACGGTAGCGAAGGTCTTCGCTACGACACTTCAACGTTAGATAAATAAGTTAACATTAGTTAAATGTGTTAACTAGATCTAAAATGTCGGTTTCAATACGTCACAC